ATGTTAAAATTATGTGCGGCTGTAAGTTCCCACAACGTGCAGACAGCGTGTCGCTGCGCGCTGAGTCTCGGAGACGGTACCGCTGAAACCCCTGTTTCTCTGTCAGCTGTGCTCCCCACTCTGGGTGTCCGCTCCCTGACTTCCAACTGCCTCGGTCAGGTTTCCCTGGTTTTGAACTTCCGCAAGTGGTGTTCACACTGTCATGCGTTGTGTCCGGCTTCTTCAACGTAACTTCCTTTGATGTTAGGCCATATTGTGTGAAGGGCAGTGTATTTTACTCTGTAACTGTACTGTATTGCACTGTAATGAATGTACTGCAGTTTACCTGTTATCCTCTGTCGATCAGCATTTGTGTTTTCTGTTTTGACTAATATAAATGGTATTGCTGTGAACATTTTTATACATGTCTTGTGGACACATGTATGTGGGTGTTCTTGTGTGTGTGTGATTAGAATTACCTTTATTTCTGTTTCTTGCGTTATAATTGTATTTTCAGGTGTGCTCACCTCACAGCACAGAGTTATTAGACGGTTGTTGACTGCACTTCCCCACACTGTGTTTCACATCCCCTTGACCGTCCTCTTAAAATAACTACAGTCTGTACTTCTCAGTCCCTTCATCTTTCATACCTGAGCTCCCTGCCCCCTTCCCTTCTGGCAGCTGTCAAGATGTTCTCTGTATCTATGAATCTCTTGGCTATTGCTGTTCCATTTGTTTGATTTTTTAGATTCGGTTATTGATATGTGTTTATTGCCATTTTGTTCATATTTTTCAGCTTTTTATTTTTCCTTCTTAAAGAACACCCTTTAACATATATAATACTGGTTTGGTGGTGATGAATCCTTTAGTTTTTTCTTGTCTGGGAAACTCTTTATCTGTTCTTTCATTTTAAATGATAGCTTTGCTGGGTAGAGTAATCTTGGTTGCAGGTCCTTGCTTTTCATCACTTTGAGTATTCTTGCCACCCACTCTGTCGTGAAAACTTTCTGTTGAGAAATCAGCTGACAGTCTTATGGGAACTCCCATGTCGGTAACTAACTGCTTTTCTCTTACTGCTTTGAAGATTCTCTGTTTGTTTTCAGCCTTTGGCATTTTAATTATGATGTGTGTCGGTGTGGGCTGCTTTGGGTTCATTTTGTTTGGGACTCTCTGTGCTTCCTGGACAAGTATGTCTATTTCCTTCAACAAAACAGGAATGTTTTAGGTCATTATTGTTCAAATGGATTTTCAGTTTCTTGCTCTCCTCTCCTTCTAGCACCCCCATGATGTGAGTGGTGGTATGCTTGAAGTTGTCCCAGTGGCTCCTTACACTGTTCTCGTGTTCTGGATGGTTTTTTCTTTTTGCTGTTCTAGTTGGGTGTTTTCTGCTTCCCTATGTCCCCAGTTTCTGATTTGATTCAAGCCTCTGCTTCACCTACACCACTGTTGATTCTCTGTAATGTATTCATTGCAGTTATTGTAGTCTTCATTTTTGATTGGTTCCTTTTTATGTTTTCTAGTTCTGCTTTTATATTTCCTATATCTTTGTTTATATTCATCTACTCTTCCCATAAGTTCATTGAGCATCCTGATATCCAGTGTTTTGAACTCTGTTTAGTGCAATAGATTGCGTGTTTAGTTTTTTTCTGTCCTTTCACTTGGCCCATGTTTCTTCGTCTCCTCATTTTGGCAGCATTCCTGGGTTTGTTTTTGTGTGTTAGGTAGAAGCTGCTGTGTTTCCCTGGCTTGGTGTAGTGGCCTTGTGTAGTAAGTGTTCTGTGGGGTCCAGTGTTCTAGTTGGGTGTTCCACCTAGCTCCAGTGTTCTCCCTGTACCTGACTGTCGGTTTAGTGGTCAACCAGCCCTCTAGGTGACTCCCCCTGGTATGGGGTGTGTACCCACTCCTGTTGTAGTTCAGCCTTGATTGCTGTTGGCACATCAATGGGAAAGATTTATTCCCCAGGCTGATTGGCTACAAGGGTGGCCTCAACCGCTGACCACCAGCCTCCAGTCACTGGAGAATCAGCTGTGCTGGGGCCCACCCCACAGAGCAGGATTGACCTCCACGGGGCTCCGGTGCCCACTGAGTCTGCTCCTGAAGCGTGTTGCTTCTGGAGGTGGCTGGGGGTGGTGCTTCCATGTGGTCCAAACCTGTCCACTGGGTGCACTGGCTCTGGGGCCTCTTGGGAAGTGCAGTGCAAGGTCTGCCACTGCCTGTGTTCTGTCCAGGGCCACCCAGCATGGGCTGCAAAGAGATTTGCATCCGGCTGCCGCTTAGGCTGGGCTTGTGCCCACATGAGTTCAAGCTGCAGACCAAGGCTGTCTGCTGCCAGTGCTGGGCCTGGGGCCGCTTAGCAGGAGCTGTGGGGGTTCCTTGAGGCCAGATGCTTCTTGTTTGAGAAATTTTGGAATAATCTGAAGCGTGAACCAAAACAGGCAGTTTGTATGGAAAAGCCTCTGGAGACAGCTTGGGTGGACCACTGGTTGTGTGGGGGTGGGGCCTCAGAGACTCACGGGGCCGGGCCAGCCAGGTGAGCGGGGTTGGTGGAGGCTCCAATGTGGCCCCTGCCTGCTGGCTCTGAGGGCGAGGGCTCAGCAAACGAACAGTGGCCTCCGCCAGCACTTCCGTCTGGGAGAAAGCTGACTCCCCGGCTCTCGCCCTGATACCGAACTCCCGTGGCTTTACGAGCCTCTTGTGGCTTTAGGGCTGCCGGCCCAGCACTGAGGCTCAGAGGGAGTGAGTGTGCATGAGTGCACTCGAGGGCCCGTGAGAGGAACATCTTGGACTCCAGCAGCTTCTCTCGCTCAGCCACCACCCCGCTGCTTCTCACAGGCACACGGTTTAGGGACTTCTCGTCCTGGCACGAGAACCCTGGGATGGGGCTGCTGTGGGGCTGGGACGCCTCGCTCCTCAGGGGGCACCTCGGCAGCCAGGATGGCCCTCCTGATTTTTATCCACCACACATGCGTGTGGGACCAGCTTGGTCTGCGTCTCTGTCCCTCCTGCCAGTGCCACTGTGACCTCTAATTTCCTAGTGCTAGGACTCTGATCCAGCCAGTTGTCAGGCGGTTCTGTAGTTTCCAGGTGACGGGGTGGTGGAAGTCGAGCACCGCGTATGCTGCGCTGCCGTCCTGCCCGGAAGCTCTGCGTGTTGCTGTGGAGTGTGCAGGTCCTGGCCCTCCTGTTAGTTTCTACTTTGAAATTTCTGTGTAGCTTCTCCTTTGTGCAGTCATCGCATGGTGGGTTTTTCCATTCTTTTACTTCCAGTGTCTTGTACTTACATATTTTACTGGTTTTGCTAAGGATTCTATATTGAAATTTTAAACTCTTGGTCTTTCAACCTGATCATGTATATCATACTGTATTAAGCAGTGTTTTATGTGATATGTATATAGATTTATTACAGCTTTTAATTTCTGTTTGACAAATTTGTTATTTCACTGTATTCTTGAAAATTATGTTCCCTGAATGTGAACTTGAGCTTTTGCTGTCACACACTTTTCCCACGTTGAAGATGATGTTTTGTTGTCTTCTGGGTTATATTGTGATTCTTGAGAAGTCACTGTGACTTTAACTTACATACTCTTCCTGTCAAGGGGATACGCCTGCCTTACGGTTTTGTTTGTTTTCTGGAATTAATATTAATATTTCGAATTCAGTTGTGTTGCTTGTCGAAATTGTGGATGGGTATTCCCTAATATTCTCAGGTGGGGGCCTCTGCCTCATTTCTTCTTGTATTTCCATGAGTCATAAGATAAACCCTTCTGTCCTTTTTTTTCTGTTCATTCTAGTTTTATGTTTCTCTTTTCTGTATTTTTGGATAATTTTCTCTGTGACCTTTCTTCCAGTTCACTAATTTTAATAGCTTTTTATAATCTGCTAATAAACTCATCCATTGAGTTTTTCATTTCAGTTCATTTTTGTTTTTAGAAGTTCTGCTCTTTTGTTCAGTTTTTGTTTGCTTTTTATAGTTTTTATTCCTTACACATTTTAGAGTTGTCTTTTATCTCTCTGAAACTGTAAGTACAGATAACTCTGTGATCTGGTCACTGTGACATCGCAGTCATTGTGCTGGGCGAGTTCTCTGAGGTCTGGCGTCTCTGTGGCCCTGGCCCTCGGTGTCTTGTTTCTGGGTCCTTGGTTGTTTTTGACCTGGTGATGTTCTTTGTCCTAGAAACACTATAGTGCGGGTTCTGTGAGGCACAGGATGAAAACGCTGTCTGGGCACGACTGGGAATTACTGATATTAGGTGCTTGGGGCACCACGAGTCACAGTCAGCGAGTTCCCGTGTTGAGATTTCTCTGGCCTAGTTAGGTCGTGTGAACCCCAGTGAACGTGCAAGCCCGTGGCTAACACTCATTAGCTGTTGTCCCTTGTATCAGTTATTACTCTGCTTATTATCAAGATAGCTTTCTCTGCTGTCCCCTGGGCAAGGGGGTGTTGGGGACATGGGCACATTCTGATTTCTGGTTTACTCTCTCCTTTGTGGGTGCTTATCTTTCGGGGGTTGGCGCACCGTTCACATTAACGTCAGGAAGGTCTGTCACTTCCCATTCTGCTTTGACAGGTCTCGATTTTCCCGCTGTCTGTGCCTTGAGAGAACACCACAGCTGCCCTCTGGGCCTTCCAAGGGTCGCCAGTGCCCCGTGGGCACGGATGCGTGTGCCGCACGCTCCAGTGCGCTGTCTCCTTCTGCGGGCTTCTGAGCACTCTCCGATTTGGGTCCGCGCCATTTGTAGCACTTTAAAAATATGCCTATTTTAGACATTTTTCTCTCACGTGTATGGTTTTTGTAGTTGGAGGGTTAGTGCAGATAAACTAGTTTACCACTAATGAAAATGGAAAAGATTAAAATAAAAAATTTGGGAAATGTTAAGTAAAATGCTTTTCATTTATTAGGTAAGTGAATTGCTATGTAGATAGTTACAAATTATTGAGTGGTCAGGTTATTTTTCATGTGTATTATGAATGTTGTTTATACTTATTTTTAGGTTTGCATCTAATAGCTTCCTTGTTTCAGGGGTAAATATATTTCCATCATGGCTCATTCAAAGACGAGGACCAATGATGGAAAAATTACCTACCCTCCTGGTGTCAAGGAAATTTCAGATAAAATATCCAAAGAGGAGATGGTGAGGCGGTTAAAGGTGAGTCAAGTTGGGTATATATGGGTCTTGGTCAACCCTTTGGGGTGTGGGGCTCACAAAGTGCTGGATCTCATTAAGGCAAATGAGAAAGCAAATCAAGGCAGGCAGTGGCAGAGAAAGGAAGGGGGGCAACAAAGGACTGTAGGGTTTCCTTGGCTGCTGTTAATGGGAGAGAATCATTAGAAAGGCAAGCAAGGCTTAAAGTTCCTTGGGCCCCTGTACTTGGGTATGAAGAACAAATCCACAGTCCTCACAACCATTTTGAGAAAGGATGTTTAAGTTTTTGTACTTCCTCAGGCTGTAGTTTACTTTTGCATAAGTTATTTGAGAGGAAGTTAAAGAGCTTTAATGTAAGCTTTTCCTTCCGCTAACATGCACAATGAATCAGGATTACGGGGGGGGGGGCTGGCGCACGCCTGTAGATGAGGCAGAGTGTTCAGAACGGGCCTCCTTTTCTTTGCGACCATGATGGTCTCTGTGATTGTTAAAGTGGTTAAAGGAACCAAGTGGACAAGGGGAATGTTAGTCTGATTTATCAGTCAGTTCAGATGGGGCTTTCTTGTTTGTTTCATAAATTACTTTATTGTTCAGTTACAGCTGTCTGCATTTTCTCCCCACCACTCCCCCCACCCATTCCAAACCCACCTCTCTCCCTTACTTCTACCACCGCCCCTTGGTTTTGTCTATGTGTGCTTTATAGTAGTTTTTGAAAACCCTTCTCCCACAGTTTTTTATTTTTATTTTTTCCTGTTCCAGGTTGTATCTGCTCAGTCACTTATTTTGCTTGATATATATATTATTGTTTACTTATATTTCAAGACTGGAAGGAAGACTTGCCTTAATTAATTATTGAAGGCTCAGGAACTTTAAAGCAAAGTTATTAAAAGCAATATTAAAAGTTATTTAAAGCAGTAATTATTTTGTAGTTATTGCTGCATAGTTTATTTCCATCGGAAGTAAAGAACCCTAATACTACTATAAGTTTCATGTAAAGCTTAGCATTATATATCTTTATGCATAAAATACTAGGGTGTCAGATATCAGATGTTTATTATTGAAAGGGATAGATATTTTTTGAGCAGATTTAATTGACCATTGTGTGAGTATTTTCTCTAGCTGGGAACTTCTATATTTTTATTTAAAATAGTCAAGCTACAAGCCCTTTCTGTGTGTGACGTTTCTTGTTTTCTGTGTATCTGTGTTCTCGTGACTTGATGGAATTTTTAGGGAAGCAGATCCATTCATTTCCCCAGATGTGTCCATGTCTCAGCAATGACAGGAGCACACCTGGTGGTCTGCTGAGACCCTCACGGTGAGCCCAGGGACTACATGCAGACGCTGACTGTCACCTAGCGACTTTCAGGGACATCATTTTCTCAGACACCATATTCCATTTCGGGGACTCACCTGAGTTACTGATGCATTCCTAGCACCATGTCGGCTATAGACAGTGGTGAGGGAGTCCTGTTACCTGGCCCTTGAGTGAACTTGTTTGTTGGTCTTAGACTGGTCAGCTCAGTGCTCACATCTGGTGTTTGCAGTATACTTCCGTTATTTTGTAGATGCTTTTGCCCAGCAGTAATTTGGTTAATATACTTTATCTCCTTTAAATTTTCTAATTTGCACTTCCCACTCTTTTAGCAGCCTTCTTAGAGAAATACAAACAGGATTTGGTGTGGGATGGTGATAATTCTTGACATGTACAAGTACAGCTGTAAGTTGTATAAGTTACAACAATTTGTTAACATGTCAGGTGTCTTTGTTTATATAACTTCTAGAGTTTCCTATAACATTTTACTCAATATACTTAACCTCTCACTCTTTTGTGGTGAGATCGTAGAGAAAGGAGCAGTTCTTTGCATGTGGGTCTGGTTCCCTTTGACTTTTTATAATACATTAGGCCCTCAAAGCACATATCTTAACAGTAATTAGATCGAAGAGTCAGGAGAGTGGTCCTGGACGTGGTGGCCTGGAACTGACTGTAGTGCTAGGCTGGAAGGACAGTCTGCTGCTGTCCTGGCACTGGACCCAGTGGGACCAGGGGTGTCCCCCGGAGCACGCACCCCAAGGCTGCTCTGAGGATTCGCCGACACAGTGGGCGTGTGTCACTCCTGGAGTCTAGCTCGGCGGGGGAGTGGAAATCTTTGCAGCTTGTCTCCAGGACCAGGTCCTAGACGTTGATACTTGGTGGCCAGCACTACTGGGTGATCAGTATTTGCAGCACCACCTAGTGGACACCAGATGGTCACTTTTCCTGCCCCTGCCAAGTGAGGCGATTTTGTTAAGCCTCCTGTGATGTGGGGATAGTACAGACTAAGGTTCATTGTAGCAACTAAGACTGAAATTAGAGAAAGCACTCAAGAATTCAAACTATACTGTTCCTCCCCATTCTTGTTTTCACCCCACTTTTATGTAAATGTTTTTTGTAAAAGGTACGACTTCTCGTAGGTTCCCTAGACTCACTCTGTACGTGCCTCCAAGTCCTCTTAATGAGCTGTCCATATCTTGTTCTCTTTTACTGCAGCATAAGAAGTATTTTGTTGGATACTGTGATAGCCTCTCGTGATAGCTTTTTTACATTTAAGGATACATCTTTGTCATACTTTCTGTTTCTAAATTCTTTTTTAGCTGAGTATATCAATCCGTGTATCTGGAGTGGTTTATGGCTCAAATGGAAAAATAAATTGTCATTCTAGGTTTCTGGTAAAAGGAATACTCTTTCTCCTCATGAAAGGATTAGCTGTGTTGTTGTAGAAGGATGCTGCTACGGAGGGCATCCTCCGTTTAGTTCAGTTGTAACACTGAGATCAAAAGCACTATGTAAGTGTAGTTTTAAACTTTTAGAATCTGGTTAACATGGATGATGGGTGAGTTAAAAGTACTTTATTGACTCGTTTAAAAAAGTTATTTACCCTATAGTTTAGAAGGATCTTGTTTTCTCAGATTCTTTAGGGAGGAAAATGAAAACATTTACTGGAAGCTTAATCTTTGTAATTAATATGGCTTTTATTTTAAATGACTTTTTTACGTGAAGGATTTCGTTAATTGATTATTGTATTTTTGTATAGATGGTTGTGAAAACATTCATGGATATGGACCAGGACTCTGAAGAAGAAAAGGAACTTTATTTAAACCTGGCTTTACATCTTGCCTCAGACTTTTTCCTCAAGCACCCTGATAAAGACGTGCGCCTGCTGGTGGCCTGCTGCCTCGCAGACATCTTCAGGATCTACGCCCCCGAGGCTCCTTACACGTCCCCCGACAAACTGAAGGCAAGCACCGAGTGAAGAACCCCCAGGGCCGACTGGCCCTTTCCTTACCTCCCTTACATTTCCGACTCGGACGGGAGCGACGGGGTTCAGGCAGTTTTTCCTGACCCCTGGCTGTGAGCCGCGACAGTCGTCTGCTGCACTGTGCTCTTTCGGCCTTACTGCCCACCACAGGCCCACTCCCGGTTTGGTGCTTGCTTGTATCAAACAGTGCCTGATCTTTAGGCTCTTCTATACGTTTTATGTCATCATTAGCTCTGTTGTAATGTCACTTGGGGGGTACTTCCTTCTCCCTTTTGAAAATCTATGTTAAAGACCATGTTTATTATTTGAAAGAACGTATCTAGTATAAATCTGAATTTATATGAGTCCTAATTCATTTAATGGAAGGTATGGTGTAAATTGGGCTGAAGAAAATAAAATAAAATTGCAGTGAAAAGGTAGAAAAGACATTTCGTATTTGGTAACAGTAGTTGTAAGTAAAGCCACATGCATGGAAGTCTTTAAAAGCTGAGAAAGGAAGTGGAATACCGTGTTTAATCTGTCTGGTAGAGAGCATGCCATGAGTTTATTGAACGAAGAAAGTTGAGAAAATCGGAAACAACAATAAAAAAAGATAATTGTGCGAACAGGGTAGAGAATGCGTCCACGGGAAGGTTAGTCCCGCTGAATGAAGAAATGGCAGACAACTCAGGTTTATTTTATTAACAGATGTTGATGTTCGTTGTGTGTCAGGAACTGTGTGCACAGCGATGAACAAAGAAGCGCAGGTTGGAGGTGGTAGGGAGCGATGTTTGTCACTGCAAAGCGGAATTGAACTGTAAGAGTTGAGAGTGTGCTCAGGCTTGAAGTAGAAGGGGTCAGCTGGTCTGTGGGGTCGTGTGTCCGGTGTCCGTCCTGATTTCTGGCTGTGAGCATCTCATTTTGATGCACTGAATTGGTGTCTGGTGGGTGGGCAGTGGCGTTCCCTCACCAGGTGTCTTCCTGGCACTCCCGTGAAGAGGGAGGTGTGACTCAAAGAGCGGTGTCACTGGCGACCTGTGTCCAGGCTCCGGGCTGACGGAAAGCCCTCCCAGAGGAGCAGCCTGTTCTGTTTAGGACGGGGCGCGGCAGAAGAGGCCGCGGAGGAGCCGGGGTTGAGTGAGAGCCTCTGGATTCTTTCGTAGCCGAGAAATTTAAGGTTATCTTATTTTTTCTGGTCAACTTTTGGGTCTTAATTTAAATGCCTCTTTATTTTATTGAAGTAGTACTTAAAAATGATTCATTTTGAGGCAGTTTTCTAAATATTTATGGAATAGTTTTAACTCACTTTGCATCAGAGCCGTAGTTTTGTCTACAGTAGTAGTAAGTTGCACATGGATTCGTGCCTACCACTGTCAGGTTGTCGTCGTCAGAAAGCCCTGCACACCCTGGACTTCGTGTGCAGGTCAGTGATTGTTGGAGAGACTGTCTCAGGGTCTGGTCTCTCCATCTCGAGGTAGAGTCAATGCGGCAGCCAGTTCGCTTGGTCAGACCAGCAGGGCCCGTTCACGGAGGACACGTTTTATGCTGTCCCCTGGAGGTGACCATTCTCGAAGGGTGCGCTCTCAGTAGTGTGTTCCTTGCACGTCTGTTTGGTCATCTGCATATTAGAGTTCTTCCCTTTTAAAAATAGGCCATTTATCATTTTACTTCTAAGAGACATTTTTTTCTGTTTTTATTTATTGATTAGCATGCTTCCTGTGCAGAACTAGCTTTTTTAATTTCAACCTTTTTCAAACTTTTCCAGAACTTTATTTTCATAAAAATTTGACCCAAAGTGACATGGAACCTGTTTCTGTCCAGATACAAAGGAAGTTGTAGCAAAAAAAGCAAAACCAAGAGATAAGGATAGATTGAAGAAAAATGGTGGGGAAAAACAATTGTTAATTAGATAGGAAGCTTGACAAATTAACTTTAAAGGTGTTTTTAAAATTTCGGAGCTTCTGCGATCTGCTGTCTTTTGACTTGGTGATTTTATTTTGGAGTCTGAAGGCTCCTAGATGGCTTTCTCGCTGTACAGGCGCCGCACGGAGTGCTGTCCCGGCAGCCCTGGTCCGCTCCCAGCGTTGCTGCCTTTTTCATTCTGTAAAGTTGGCTTGCATTTCAGTTCACTCAGTTTCGGGTCTTTTTTTTTTAACTTGCTGAAAGGTGAAGTTTTTCTCGACAGTACAATGATGGTAAATGAGTCACTGTTTTCCTAGGAAGCGTTTTAAAATAATTGATGTTTTCATACAATGATGTCCTTTTAAAAACTTACAGCCAAAAACAATTTTTGTATTGGTTCCTTACAGTTTATCATGATAGATACACATCAGTGCTGGGTGTGCGTTAGGAGTGTAGTGGGTGTTTGGATGTTGCGTTCCTAATCTAATCAACCCTTTTCTTTTAGGACATATTCATGTTCATCACAAGGCAGTTGAAGGGGTTAGAGGACACGAAGAGCCCACAGTTCAATAGGTACTTTTACTTACTTGAGGTAAGCAGTGCAGTGCGTCTTGAGATGGCGTTTTAAACTGTTGCTGGGCTTTTTGTGATTGTGTGTTTTTTACTAATTAAAATGTATTTCTTTCACCTCTTTTACCTCTTATTTTTAGAACATCGCCTGGGTCAAGTCATATAACATATGCTTTGAGTTGGAAGATAGCAATGAAATTTTTACACAGTTATACAGAACATTATTTTCCGTTATAAAGTAAGTTTATTTAATTAGGAATGTAACTTTTTAAATACAAAGAATTTGTAATTTACAGGTTAATCTGGTTAACTCTGTTACACATATTGGAAGGCTAAGAGTTGTAATTTAAGAATTCAACTTTTTTTATCGTTGCTTTAAAAACATTATAGAACTTCATCACTTTTGTGGTGCAGATCCTAATACAAGAGTGGTGTTAAGGCTGTCCTATACCCACTGTAAAATACACTTTGGATTGTGTTTCAGTCTTTTATTTAAATTACATATTGCTGACTTCTTAATTCATGTGAATATTTGAATTATTTGTGCTCTTTAAAATTACTAAAATTACCTTCAGTAAAGCAATTTGATTTTCTGAATTTAAGGTAAACAAAAGATGCATTTTGATTTAATTACTTTTGATTGTGAGACTGGTTAAAATTAAGGAGAAGTAATCCTGGAAATGTACAAAAATGGATTTTGGGTATTATAAGGTTTGGGGGAGAGAGAAGCTTTAAATGAGCATAAAGAATTTGATTTCATTAATATTTTAATATTTTAAAATAAAGTGTAATACTTGTTAGTATCATGTTATGAGTAAATAATGAATCCTTTAGTTACACCCTGAATACCTTATTTTGAATTGCAGCAATGGCCACAATCAGAAAGTTCACATGCACATGGTAGACCTCATGAGTTCTATTATTTGTGAGGGTGATACAGTGTCTCAGGAGCTTTTGGATACAGTTTTGGTAAATCTGGTACCTGCCCATAAGGTATGTAGCAATTTATACTGAAATATGTGTAAAGCCTGTTAATGTTAAGCCCCAGAATTTGTGCTCCTGTTCTAAATATAGTTTACCTACTAATAAATATTAATTGTTTAATGTTGAAGAGATGTACTTATTAATTACAAATGCCAAGTGATAAAATACGTGTAATAACTCAGTTTTGAATAATAAGCTATGTTTCAAGAGGTGAGTTTACTGGCTACTTAAATGCTGTTGCGTAACTGTAGGGTCGGGAGATGCGCAGCCAGATAAGACTTAGTGGAGATGAGGAGGGCGGAGTTAGTTTGGAGACAGAGGATGAGATGCCACAGTGTTTCTTCCTCCGTGCTGTCAGTCGAGGAGCGGGGTGTGTGCGTGTGCATGTGTGTGTGCACGTGCGCGCTCTTTGAAAATAACTTTCAAGTAAGCAGTTGGAAACGTTCTGTGATTCCCAAGGGTCGAGGTTAAAGAGAGGGGCACGGGAAACACTGCATTAAGATCTGTGCACACTTGAAACCTTTCTGGCAAGATATAATCTAAGTTTACGGGAGCACAGCATTCACATAAATAATGTTTCAGTCAGAATGACCTGCTAACCCAAAATTTCCAAATATTGAAAATAACCTGTCAGCGCCAAAACTCAGACACTGGAAAAGGCAAGGTTAGGGCTAAAAATTCAGATGATATGATTATTAGGTAAAAATAATAAATTACCCTCAAAAGGATTAAAGAGATAAAGTAATTAGCAAAACACGATAGCTAGATATGTGAAAGGAGAAGAAGGTTAAAAAAAGTAGAAATGAAAAAATGGTCGTTAAAATTCAAATCTTTATTGGATTGTAAAAAGGTAGAGAAATGGGAGGTAGGTCTGTGGAAATCCTATATTGGGTTGCCCAGAAAGTCTGTTTACCTGTCTTTAACATCATTCAAAAATTTTTAATTAGATTGTATTGTCAGAGGTGTTATATCAGTGTGCATTAATTAAAAAAAACTTAACAAAATTGGTGAATTGGTGAATTTTGGTGAAAATGCAACATTTTCAGCATATTATGCGTTATTTCAAAAAAATTAAAACTGCAGCTGAAACTCAAAAGATTCATGCAGTGTGTGGAGAAGGCACTGTGACTGACTGACTGTGTCGAAAGTGGTCTCTTAAGTTCTGTGCTGGAGGAGATTTTTCCCTGGACGATGCCCCATGGACAGGTAGGCCAGTTGAAGTTGAGCATGATCAAATCGAGGCATTATTGGAAAACAATCAACATTCTACCAAGCAGGAGATAGCCAACATCTCAAAATAGCCAAATCAGGTTATGGAAATCATTTGCACCAGCTTGCTTATGTTCATTGCTTTGATGTTTGGGTTCCACATAGATTAAGCAAAGAAAAGAAAAGCTTCTTGACCCTATTTCCACATGTAATTCTCTACTTAAACATACCAAAAATGTTCTGTTTTTAAAACAAACTGTGATGGACGATGAGAAGTGGGTACTTTACAATAATGTTGAACCGAAAAGATAGTGAGGCAAGTGAAGTGAACCACCACCTACCACACCAAAGGCCAGTCGTTATTCAGAGAAGGTGATGTTGTGTATGGTGGGACTGGAAGGGAGTCCTCTACTCTCTGCTCCTTCCAGAAAACCAGAGGGTTAATTCCAACTGAGAGCAGCACTCGATGAAAAGCGTCCAGAATTAGTCAACAGAAAACGTGCAGTCTCCCACCAGGATACTGCGAGACTGCATGTTTCTTTGATGACCAGGCAAACACTGTAGAAGCCTGGCTGGGAGATTATGATTCATCTGCCCTATTCACCAGACACTGCACCTTCAGATTTCCATTTATTTCAATCTTTACAAAATTCTCTTAATGGAAAAAATTGCAGTTCCCTGGAGGACTGCAAAGGTACCTGGAACAGTTTATTGTTCAAAGAGGTAAAGAGTTTTGGGAGGCTGGAGGTATGAAGTGCCTGAAAGATGGCAAAACATAGTGGAACAAAATGGTGAATACGTTGTTCAGTAAAGTTATTGGTGGGATGTGAAAACTGAACAAACTTTTTGGCCAACTCAATAGACGCGGTGAGATAAAACATTAAAGATGCTCAAACATGAAAAATACATGGAAAGGTCCAATATGTTTAATAGTGATTTCAGAATACCAAGTAGAGAGTGGAGAAGAGATATTAAAACAGAAATGTGCTTAATATGTTCCAGAATTGATGAAGACAATGAATTTATGGGTTAGGAAGCAAAAGTGTCATGAGCAGAATAAATAAGAAATCCCAGTCCAGGCACATCTTGGGGATAGTGTAGAACATTAAAACAATGTGTAAAGCACCTCAGGGAAAAGGCATGATCTCTCAACCACAGAATGAGGGCTGAACTGCCGACTTTCTGGTAACAAGGATAGATGCCAGAACATAATGGAACTATATTTTCACAGTGATAGGATAAAATCAATTGTAGGGGTGTACGCATATCCAGTTTGAGTGAAACTGAGACATTAAATACTTATTTGTCAATAGGTGTTTCCTGAAAGAACCACTTTGTGAGTACTTGAAACTGAATTTAAAAGGAGTGAGAATACAAGAAATAGTGCAAACAAAGAAATTCTCTAAATAAGATAAAAACAGCAATCATGATTATGATGGTTAATTAAAGAAGTATGAGGAAGATGATCTTAAAACACTGGATACAAATAACATAAAATTTGAAGGGAGTTAATGAGTGATGAGGTCCTTGTGATGTCAGTAGTGTAGGTCTCTTGATTAACTCTTAACTTAAAGAGGTATTTAAGCTAAAAATTTAAGGATTACAATAAAAGGAAGAATTACAATAAATGTAAATGCTGCAAATTTGGACTTAAGGCAGATGATCAGGTCAGATTGAAAATAATCTAACTGGTCATTGTTAATAAAAGGATAGAAAAAAGACTGCCGAGCACATGCTAACTGCAAGGAAACTGAGGTGGCTTGTATTAATAGTAGGTGTAAGAGTTTTTACTGGGTGAAGAGGGATTTACGCAATGGATTAGTTTGCAGGAAGACATCTGACTTTTTATGCACATAGGCTCAAAATACGTAAATCACAAATTGGAAGAAGAAAGAGAAGCTCAGTTTGGTGGGTGATTTTAACACGTCTTAGTGATTATAAATCAAGCTGGCCAACAGTTTGTAGGAATATTGAGGGTGTGAAACATAAGACCAACAAGTCTACAGCAGTCATACAGATCTTGTCAAAAAAGAATAAATCATAATGGCAATTACAGAAGATTTAGAAATGATTAAAATGATACATATTAAAACTTGTGGCAACTTAAAATGGTTTTTTAAATTTAACTTTATAGCTAAGCATCCATTCAGGAAGTTAGAAAAATATCATCAGAATCTACAAAGTATAAAAGGAAAAAAACAATGAGGAAAACACATCAGTGAGTAGAAAACAGCGACACACTGCAACAGACCCAAGTTGTGATTTGAAAAGGACGTCAGACCCTGACGGGGCGAATCGGGGTGGGGGATGGTGATAGCACCGGCGGGCCGGAGTGGTTCACAGCCTGGGGTGTGCTGGACACAGGGCATTCTCGTGTCGTAACTGTGTGTTGTGTTACTTTTCATGTGAACAGCTGTGCATCTGCCTTGGTCCCACCCTGTATACAGTTTCGGAATGAAATGGGGCGTAGCCGACAGGAAAAAGATCAGAAGACTACTTCACGAACAGTATTTTTTGCTGACATATTTGGAAGTAAACAAATTCTTAGGAAGTATAACGTGCCCAGTTTGTTTCAAGAGAGAAAATCCTAACCTTTAGCCAATAAAATACTTTAATTTATTTTAAAAACTATCCGTAAAACAAAACCCTTCTTTCCTAACAACCGTAGTAGCAGCATCATCAGCAGTAGTGCTGAAACTGACCACAGAAGCACTTCAACTCAGCACCAGGAGACTTCTGCTAGTCATTTAAATGGCATATTCTATATTCATCAAACTTTTCCAGATTATATAGAAGGAAGGAATATTCCACAACTCACTTTTTTTTTTAAGATTTTATTTATTTATCTTTAGAGGGGAAGGAGAGAAGGAGAGAAACATCAATGTATGGTTGCCTTTCATGCATCCCCTGCTGGGAACTGGACTGCAGGGAACCAGCCTGCAACCCAGGCATGTGCCCTGACTGGGAATTGAGCTGCAATTCTCTGGTTCGCAGACCTGTGCTTAATCCACTGAGCTATACCAGCCAGGGCCACACAACTCACTTTGAGTTTATAATATTTATAGGGAAGCTACACAGAACCAGGCCAAGAAGGAGAATCGTAATTCCTTAAATAACAAAGGAGAATGTTATTTAAAATATGATAACATAAATTTGATATAAAAGTAGTATCCAAAATAGTATAAAGTAATATTGGTAAATAGCAAAATGGCTTTGTTTTAGTACTAAAAGATGGAGTAACATTAGGAAATGTTAGCAGTAAACTAAGATATTTATGTGAATTAGTAGATCAGAGAGAAAATATCAGTGGATGTAGAGAAGAACATTTGGTAAAATGCAGTACAAAAATATGAGAATTCTTAGCAAATTTGAAGCGGGAAGGACCTTCCTGAAACTGATAAGGGTATATGTGAACCGCACTGCCCTTACTGGGGAGGTTAGGAACGTTGTAAGAGGTTGCTTCTGCTTAGGAAAAACGCAAGAATGTTACTGCTAAGCACCATTAACTAGAAGTCTTAAGTGGAATAAGACAAGAGAAACAAATAAAAGGTGTAAAAGGATTAGAAAGATGAAACAAAACTGAAATTATCTGCAGGTGTTAGGACTGCCTGTGCTGAAAGTGGGGTGCGGAGTTTTCAGTACGAGAAGGTTCTTCGAGGTTGCCAGATACAAGTCAATACATAAAAACCTGTCAGTATCACTTCAAAAATTTTTCATTTGTTGCTTTAAATATAGACTTGAACTGCTTGGAAATTTTACAAAAATGAGCATGCTCTTTATGTTGAAAGTCATTACAGTTGACTGGAAAGTACAAAAGACTTAACTGTGTTGCATGATTTATTATTGCTTGTGGTTTGGGAAAATCAGCATCATACTGCTGTCGCTCTCTGCATATGAAGAAATGGAAAATGTCTGTGTGCGTGTGTCTGTATTTTGACACGTTGATTTGAAGTTCACATTGAAGAGCAAGTGGCCAGTAACAGCCAAACAGTTTTGAATAGGAATGAGAAAGTAGGGGCTCACCTACCTGGTGTTAACACATCGTTCTCGTTGGACAGTGGTGGGCAAAGAGGCGTGGCAGTGATGGAGAATCCACAAATGAAGGCGTGCTTGTGGGGAAACTTGAATGTTTGGGTATTGCATGTCACTGGAGGGAATAATGGGCTATTGAATGGTTTTAGGATAATTGAATATTCATACGGAAAATAATATTAGATTCTTATTTTATACCATATCTAAAAATAAATTACAGGTAAAATAAAGATTCAGATCTAAAAAAGCAAATCTTTAAAATTTTATTTGAATTTGACCTGAGGTGGTGAATACAATACAGTAGACAGATGATGTATTATAGATTTGCACACCTGAAACCTATAGAATTTTATTAACCAATGTTATCCTACTAAACCAAATTAAAAATTTATTTGAAAGCATAAGACATCTTAACCACAGTGTAGAAAAGAATTTCTTAAGAGAGAGATAAAGCACAAGAAGAACAAGCAAAGATCCCATTTAGTTCAGGAACTTCCGTGTGCTCTGAGGTGCCCCGACTGCTGTTGGACAGGCAGGTCCAGACCAAGACATGTGGTGAGCATAACTGGCCAAGGTTTACTGTGCAAAATTTATAGAGAAACTCTAAAAATGAAGAAGGAGGAAAAAGAACAACTTTGAAAAATAGCAAAGATAGAATTTACAGAAAACGATTGCACATATGTACGAGGAGTCATGTGCAAGACCTGTAATTCACTATCTGTAGGGAATGAATCGTTAAGCTGTAGCATATTATGCAGTAAAATACTAAATACCCATTAGAAATGAATGAAATAATATGAAACAAGCATCAGTACAAATCTAAAAATATGCTGAATGTGAGCTTCAACTTTTTAATTCATTTATCTATCTGTATCCCTCTCTCAGTCTGCTTTTTCTTTATTTCCTGGCCTCTGTCATGTGTTTAAATCAGAAGACGTACTGATTCCATTTTAGATCTTTGGTCTTGAATCCTATTATCATCAAAATCTGTTCGGAAATACACATTCTTAATGCATTTTTTCTTGCACCCTTTTCCTTTTCATTCTTTGTTGTTGTGTATTTGAGCCTAATCGTGCTCTGAGATGTGCCAGAGTAGGTCTGCTCCATATCGCTGCTCTGACCTCTTGTCTCCCCCTCCTGCGGAGGCGGTCCCTGTGTGGCCACCCCCACCCCTCCGCCAGGCCCAGCTCATCCTCTTACTGCGTTTTTGGACCTGAGGGCAACAGCTTGTTTTTATACTTTGCTGGCTGATTTGACCTTGGGACTTGATTTAGAATGACTGTCTCCTCTTGAATCTACTGAACATTTATTGAATTTTTTATATGGTTTACATTTTGTTATGAGTGAAATAAAAAGAACATATAATTACCCTTGCTTGGAAGGGATGTCAGGCTTTAGTAGATCAGTTAGTCCTAAGGGGAAAAAAGTGGTTTTGCCATCTCTCTTTTATTTTGAGTCTTGGACGGTTTCTCATTCATCTGCTTGAGTGTTTGTTTTGTTTTTTCAGTGGCTTTTCCAATACAGGCAGTGTTTTGTTTTTCACAGAGAACTATAATACAGATAATATTTTTATTTTTCAGAACTTAAACAAGCAAGCATATGACTTGGCAAAAGCTTTACTGAAGAGGACAGCGCAAGCTATTGAACCATATATTACCAATGTGAGTCTGGCTTACTAAATCAGCTCTCTGAAGGGCTAGCCACAGTTTTAAAGACTGCCGGAAGCAAATTTTGGGAAGTAGTATGTACTTTTAATCTTGTGTTGTGTTTAATCATTAAGTAATGTGTTTTCTTTCTCCTTATTTAAAAATGTTCTTGTTTAATATTTTCTAGAAGGTTAACTCCTCTTGCTTAGTCATTCATTTGCTACTTTCAGATTGTCTAGGAACTGAAACAGCTTTTATTTTGGTTAGCAAGATACACTGTTTTCTACTGTTGAAAATGTAACTAGGTAAAACGTGGGACTTTTTATCATTCAGAGAAATTGTTCACAGCTTTTTGGAGATTAAGTAGATTTGTACAAGGGGAAGATGCCAAGACCTAAAAGTTGGAGGCAAGTGTGAATGGCACGGATTGGGCCACAGGGGCCGCCCTGCTCTGCCTGGGGCCGACCGTTTAACGCTCCCTCTTCTAGAAAAGGGCAGGACTGCAGTGACGTGAGTCCTTCCAAAATGGCCCCAAGCTACTTGATTTACCGTTGACGTTCTCATGTTTATTTTTAGAAGGTGTGCATTTCAGCAGACCAGCTCCCACGTGGAAGCTGACTGTACGCTTGTTCTCGTGTGGAGCCAGGAGCTGTGCCGCGCCACACCTGCGGGTCCCTGCGGGAGCCTGGCTAGGACAGTGCCTCAGCCTCTGTGGGCGGGCCCTGCCTCTGCCTGCTGTCCACTCCCACCACCTTCACACACTTAGCTGGGGTGGCCCTTTTGAAAAGTTCATTTGTTGTTTTCTGTACCATGGCTTTAGTAGCGCTTAGTTGTTTTTAACTTCATTCGAAACAGTTTTGCCTTATTGTATTGTGACAGCTGTCATATCAGTGTGTATTTAAAAAATCATCAAAATTGTTGCACTTTTTTGTGTGGCCATTCTAAAATTGAGGATGGAAGAAGATACCCAACGCTTTTGGCATATTATGCTTTATTATTTCAAGAAAGGTGAAAATGCAACTAAAACACAAAGATTTGTACAGTGTGTGGAGAAGGTGCTGTGACTGATTGAACATGTCAGAAGCGGTTTGTGAGATTTTGGGAGGGAGCTTTCTCACTGGACGATGCTCCGTGGTTGGGTGGACCTGGTGAGTGGATAGCGGTCAAGTCGAGACATGATCGAGAACAACCAGTGTTACACCACATGAGAGGTAGCCAGCATATTAAAAATATCCAAATCAATAAAGTTATTGGTGAAAATGAATAATGTGTGTTTCATTTTAAGGAAAAAACCTTACTTTATGGCCACCCCAATACATCATTTAAATCTGTCTTGGAAAAGTGAGAAAGAAAGCTTTTTATAATTACATATGCACTTAATTTTCCTGAAGTTTATTGACAGAATGTTTTGAATAGTAAATAAAAATTAATTCAGTATATAAAATAAATCATGAAAAGATGTGCTTTGAAAAGGAACATACTTTAGGAAACAGTACCTTGGTAAATCTCGATTTTTGTTTCTGGCTATGGCCCTAAATGATTTTAAGCACATGATGATTTGGGAAAACATATTAGATTTATACATTATTTTAGAGGGTGAACTTTCAGAAACTGGGGAATCAAATGACCTAATCTGTCTTAATAGCTCAAAAATTGGCAGGGAGTTCTGAGAGTTGATTTTTATAATTTTGTGAGTCTTGGGTATTGGCTGGAGTGAATTGGTCTGATCAAATGGATTGAATCTTTCCCTTTATTGATTTACTGGCACTTGGAGTGACTTAAGCCTGATGTCTCCATGGCCCACCAGATGCACTAGATGAGCTCCTCCTGGTGGTTATTTATCTAAATTGGTATTGCCAAGCCCATGCTTTGTAGGCAAGCACAACTTCCTTCGAAGCCTTTTTCTGGAATAAAGAGAAGGGAATAATACTATACCATGCTGGTATTTTTTTATAGGATTGGGAAGTGAAAGGGGAAGAAAGTTCGAGATAGAATGGTGGCGTTTGTTGGCACTAGGTTCTTTATTGTTGTCACAACATTTGTGCATGTTTCAAAATATTGACACTAAAAGTTGAAAGATAAAAGGGCCAAGGTAGGAGTTCGGTGACCCCAGATAAATCTAGGTAAAAGCATTTAGGTAAAAGCATGTGTCCATCACTGACTACTGAGTTCCTGCCCCCCACACACTTGCTTTGGTAGCTTTGCCAGGAGCTGAGCAGGAGGCGCAGATTCAGTGGCCCGGTCTCGGCACGCGTGCAGTTACGCGCTTGCTCCCAACCGTGCGGTTTTCTTCCTACCGGTCTCTTCCCCTCGCCTTTCCTGGGGCTCAGCTGGGCAGTTACAGGAATTGCTGTGTTTCTCCTCCTCTGCCCCTTCATGAGCCTTCTTTTGTGCCTTGTACCTGTACATGCGAAGTGACTTTCTAATGAATTTAAGTGTCTTGTAAATTAAAATTTAGTACTGATGAAAGGTATTCTCGGCCTTTCTAACTTGTGCATGCGATTAGCCATTGTTCATTCACTTTCCTAGTGGAAACGAGCAACAATAGAGGCAGGATACTGAGGTAAGAATAACCCCGCTTTATTCCTTTTTGAAAAATTTGTGTCTTTTTCACTTTTATGCTTAGACACATTCAATTTTTTTTTTATTTTACATTTTTAGATTTTATTTATTTATTTTAAGGCAGAGGGGAAGGGAGGGAGAAAGAGTAGAAGAGAAACATCACTGTGCGGTTGCCTCGCACGCCCCCAGCCAGGGACCTGGCCACAACCCCGGCATGTGCCCCGACTTTTTTTTTTTAACTGAGTCTTTTTTTTAAAGGTTTTATTTTATTTATCTTTAGAGGGGAAGGGAAGAGAGAGGGAGTGAAATATCAATGTATAGTTGCCTCTCGTGGGTCCCTTGCTGGGGACTGGCCTGCAACCCAGGCATCTGCCCTGACTGGGAATTGAACCACCGTTGTTTGGTTTGTAGGCCTGCGCTCAATCCACTGAGCTACACCAGCCTGGGCTGCCCCAACTTTATAAATAGTGATTTCTACATATAAAAGACTTAAGAAATCACTGTGGTGTTGTAGGTTATTTTTTAAGATAGAATTTGTTGTAACTTGACAATTCAGAAAACTAAAAACTATATTATTTTAAAAGTTAAAAGAGAGTATCAAACAAAAAGTACATAGTGACAGTTCATAAACAGTTTCTACATGGATCACTTCTTGATAATACTATTTTCCACCAGATCACTTTAATCAGAAGTTTCAGAAGATAGCACAAAATTCTTGTATTAAAAAAATTTCAAATTCATCTTGATATAGGTAAAGTTCTATTAAATTGCTTAATCTTCCTTGGCCTCAGTTTTTACATCTGTAAATTGGGGTTAATAATGCTTGGGGAGATGCCAGAGAACATGAAAACACTTGGGTAATTAAAGTTGAGCGCTTAAATCTAAGGTAGAATTTATTACTGACCTTTAACTCGCTCATACTCCTTTCACTAGGAGGTGATTGTTATAAAAATAGTTAAATTTCTAGTATGACGATTAGTTACCCACTTGAAAATGAAAAATTAACTTTTTTTGGATGGAACTATTTAATCAAACCTGTTTTCAGTTCCTCCCTAACTTGCGGGCCCGCAGGTAGGCCTTGGATGTCTGTGTTTGTGTCACAGCACCTGACACATGTTCCTTGTTTACTGGAGAGGTGGCGGGCGCGTACCTTGCAGGCGTGGTGCTGGGCTCTTCTTACTACACAGTGGAAGAGGCTGACTTGGTTCTTGCCTTTATGGAGGTGATATAAGTGTTACTGTTTTTGATGGAATTTGTAAGAAGCTAAACCTGGGAATTAATTTTTTAAAAAAATTTGCAAGTGAGTCTTCCCCAGACTGATAGAAGAGGATGGATTGATCACCAGGGTGGTCATACTGGAAAAGAGGATTGTTTTTTGTTAAGGAAAAGTAGATTTATCATTTTTAAATAGGAGAAAATTTGTGAATTTAAACAACAAAGCCACTTTACTTTCAACCTAAACGAGAATTTAATGTTTGATGTCGTGAAATCCTTTGCCACAAAATCGATGACCAAGAAGGGAAAACAAATTATTTTTAAAACCAATAAAGAAAGAACAGTAAAACAGAATGTGAACAACCCAAGAACTGAAAGGAAGCAGAAGAGACACAGAACCCTGAAGCCCTTGGCCTGCACTTGGCACGTGGAAAGCCTCTTCAAACCACGCTGTGTGTCCAAGTGCCCACGGGACGCACCGGGCAGCCGGTGTGGCGAAGTCCTCACCTCCTCCTTCAAGGAGACGAGCCACCATTGAGACTACATGGTGAATGCCCTGGGTTAATTTTTACATGTTTGGAAGACTTTAAGTACAAAGGAACTCGACCATTATGCCATGTGTCTTTGCTAGTTGCAGGAGTATTGTGATCTGAATGTGGGAAGTAGAGATGGCTGCTTATGGAAAATAAGTCGTTCAAATAGGAATTTTCTTTGTGTTTGTGTGTGCTTTTAATTGGATTTTAATTAGTGCTATAAGCCTTGTATATCATTTATTTCACTTTATGAGAACATAACAGAAAAAGAATTATAAAGAAGTTCTGCATTATAAATGTAACATTACATATTTTTAAAATGTAATTGGCCCTTACTGTAGAGGTATAAGGCTTTGTTTTTGCTGTTCTCTCATACATGATAAGGTGAACAAGAAGTGATCCCTTATCCTTAAGCAATTTATCTAGAAGAATTAAGACGACGAATACAGGATACAGTGTAGCAAGTATTATAAGGAAGAATAAAGTGCGTTTGGCAGTAGGGTGCTTATTGGTGTGCTCATTGATGGGTCAGTATAAGTTACCTATTTTTAATTGTGTACAAGGTAAATTCTGTGTTTTATTTTTTCAGATAGCCCACAATGGTTTCTCACCTCCTGTTAGAAAATATTTTGATATGCATAGTTTGACTTGGTGTAAAATAATACTGAATTTAAATGCATAATAGTTAAGATTTTATAAAAGTTGTTTTGCCTGTGGAGTTTCTATTAATGGTACTATTTCTATTTCAAAAGTTTTTTAACCAGGTTCTGATGCTGGGGAAAACGTCCATCAGTGACTTGTCGGAGCACGTCTTCGACTTGATCCTGGAGCTCTATAACATTGACAGTCATTTGCTGCTCTCCGTGTTACCCCAGCTGGAGTTTAAACTAAAGGTAACTTTTCTAAAAACGGTGTGCTTCTGTGAACCGAATTGGCAAAGAGCGCGTTCTCACCTTGGCTTCATCTGAGTGGGACAGATGAAGTGGTGGATTTCACTGTCCACAGGTTGGTGTCTCGCCTGTGTGTGGGTCTCCAGTGCCCACCATGGTTCCTGGCAGATAGTAGCTGCTTAATTAATGATTGAGAAGGGTGGTATTTTCCAAATAAATTCTCACTTTTGTGGTCATAGCTATACATTAAGCTTAATGTTTTTCAGACACGGTGTATAGAGGTTCCCCCGACCCCTTGTTCAGGCCGTAACAGCAGTGTCGGGCCGTCCTCCCCAGAAGGGGGGGCGGCTCCCTGTGTGCACTTGCCTGGGGTGGGGGGCACTGCTCTCCAACTACAGCCGCAGCCGTTAGTTCCCCTCGCACGTTTGGGGGTGTGCTTTCTTTCACGTTATTATAGGAGGATTAAACAAAGCTGTTCATAATCAATAGTCTTTGAAGAACCCCAGTGTACCACCCAGAAAAGTTCTTAAATCATTTGTGTTGTTTCTGAACATTTTGATTTTTTCCGAAGTAACAAAATAAGCAGTCCATGTTGGTAGTATAATAATTCTTGCTTCATTCTTAGGCATCTTTTCCATCTGTTTCTCCAGCGAGCCATTGGCTCACCTGCCTCCCTGTCCTCCTTTCCTCATGTAGTGAGTGATTTCCATGGGGCAGTCGGGCACACTCGTAATTGTGTTTTGGTCTCATTTTCTCTAATAAAAACATTGAGTACTTTAAGAAATATAAAAATAAGGGTTGTCATCCCTGCTTTCTGCAATTGAACATCTAGTATGAAAGGAAGGGGGAAAATAATCCGGATCTAAGAAGAGGCCAGGTACTGTACATGTCACAGAAGATACAAACAGCACACGAGTGAAGCAAAGGAAACACCGTGCAGAAGCAGGTGGGGGGAAGGCACTGAGCGAGTGTGTGGCGCACAAGGAATCGCACAGCTGGATGGAAACGGGAAGTGAACCGAAGTCACTCCTGGCTGCGCGTTGGGGTCTTCGGCTCTGAGCCTTAACAGACAAGTCAATGTCCAGGCAGTAGATGGGCGGGTAGTAGTAAACCGGGCAGTCGATCAGAAGAGCTGGCGTAGGGTTTAGGTGTCGGTTGCTTTTTTATTTTGTTTTGGAGTTTTTTTGTGTGCATGCTTTTTTTTATTTAATATAACTTTTAAGGTCATCCTAATAATGTTTACCTGGGGTTGACAAGTGTCTCTGTGGAAGGAGAACAAGAGAGGTAATAGAAACAAGTGAGGTCATATTATTGGAGCTCTTAAGGCATGGCCGAGGCATTGGTTTAAAATGTTTTTTAATTGTACAATGCTGTCCATCACACCTGGAATATCAGTGCTTTTTAATATTCCCAATGGTCCCATTTTATGTTCAGTTTTAGAGTTGTGCTGGCTTAGCCATTTAATCATTGTCATCTTTTGGAGGTACCAAAATCTGTAGTAAAATTGAGTTCTTGTCCTCAGGGTACCCACGATGTAGGTAGAAAGCAGAAATTTTAGTTTCTGCATGTGGAAGGCTCCATCATGTTGTCACGCTCCGTTACGAACCCGCTGTGTGAACGTGAGCTAAGTGTGCTGTGGGGAGACTTCGGCACATACTTGTTTCTACAAACAGCTGAACTGGGATAGTCGCGGGGGATTTATTCTCTCTGTACCGAGGGCTTGGCCTCTGTCAGAATCTGTTCCTGAAAACCCCAGGTAGTCTGTTAAGTGTCCTAAGTAGGTTTGAGGAAAGTTAGTTTTTGAATTTGACTCTGAATGAAAATAAGACCCAATTGTAAGGGAGGTGGGGACTTGTAATATTTACTCAAATTTGAGAATGTGTTTTCATGGAGGAAGTACTGCTTTGTTGTAATCCGAGGTGAGTAGTCTGGGGGGCACGTTTCTGTGTGGTGTTTCATCTGGAGTTGGGGTGGGGGCGGGGGGCGGGGGATTCTGTGCAGTTGGAGGAGCAGCCAGCCGAGAGGACGGCTCCGGGTGTGCGCCTCGCTGTGCCCCGCTCGGTCGTAAAGCTGCGCACTCATCCCTTCCAGAGCAATGACAACGAGGAGCGGCTGCAGGTGGTCAAACTGCTGGCGAAGATGTTCGGGGCAAAGGATTCAGAGCTGGCTTCTCAAAACAAACCCCTCTGGCAGTGTTATTTGGGCAGGTATATGATTTTGGTGTCCTATTTCAAAGTAACGGATGTCTATACCTATGTATAGTAATGTATTCAAAACACATCCACAGTTAAGATTGTTCTCTGAACTCATAAAAAGTAAGCATCGTGTTTTGGAATTTTTGAATGCTCATAGTGATTGGTTATATTTATAATTTCCCTTTTTCTTTTCATCTTGCCTTTGATAATTTTTATTTTTTTAATATATTTTATTGAGTATGCTATTACAGTTGTCCCATTTTCCACTCCCCTTTGTTCCCCTCTGTCCTGTACACCCCCTCCCACTAGCATTTCCCCACCTTAGTTCATGTCCATGGGTCATGCATTTAAGTTCTTTGGCTTCCCCATTTCCCGTAATATTCTTAACCTCCCCCTGTCTATTTTCTACCTACCATTTATGCTTCTTACTCCCTGTACCTTTTCCCTCATTCTCCCCCTCCCCTCCCCACTGATAACCCTCCATGTGATCGCCATTTCTGTGGTTCCGTTCCTGTTCTAGTCGTTTGCTTAGCTTGTTTTTGTTTTTCTTTAGGTTCATTTTGTTGATAATTGTTGTCATTTTACTGTTCATATTTTTGATCTTCTTTTCCTTAGATAAGTCCCTTTAACATTTCATACAAGAAGGGCTTTTTGATGGTGAACTCCTTTAACTTGATCTTATCTGAGAAGCACCTTATCTGCCCTCCCATTTCAAATGAAAGCTTTCTTGGATAGAATCATCTTGGATGTAGGTTCTTGCCTTTCATGACTTTGAATACTTCTTTCTAGTCCCTTCTTGCCTGCAAGGTTACTTTGGTGAAATCAGCTGATAGTCTTACGGGAACTCCTTTGTAGGTAACTCATTTTATAAGTGTAATTACATTATGACACTCAATTTAAAATGTTTTATATACTGTAACAAAATTACAATTTTTACACAAAGATACTCAGTATATCTTTAAATCAGGACTTGGATTACCCAACTTTATAGGTTTTTTTGTTTAAAAAAAAAAGCCTAATTTAAATTTGTCACCTTTCTATTACTTTGTATTTTTTTTTCTTTTAATATCAGTGATGTAAAACTCTGCAAAGCCGTGCAAACACTGTCTTCATTTTAGTGGGCATGTGGAGACTGTGGCGGTTAGATGGGTAGGACCGGTGTGGGCACGGCTTCAGTCACGTATAGGGATGCAGGTCTGCGCGAGGTCCACCGCACATTCATGAGTGCGCGAGTTCGAGACCGAGCGCTCCAAGGAAGGGCTTTCTTCCCAAACTCAGTGTGGGGTTTGTGTGATACATGTGAGAACTGTGTGCACACGTACTTTCATTACAAATATACTGGAAAGTATAAAATTTTAGAAAAAACTTTGTCACCTTAATTCTTGTATCTAAGCTGGATGTGTATTGTTCCTTAAAAATACACAGTTCTCAAGGACATTGTCCTGGTTTGGTAAGGAGATTTCAGTGCATTTACACACAAACAGCGTATCACAAAGTTGGGTAAACTGTCTGATTTCACCGAGAATTATCCTACCTAGATTAAAAGAAAAACCTTTTAATCAAAGAAATAGGTATAAGTGTGAATTAAATACATTTGTTTCTTTCTCTGATTTTGAAGATGACTCTGCCTTTATATTTTATCAGGTTTAATGACATTCATGTACCAATACGCCTGGAATGTGTGAAATTTGCGAGCCACTGTCTCATGAACCATCCTGACTTAGCAAAGGACTTGACAGGTACTGTGTGCCCGTGACAACAGGTACTTCTGGACATTCGCTGGTGAAAAAATACTGGTTTTGTGTGTTGGGGAGAAAAAGCCACCTTTTTGTTGTTATTATAGGTGAAGTCTTGTTTCAGTTCGTCGTCATTAGATTGTCTCTCTGAAGCTGGAATTTTTTACCTCCTAGTGCTGACTTAGGCTGAAAGCACCTATAAAACGATGGTTATATTAGAGATAAGATTAATTTCATAGTTTAAGAACATTTCTAAAAGAATTTCAGGCATTTTAATTTGAACAGATCTTTGAGTAAATTATCAGACTTGAACATTTTCTAATATTTTAAGAACTTGGATGAGAATCATTAATATGTAAATGAATTTAACCATCCTAAAATGAAATTAAGCTTTTTGAACTATGTATAAGGCAGTTCAGAATTTTATGTTTATGTAGTAATGAGAATATCACGCATTTAACTATTTACTATCAAATGTTTTGTAATTATGGACTAGTTCAGGAAATGCAGGTGAATATAACAGCTACTGTGTATTTCTCAGAAAGTTTAGCATTTTGTTGTGTTTGCTTAGAGATTTAAAGAAGGAAAATAAATTTTAGATTTTCCTTAAATGCCCCTCACGAACCACCCTCCTTCTGCAGAGGGTGACCCCTGGACTGGGTGTGGTCTGCACCCTGTTATCTTCCTGTAACGCCATGTTTACCTCCCCATAAATCGTATGTGGTGTTGCCATGTGCTTTAAAACTTCATTTAAATATCATTTGAATTTAATATGGTTGATTTTATTCCTAATATCTTATTTTTGTTCTATTTTCATGCTTTTTTCTATTTTCCTCTCTTCTGCTTAATTAATTTTCTTTGATTTATTTTTTTTCTCTGCATGCACTTGGAGGCTAGGTTAATGAAGTCTATAAAGTTAATTAGAATTCTCCAGCTTCTTTCTGATCAATCAAGGCCCTTTGAAAGCTTTAATTCTTAAAGCTCGTCTCATATGTCACACTATTGCTTGTTATTTCCTCTTTTTTTAAACTTTATTAACTTGTAGTACACTTGTAACTGCTTTTTTATGCAGTATTTGCTCACAGTTGCTTCTTTAATCTTCCTTCTGATAAAAATCAAAGTGTAGCTTTTGGTAATATTTTTAACAACAGATTGTCATAGTAACACTTTCAGGTTTTGTTAAATTCCCATCAGCTTTCAACAGTAGGTATTTATCGGTTTCATCTTTTGGCAGACGGGGGTGGGGGTGGATACCCTGCCGGGAGCCCTCTGTCCACCCAGAGCTGCTTCAAAGCACTGAGCAGTGCCGGTCTGTTCTTCCTCTCACTGGCCAGCTCCTTCCTTCCCCCGCCTGCTCTGCCTCTGGGGTGCGCCTCTGTCTCCTGCCCTTCCTCTTCCTCCTCCTCCTTCCTCAGTGGTGTGTCTGCCACTGAGGCTGCGGCCTCTGGTGTCCTTTGCGCAGTGGTCTCTGAGAAAATTAGTGACCATGTTTTGCCCAAGTTTTCTTCCTATAAAATGTTTCAGCTGACTTGTTTTTCCCGCTTTATATTTGCTTTTCTATTTCCCACATCAGAGGCTTTTTTAAATGCTTGACAGTCTGGCTGTTTGCTCATCATGAGGAGTCGGGGCTACGCAGAGAGCAGATCAGAGAACTCTGAGGGGTGGGTGGGGTTGTGGACTCCAGCCACTGCTCTGGGGCAGCGAGCCTGGGCTGTCCTTGGGGAGCCTGCGGGTGGTTCCTCCTGAACTACTCAGATTCCCCAGAGGGGGGCGTCCTATCAGGCGTTTAAAAGTCTAGTTGCTAGTGTCTGAGATTCTTATATTCTGAGTTTATTTTTATTATTGTGTAGCATTCGTTACAAATGCGCCATAATGTTGATTCATTTTTTCCTTTTCATGGATGTCTGGGTTGTTTTGGTTTGGGGTAATTGTGACTAAGATTACTGTGAGTATTCGTGGACAAATGTTTCTGTGGACTTATGTTTTTATTTCTTTTTGGAACCATTTAGGAATGGAATTGCTGGACATAGGATAAATACATGTTTAACTTTATAAGAAACGACTAAGGTTTCCATTTTGCTTGCACTGTTTTCCACTTAATGTCAGTAATGTTTGGGAGTTTCAGTTGTAAAGCATCTTTTACCAACATTTTGTTTTGTCGGTCTCTGATCTCAGCCACCCTCCTAAGTCTTTTTCTTTAGTGGTTTTAATTGGCCTTTTCCTAACGACTAATGAGATGGAGCATCATTTAGTGTGCATGTTGATCTGTGGTTTTGTGTGTGAAGGATCTGTTTCAATTTTGAACCCATCTTTTTTTTTTTTGACTTACTATTTTTGTTGAATTACAGTCATTTTATATGTATTCTGGATTTCTTGTTAAAGCATAAAAAATTTTAAACACTTTTTCATAGTCAGAACTTCAAAGCAGAGTTATTGGCTAAGTAGTAGGTGTTTCAATTTTTTATAGCTATCTAAAAAATACTTTAGATATGAGTTATTTCACCAGTAAGGACCTTTACTGGTCCTGACAGTTACTTGGAATGTTTCTGTTGCTATGAGAAACATCTAAAGCGGTAGTGAATTTGCATAAGAGTGTGTGTGAGCCAAACGGACAACACCTGTGGGGCACACGTTCTCACAGGCTCCTGAGGGTAACAGTTTTGCAGCTTCTGTTAGGAATTGGAGGTTGAGGGAAAGTGAAGATTGTAAAGGTGTGAGGAAGTAATTGGAAATTACGTGCTCGCTTGAGGCTTAATTGGAGGTTAAGTGCTCGCTTGAAGCTTAATACTGCTTTCCAAGGGTATTACTGTTTTTAATTTTTCTTTATTTTTTATTCAATCTTTTAAATTTACTTTTAAAAATTTTAATTGTTCAAGTACAGTTTTCTGCCCTTTACCCCCATCCCAGCCCACTCCCCCTTATTCGATCTTTATTGTATTTTTTCCATTACCATTTAGTTTCCTTATCCCCCCCCCCCCGCACCAATCTCCACACTGCTGTCCGTGTCCATGAGTCCGTTTTCCTTTTTGCTTGATTCCCTCCATCCCCTAACCTTCCCCCCTTAGCTGTCATCTTGCTCTCTGAGTCTGTCCCCATTTTCCTTGTTAATTCAGTTTGTTCGTTAGATTCCACATACGAATGAAATCATATGGTATTCGTCTTTCTCTGACCAGCTCATATCCCTTAATATAATGTTCTCCAGGTTTGTCAGTACCATTGCAAAGGGTACCATTTTCTTCTTTTTACTATCGTGTACATGTATCACGGACGTTTTATCCACTCCTGTGCTGATAGACACTCGGGCTGCTTCCATGTCTTAGCCATTGTAAATAACACTGCAGTAGACACAGGGGTGCTCATGTTCTTTCGAATTAGTGTTTTGGGTTCCTTCGGATACATTTCAAGAAGCAGGATTGCTGGGTCCAAAGAGTATTTATTACTCCTGGTATTTCAAAGGTGTGTTAACCTAGATGCACAAGAACAGGTAGACACGGCTGGCTTAAAACCTTTCTTTAAAGAAGTTATGTGCCTGGCCCTAATTGCCCACCATGACCTGCTTGCTGAGTTAGAAATTATGATCAGGTCACCCTGAGGAGTGACTTTGCATAGAACCTCCTTTTTAGTCTACTTTTTGCTTTAGCTAAAGACAGGTCAGTTGTCCCTCGGTGTCCGTGGGCATTGGTACTCCCTCACCTCCTCCATGCAGATACTAAAATCAGAGCACGCTTAAATCTCTTATATAAAGTGGTGTAGTTTTGCATGTAATTACACATGAAAATATATACTATATACATCCTGCCCTATACTTGAAATCATCTCTGGGTTATTTATAATACCTAATGCAATGTAAATTCTATGTAAGTAATTGTTAACTGCATTGTTTAGAGAATAATGACAAGAAAAAAAACTACATGTTTAGTACAGACACAGCCATTGTAGGCCTAGTGACATAGTACATACACTTCATCAACTTTACTTAAAAAATTTATAATTTTTAGAGAGAAACGTCGATTCGTTGTTTCAGTCCTTATCTATGCATCATTGGTTTGATTCTTCTTTGTGTCCTGACCAGGGCATGAACCTGCGACCTCCGTGTGTCTGGACAAGGCTCTGAACAAGTGAGCTACCCGACCAGGGCTCTAACGGGGTGTTTTTTCCGCACTTCAGTTACTTTCTGTTGGTGGTTGGTTGAATCCACCGATGTCGAACAGATCACATGGAGCTTTTATGGAGATCCTGAATAGACAGGATCTGGCACAAATAACACCCCATGTTTGTCATTACAAAATCATAAGTGTATAATTCTGTAACATAACAATGTCACACTCAAGCACACCATATGATGTGTTAGGTGAAATGTTCACATTAAAACTATAAATTATCACACCCATATTATGACCCTACCGACCACACTCAAGCAGGCCTTCCATCTGCTGGACCCTGCATGTAGTTTCGTTTTTATGGAACATCTGTGTTACAGTGTATGACTTCCTAGTGTTTGGCCTCTGGGAACACGTTAATTTTTGGAGTTGCACGAAAGCTCTGAAGAGTCCGGGGTCTGCCTTCCGACCCCTCGTGTTCAGCTGCCGTCCATCTTCGTCTCCGCCCCCAGCTCAGTGCCTTCTGTGTCCAGATGCTTGCAGGCTCTTCTGCTCCGGAGTCAGCTGTTTGCTCGCTCGTTGGTTTTGTTCGTTTTCTTCCTCCTTTGGATTTTATCCTTTCCCTTTCTCCTCTGGCATTTACCATTCATCTGCCACAGTTTTGTTGGAAATCTCTTTTGCTGTGATCTCTTGTTACTTGTTCCATTTAAGACATTTTCTTAGAAGTTATGGAATGCGCCGAGAGAAATATGTGCTAAACCACACACATTTATCTTCTCTCCAGTGTGTTTGTGAGAGACAGCCTTGTATCTTTAGCCAAGTTTCAGGGACATAGCCCATATTGGGAAGCATATTAGATTCTTTTTCATGCTGGGTAGCTATTGAGAATGTTTGTCTCCTCTATTTTCTCTGCACAGTAAATATCTATACATTATGTTTCTTGTGTATACCTGCTTTGTGAATAACTGTTTTAGAGAAATAGGGATTCATCTTAAAATTCATGGTGTGTCATTGTTTTTTTTTTCTTTTTTTAATGAATTTTTAGTTTTTAAAAGCTTTTTATTTGTTTATTTTTAGAGAGAAGTGAAAGGAAGGAGAGAGGGAGAGAAACATCAGTGTGTGGTTGCCTCTCATGTGCGTCCTACTGCGGACCTGGCCCGCAACCTGAGCATGTGCCCTGACTGGGAATTGAACCTGCGACCCTTTTGTTTGCAGGCTGGCACTCAATCCACTGAGCTACACCAGCCAGGGCGATGTTTTTTTTTAATGGAACCTAAAATAACATGTATTCAAAACAAGTATAATGAAAGATAATTGGTGGGGAAGTGAAATTGAGGTATATTTAATATATACTATTTGAAATCAGTACTAAAAATAACTTTTTTTACTAAGGTAAAATAACCTTTACATTTTTTCAAAAGTTTTTTTAGCGACATATGTTATTTTGCATTTTTCAGACTAGTTCCTATGTTCAGGGTAGACAGGCTTAAGACCTGAGCAGTGGTTTTATGAATGTTCATGTTACAATTACTTGTTCAACTGCTACTTTATAGAGAAGTAAATTTACTTACAACAATCATAAGCTCTGTTTGTTGTGTATAGGCATGGCTATATTATTCCAAGTGAAATTTTATTTTGTCTTATCATTTAAAAAGCTGAATATTTTATTTATTTTTAAACATTTTTATTGATTGATTTTTGAGAGGATGAAGAAGCGGGAGAAAGAGGGACAGATACATCAGTTTGCTGTTCCACTTGCCCATGGACTCACTGGCCGATTCCCGTGTGTGCCCTGACGGGGGAGTGGCCCCTCAGCCTTGGCATGTCAGGGTGGTGCTGTGACCAGCTGAGCTATTGGCCAGGGCTGAATATTTTATTTTTAAAATTCATCTTCAGTTGTGTGACTGAAGATGAATTTTAAAAATAAAATAGCATTGGGCTTGTTTCTTTTTTGTTTTGTTTTTTTCAAATTTTTATTTTATTGATTATGCCATTACAGTTGTTCTATTCCCCCCCTTCATTCCCCTCCACCCTGCACCCACCCCCCTACCCCTACCATTCCCCCCCTTTAGTTTATGACCATGTGTCTCAAGTTCTTTGGATTCTATATTTCCCATACTATTCTTGCCCTCCCCCTATCTATTTTGTACCTACCGTCTATGCTACTTATTTTCTGTACCTTCTCTTCCCTTCTCCTTCTCCCACTCCCCTGTTGCTAACCCTCCATGTAATCTCCATTTCTATGGTTCTGCTCCTGATCTAGCTGTCTTTTTAGCTTGGTTTTGTTTTAGCTGTGGTTGTTAATAACTGTGCGTTTGCTGTCCTTTCACTGTTCATATTTTTTATCTTTTTCTTAGATAAGTCCCTTTAACATTTCATATAATAAGGGCTTGGTGATGATGAACTCCTTAATTTGATCTTATCTAAGAAGCACTTTATCTGCCCTTCCATTCTAAATGAAAGTTTTGCTGGATAGAGCAATCTTGGTTGTAGGTCTTTAGATTTCATGACTTGGAATACCTCTTTCCAGCCCCTTCTTGCTGGTAAGGTCTCTTTGGAGAAATCAGCTGACAGTCTGATGGGAACTCCTTTGTGGGTGACTGTCCCCTTAGCTTGCTGCTTCTAGGATTCTCTCTTTCATTTTAATCTTGGGTAATGTAATTATGATGTGCCTTGGTGTGTTTCTTCTTGGGTCCAACTTCTTTGGGACTCTGAGCTTCCTGGATTTCCTGAAAGTCTATTTCCTTTGCCAGATTGGAGAAATTCTCCTTTATTATTTGTTCAAATAAGTTTTCCACTGGTGGCTGTTCCTGTCCCCCTTCTGGTACCCCTATAATTCGGATGTTGGAGCGTTTAAAGATGTCCTGGAGTTTCCTAAGTCTCTCCTCATTTTTTGAATTCTTGTTTTTTCATTCTGTTCTGGTTGGTCATTTTTTTCCTCCTTCTGGTCCACTCCTTTGATTTGAGTCCCAGTTTCCTTTCCATTACTATTGGTTTCCTGTGCATTGCCATTCATTTCAATTAGTTTAGCCTTCATATGTTCCTCTAATTTGTGACTAAAATCAACCAGTTCTGTGAGCATCCTGATCACCAGTGTTTTGAACTGTGCATCTGAAAGTTTGGCTATTTCTTTGTCACTTAGCTTTATGGGCTCTGGGGCTTTGAGATCTTCTTGAGCCATTTTTGGTCTGTTCAGGCCCATTAAGTATGAGGAGCGCTCCGGTCCTTAGGAGCGGGGCGGGGCCTCCAGGGCGGGGTCACTGCGTTGTGACACTGCATGTGGGGGCGGGATCAGAGTGGGGAAATGGCGGCCCCCCTCCTGCTTCCCACAGCTGGGTGAGGAGGGTTGCTCAGGTTGCTGGGTTGTGACGCTGGGACCCGCTCGGTCCCATCTCACTGCCCACTCCCTCGCTGGTCTATCTGTGCAGGAATGCGCCAGCACAGTCAACCTGTCACGCCCTTCACCCTCGCGAGATCCGCTGGTCGGTCACTGGGTGGCTCACTAGGTCGCTCACTGGGTCACTCACTGGGTCGGCCCTTTGCAACCCCACGCCTGGGATCCGCGGCCTGAGTCTGTCTGACCGAGTTTTCCTGTGCAACCCTGCTCCGACAGCTGCTGGTTTCGCCCCTCTTACTGGTCAGGCTGAAGCATTCGTTGTTATCAGACTTCTGAAAAGTTCAATTTTCTGTGTTCTGGCTGTGTTTTCTGTTGCTAATATTTTGTTGTCTCTAAACTTGGTTGTGTGAGAAAGCACGGTGTCTCCACCTATGCCTCCATCTTGGCGGAAGTCCGGGCTTGTTTCTTAAGCCCGGTGCACGATTACTGAAGGTTGTTCATTTTTCTTTCCGCATTCCCAGGGCCAGGTCCAAAGTGTCCTGCTGAACTTGGAGACCCTCCTATAGGCACTCGTGGGTTTTAACTGTTTCATCTCCTCTGTCTTCCTTTTGGCCTTTCTTAGTTCAGTTACATGGACTTGCCTGTGGTCTTGCCTGTAACCCTGTGTCCTGATAGCTGGTATCTCAGTTTTGTTCTCAGTTACCTCGCTGAAGGTTTCCCTGATTAAAGAAGAGAAACTTGAACGCTGTAGTGGCAACACTTGTCTTGAATGTTTTAACATTTAAACAAAAAACAAAGGTGAAATACTTAATGTTGATACACTGCTTGGTTGATGTACCGGGTTTGTTTAACTAATGAGGTGTTAGGACTCCTGGAAGCAGCTACCCTGCAGCTGCAGGCGGGGAAGGGATTCACAGGTGGGTTGGGAGCAGACTGTTTTGTTTGGGTGGGAGGACTGACCTTCCTTTTTGTGTTTCTGTCTCCTACCCGCCCTCCCTCCACTGCTACCAACTTACTTGGAACATGGAACATTCTCCTTGGGTTTGCATTTGCTGTGCTAAAGACCTTACTTTCAAAGGTCTTAACTCAATTTAAAAAACATTAAATTTTGAAGTTCCATTTTAATGAAATAAAATTTTATCTTTCAGAGTATCTTAAAGTGAGATCACACGACCCTGAGGAAGCTATTAGACATGATGTTATTGTGTCCATAGTTACAGCTGCTAAAAAGGACATTCTTCTGGTCAATGATCACCTGCTTAATTTTGTGAGGGAGAGAACTCTAGACAAACGGGTGAGTAGGAGTAACAATCAGTATAGGTTCTCAATGTGAGTATTTGAAGTTCAGTAGTATTTCCTTTCAAAATGTTGAGATTTAAATATAATTATCCCTTTTGGGGCGTGATAGGCATTTTCATATGAAAATGTTTTACTTCTTGCTGCATTAAATTTTAGTTCTTTTTCTTCATTGTTCATTGCCATCCTGAAAGTAAGGTGTCTTTCAGCCGTCGTCGGATATGCAGCTTGTGCGCTGGCTTTGGTACTTGACGTTCCTAAAGGGCCTCTCACGCAGCTTCTCTCTCCTCGTTGGCTCTCTTTCTCTTCCATGCGGGGGTGGGTTTGTAGTCCCATACCTGGTTGCAGCATCACTTCCACGGAATAGGAGAAGACAAGACACCTTCAGTTCCGCAGAGCTAAACTGGATATGCTTCTAGCCTAGGTTCCGGGACCCCAGCGTTCCTTCCTGAGGGGCCTCTGGGAGCTTCCCCAGTGAGCGGGGTCTGGAGGGCGAGCCTGGGGGCACTTGAGCTCCCCACAGCCTGGGCGGGGTCCTGGGCTCCTTTCAGGGTGCGCTCACCTCCTCTCCTGACCTTGCCTCGCCTCCCTTCCGTGGTGTGGACCTGAGGGACTTAGACTTCAGGGTTATTTTGGTGAAGGATAAAGAAATATTGGATGTTTTTAAGGGTTAATTAGCAAAGAAAGAGCTGTGAATAGCTTTGACTAAGTAACTTCAGTATTTCAATAGTTGCTCATAAGGCTCGATTAAGCCATGTCCATAATGTACTTCTCTCTAATAGTGCTGAAGTTACAGAATAGTCAGGAAGTGCGTGGCTTTCCCTCCAAATCTGTGGGTGTCAGAACAACTTGTTTTAACTGATAAATTTAGACTAGGCTTTACCGACTGTTTCACTGGGCTATTAAACAATGAAATGGCCAAGGGGCATGAAGAAGGAAAAGGAGATTCGTATCATGGTGGGAAAACAGTCTGCAAAGTGATTTGGTATTGACAGAAGTGTGTGTTTTGGGGTCATAGTTCATGTATATTTTTTATTACTGTGTTGTGTTCATTTTAGGGCTGCTTGGTTCATTCATATAAATATTAGTTGAGTGCCAAACATAATTGAATATATCTATGTTTTTGATAGGATTAGAATGCAGTCTATCTTTAATTTCTCCTGAAGACAGCAGTTTGGGGAATTAGAGTTAGAGATAAGACAGAATTAAGAGGTGAAATTTTTATAAACAAATTGAATTTATTCTATGAGTAAGACTTCTGAAGTCTTTTATTTCAATACATATGTGGTGGATGGATAAGACTATTTTTAATTTACTGCAATTTGAGGAAAACAATGGAAGATTATTGCTATGAATGATACTCTGCAAAGGAAAAGTGAATACTGTACAGATTCATGAAGTTTTCAGCATTACTGACATCCTACTGACTGTAGCGTTGTGTTCATGTAAAATGAAGAATAAATTCATTCTAAAATAATTGAGCCATTTTAGACATATTGTAGTATAGCCAATAGGTATTTATTTTAAAGATTTTATTTATTTATTTTTAAAGAGGGGAAGGGAGGGAGAAAGGGAGAGAAACATCAGCGTGTGGTTGCCTCTCACGTGCCCCCCCAACTGGGGACCTGGCCCACAACCCAGGGATGTGCCCTAGGCTGAGAATCCACCCGGTGACCCCTTGATTCCCAGGCCAGCACTAAATGCACTGAGCCACACCGGCCAGGGCCAATATGTATTTAAATAGTTGAATATATTTTTCTTGTACTTGAATTTGATTTCCAGATATATAAAATGAAACCCTCAAGTATCTTTACAGTGTTTGATAAAGCCAATATCAATATCCTGTATAATTTTAATGTAGGTATGCTTAATATACACCATAATTTGGGAAAAAATTGTAAGGGATAAGCTACAATTTATCCAGCCAACTCTTTCTTTGCCTTTAAAAATTGGCAGCATGATTCCCCTTCCAGTTCCAAGTGACTTTGTGTAGATTGGGATTGACTTTTATTTTTAGGGTAGGTGGTGGGTTTAAGATACCAAAGCATTAAAATTCTTCATGCATGTCAGTATATTTATATTTCACATAGTAGGTGTATTTAAATGATAGTGGTGGTTTTTATCTTTTCATTATTAATTGATACCCACTAACTTAGGTTTGCTGAAAATAAATTGCGTAAAGTTTATTATAAACTAGAAACCTAGACTTTCCTGAGTTAATGTAATGGAAGCATTTTTATGTTATGAGTAAATGCCTGTGCTTCGTTTGAAGTGGAGAGTGCGCAAGGAAGCCATGATGGGACTTGCCCAGATTTATAAGAAGTACGCTTTGCAGTCAGCAGCTGGGAAGGACGCCGCGAAGCAGATTTCATGGATCAAGGACAAATTGCTACATATATATTACCAAAATAGTATTGATGATCGGTGAGTTCAGGGTACTGTATATAAAGTTTGGGGTTGTATAACTGTTGTTGATCTGCTTTTTGAGCAGACTATTTTCTTCATAATTTTAAGTTCTTTCCTCAGCTTTAATGGCTCACGATAAAGGTACAGAGTGAGTAGTTTTCCTCCCTTCAAAGCCATCAGTGAAGCAGTGGTGTGCATGTAGTTTTACAGATGGATACAGCTTTTATGTTCATCTTTATGTATTATTTTAGAACAGAGTAATATTTAAAAGTAGGAATGTATATAATCATAGTTTACATTTTGTTTCATAGATAATTGTGTTAGAAGGATCACAATTATTTTTCAAATAAAATTTTTTCAAGTAAGATTTAAATGAAAATAAACCCTTTGGATTATAGACATTTTAAATAAAATGATGTCTACTCAGTTAAAACACGGCTTACAAGTTTGTGTATATACACATCTGAATATTATCTTTCTATTTTTCTATTCCAGTGCTAGGTTAGACTTGGTATGTATCCTAACCATTGAATAATTAGGAGACCTGTAAATCCTAGAGACTGAGTGTCTTAGGTTAACATTACACCCTAAGCAGTTTCAGTTATTATCTTATGAAAATTGAAGTTGTTAGACTTTTTGAGTGTACAGCATCAGTGTGTGAAGGATTTGCATTATGACTTAATAGAACTTTTTTTGTACTTTTAGCAAGATATTTTTTTATCATAGACACTATGAAACTTCGAAATATCTTAAAAATTTTGTTATAGTTTTAGCTGACAGATTGAAGGTCATTTTGAAGGACCTGGTGTGGTTTTTTTCTAACACTTTATTTTTTACATAAGACAGTTGACTTCTTGATACATAACTTGCCCAAAGAGTCATGCAGAAATAGTTCTCTTAGCTGGGTACAGTGGTATTTCTAGTGCATCCAGCTAAATTCTTTTTGCCCCCTATTATTTTATTTTTCTTTTTTTAAATTACAGTTTGCATTCAACATTATTTTGTAATATTTTCAGGGGTACAGCATAGTGGTTAGGGTCCCTCGATATTTCTGGTGCCCACCTGGCACCACACATAGTTATTACAATATTGTTGACTGGCCCATTTCACAGGAAGAAATCTTTGATTTGTAACTTTCATTTCCACTGAGAAAGCAGAAATTTCTTTCATGTGTTTTTCTTAAGTGTTTTGAAATTTTATGTACAAATTTAATGCCCACTGTACCAAACCAAGGCAGCGGCTCCTCTGTGCTCTCCCGTAGCCTGCTCGTGGAGCGGATCTTCGCCCAGTACATGGTCCCCCACAACCTGGAGACGGCCGAGCGGATGAAGTGCTTGTACTACCTGTACGCCACGCTGGACTCAAATGCCGTGAAGTAGGTCTCTCGTGTCCGGTGTTCTTCCTGTCTGTTCCGTGTGATGACTTTTGCTGGGCAAAATAAATGGCAACAGTTGCCATTTATAAATGGCAACAATTTGTGTAATGTAAACTTTGTTTAAATGGCCAGTCAGTAAAATATACAGCAGTTTTTTTTTCCAGGAAGTACTGCTTTCAACATGATTAACGTGGATTTTTGTAAGAAATTAAAGATGGTAATTCCTTTTTAATTTAGGCTGTAGTGATAATAGGTTATAATCAGGTGTAGAATCACATAAGGTTTCATCTTTAAATCAGTAAGACAGAGTGTAATAGGTAAAGTAACTGGTGCTTTAAGCGAAGGCCAGTTTCAGAGTGCAGGCCCTTGGGGAGGTGCAGGTGACGACGATGTGCAGGTGACGTGCAGGACGGACAGGAGTCACTGTCTTTGGAGCTCGGGAGTCGTTCCTTTGAAAAATTAGTATTGTAGTCATGTAACTCTCGGCTGTTGGAGTTTTCCAGTCCTCTCTGGTCACGGTCATGTGCCGTTAAAGACTGCATTCTCAGAGTGTGCCGAGTGACCGTCCTGTGGAGCTGCAGTAAGGCGGAGACCGCAGGCGTGGGTGTTCCGAGTTGCACTCGAAGGTGGAAAACGCCCCAGCGTGGCTGCTCTGCCAGTACCGCTCGGAAGCAACTTCCCCAGCGGAGTTTACGTGCCGTGTTTAAAGTAGTTTGTCATTTAAAAAATCCACAGATATTTTTCTGAAACTCAGTAAAGGAGGAGACGAAAGTAGGAACCACTTTGTAATGGTCTTACCTGTGAAAGAAGAGGCAGGTTCTGTGCTCCGTGTGTGGGGTAGAGGAGTCAGCACTGATGCAGACGGTCAGGAGTGACCGGGGGGAGTGTCGTCCACATTTGGAACCTCTCCTCTTTAATTGTTCAATTACGTGTGGCTCTGATTCTCCACAACTTAGTATTTCAGTGACATAAACTGCTGTCTGTGACTTAGATATATTTTCTTGAGCATCTATATAATTTATTAGCATTAAATTTTTGCTTGAGAACAATAAGAGTATTAAGAGGACATCAAAATTTTTTACCACATTAAAAACATTGACTTATATACAAGATTACCTAAACACATAAGTGTATAATATAACATCATACAGAATACTACATACATATATAACACAGTACATACCGTATTTCTGTCTAAGGAAACTGCTCCCACTCTCTCCGGACTGACTCCTTTCTGTCCTGCCTGCTCTACGGGACCTCACTCCATCCCCACCATGTCCACCTCTGTTTCTCAAGTTCACTGTCTCTACCAGTCACTTCTACACCCTGACCTACAAACATATTTTAGTCAATGATTCATCTTACCTATTTTTTACATCTTTTTGGGGGGGGTGCTGTTGAGAGAGCGAGCTTGAGAGAGAGAGAAACATCGACTGGCTCACTCAGTACGCATTTGTTGGGTGCTTCCTCTCTGTGCACTGACCAGGACGGAACCCACAGCTTCCACCCTCGGGGGCGACGCTCCAGGCAGACGAGCAGTACGGCCTGGGCTAGCTCACTTTCCTGCTCTTACTCGCAAGAAGAACCGCCACTGCTAACGTGTTACTGCTGATAAAGATGCCTCTCTTTTCTTCATACATCATCAGTTGCTAAGTCCTGTGACTTTTACATATCTCTGTCGTCTCCTTTTGTAATAGGAACTTAAAAAAAAGTAATACAGGTAGAATATTCTGGAGGGATTTTACCCTTTGTTACTTAAATTTACATGTTCCTATTTTTCAGAGCATTGAATGAAATGTGGAAATGTCAAAATCTGCTCAGACATCAAGTTAAGGATTTGCTTGACTTGATTAAGCAACCCAAAGTAAGTTCAGTCTAATGAAAAGTTGCCCTTTGATGTTAAGTTTTGTCTTCACCGTTGCCGCTGTGTGTGATGCAACTGTTTGAGTGGAACAGTTTTTGGCTCTAAAAGCTGTGATTTCTAACTTAGAATACTGAAATGTTGAAGAAACTTATTGCATGGGAAATTGAAATTTATTATGTGTGCCAAAGGTGATACCTAACAGGAAGAGAATGTGTGTCCATGAAAATGGAGGGCTTGGGGGTGGGGCGGGGTGTAGCTTTAAATGGAAAAGAGAGCGTTGGTGATAGAGGAGGGCTGTGCTTGGGTCAGGCTGCACCGAGACGCTGCCATCGTCTTGGTCGAGCCTTGTCGTTTTAGACAGTTTTTAGGTGCAGAGTGAAGTACCTTGGTATTTTTACTACAATTCCTGTTATGGTAACTTTAATGTTCTTCTTGGTCTTCATAATTGTAATGGGGGTAGGCATCCAGTTGACATACCATATATTTTACTTTTAGACATTTTAGAATGATTGTAAGTTTTTTATTTATTCATTTTTCTTTTGGAATGATGTGAGTATATGAAAACTATAATTCATCAGAAAGGCTGTGTGCCTGGTCCTTTTACGTGGCATCCAGGAAGCACTGTATGGTGTTATTTTTCATTGCTTTTTCAGTCCCTGGTTTGGAAAGCCCCTCCCACCCTCCACAGTGCACACCTCGTGTTCACAGGGCAAATGTCGGTAGCTGGAGCCGATTCATCCCAGGGGAGAAAGCGTCCAGGCCTCCTAAGTGTGCGCTTGGCCACTTGCCATAAAAATCAATGAGTCAACATTGGCTGTTTGATTTATAGTAACCCACTCACTGTAAATACAGGAATTACTTAACATTCACTTCATACCACAAACTATAGTAGACGTTATAGAGTCAGTTAGAAAAAAGATGAAGCTATGTTTAACTTTTGGGTGTTTATATTTCTTCCTATTTTGCTGGGAAGACTCAGTATACGTAATCATTAGTGTGTATTTTTTTTGCCTTCTTCACTATTCAGTCTGATTAAGGTTTTATTCTTACTTAGCTCCGTGTCCCTCAAAGTGACTCTGGTTTCCAGGATTGGACTTTCGTTGATGACATTTCTTTTCCACGTGGATCAGCTTCCTGAAAGCCCACACCACCTCTCTCCTCCCAAATTCAAATACTTTAAGTTCCCGACTTGGGGAATTAACTCTTACACTCAGTTATGCTTTGTCTCTCACTTGCTCTCAGCAAGCGCCTTCTTAATGGGGACGGTGTGTGTGTTTGTGCACTTGGTGTAGTTCTTTCACCCAGAGTTTTTCTGGCTCTGCGTTTTACACTGTTGTCCAGTGACATTTTTGGAAAATAACATCAACCTGCTGCAGCAAATAAGTAGCATTCTTTAAAATGTCTTGATACACGTGGCTTTGCAGACTGAGTATTGATGCAGCACAGTGTAGTGAACACATTCATGCACTAGAATAATATTAGGAATGATATCATCCTGGTGTGGCAAAGAACTAGTTCTCTTGCGAGAATTGTACTTTTCAATTTTTTTTTTTTTTTTAAGATCTGAGTAAAAATTTGAAAACCCACCTTTCTGGTTATCTTGTTCCTTTTCTAAATTTAGTTGCCCTGTTTTTTTTAGTAAAGAAGAAAAACAAGGTGTCTTTCTGTCCCAAAGGTTGGTGCTGCTGTCTGTTCTTTCTCTTTTTGTTTGGTAGGTGACGTATGTGGCAGGTGAGGGGAGAGGTGACAACATGCGGTGTTGTGTCACTTCCGCTTCTCACGGAGTCTGTCCGGAGTTCAAACATGGCGAGAGGGGGAGCCCCCGCAGTGTGGGTAGGGCGTGGGCCGGAGCGTCGCAGGCTGCACTTGGGGAGTTTTCTGAAAAGTATAATAGCGGTTACTCTTATTGTACTAATAATTTTAATTTTGTACTTTTTTCTGTGCTTCTCAGACGGATGCCAGTGTCAAGGCCATATTTTCTAAAGTGATGGTTATTACAAGTAAGTTATTTTAAATACTGTATGTAAAATTTAAGGTTTAGTTGAAACATCTCTGATAATTTGAAGTTTTTCACGGAGCTCTGATTTAGGCTCTGATAATATAGAAAAAGACAAAAATGTTTTTGATTGATATTTTTGACAGCTTAGTCTCAGCCTTCCCTTTTTTTCCCTGATTTTTATTTACTCTGCATACAACACATACAACAGAATTTTAATTTTTCTCTTGTATGTTGATACGGGTAAGAGCTGAATAAAGGATTTATATAAATTTATTTTTGAGGAATAATTTAATTTAATACTGCCTTGTCCAGTGTGGCTTAGTTTGGGGTCATCGTACAAAGCAAAAGATCACCAGTTTGATTCCTGGTCAGGGCACAGGCCTGAATTGCAGGTTCGGTCCCTGGTCGGGGTGTGTGCTAGAGGCAACAGATCAGTGCTTCCCTCCCTCTCTTTCTCCCTCTCTCTTTCCTCTCTCTAGGAGTAAATAAATTTCTTTTAATGTATTACATTAGCTGACTGTTAAAAGTGAATCTGTGCTTTGGTGTTGCTTGCTCTAATGAAAATCTATCTGAAACTAATTCCATTTTAAGCCAAAATTTAGAATGAAAGATATACCTAATAATTACAAAAGGGCCTCTTTGAAAAAATATTAATTTGCTTCTTTGCTCTCAGTGATTTCAGATAAAATGTTAGTGGCATTGACCAGTAAAGACGAAAGGAGTGTGTAGCACATCTTGGTTGTGCAGTGGAGGGCAAGGCCTCGGTAGCTTTTTCCGGGGGGCCTTTGCTTTCTGCCCCCTTGAGGCCACTGCGATGTGCACTGAGGGGTGGGGAAGCAGAGCCGCTTGGGGAGAAGCTGCTGTGGGCGGTCCACAGGGCGGTGACAAGGACAGGGAGATGGTTTTCTGAGATGTCAGCCGGTGTTCCACCGAGGGGACGGAGTAGCACTAAGACCCTGAAGTCCTAGTTCACTGGGTTATAGACTAAGTGGGAAGAGTTTCAGCCTGAGTAGGGCTTTAAGACCAAAATATAGCTTAGTCCTGGGCAGTTAACTATAAACTTGATTTTGGTCACTCTGGATCATTTCCAGCAGGTGCTACTCGTCCTGCTTTTTTAGAACTGTTTCCTCAGCACTTGGTGTGGATACACCCCTAAAGGATGTCATCTCCTGTGCTGTTTCTGCTCCCTGCCCACATCCGTCTTCCAACAGTTTCAGCATTTCCCAAATTCTGTCCTGATGAATGCTGGTGTCCTGCTGGAGTCTGGAGCATTGTTAGAAAAGAGGCTTCCATGGTCAAGTACCTTCTGCAAGGCTGACGCAGAGGGTTTTCCTTGCTCTTGTTGGTCCCTCCCTGTCTCTCTTCCTCCTTTCCTCTCCCTGCTCCATCCCCATCTCTTTTTGTTTTGTTTGTTAAATGCTAGGCCTTGTTATAGCCTTCAATGTGATGCCTGTGCCTCATGGAGGAACTGTAAAGTGTTTTCCAAGATTACTCGAAAATAATACAGTAGATGTTTTCTACTGTAGAACCACAAAAAGATTATCAGTGAAGTATTTAGGGGGGAATTTGTTCTTAATACATTCATATATTCAGCGATCTAGCCAAGAATTAAAATGGAATTTCAAAGTCATATATGAGTTTGAAGAATACATTTACTGTAATTTTATTTTAAGATTGATTTGAATTTCTATTAAAGCCCATAGTTCTTATGATAATTTTTGTTAGAAGTATCTATCTGGTCGTCTGTAACATTTGTTAAGTAGACAGAAAAAAGATTCTGGGAGCGACATTTTATTAGCTGTGGCAAGTATTTTGACACACAGATATATTAGGAGAGTTGTATAATGTTCTTCTCCAAGGACTCACCCTTCTCACGCAATCGTGCCTGTGTATGTCATTGGATGGTTCGGTAATAAACAACAGGGTACAAAGAGCTCCTTTCTTAAAGGTAAAACCGACTGGTCTCTTGTTGGGAATCACAAGAGAACAGTGTGTGCAGCAAGCTTGGGGGGATAATAAAGTTGGTACTGTTCAGGTCGACATTTAATGCCTTAAGTATTGCAAGGAATTATTTAGAAAGAGCCAGTTCAGTCTTTTCCCACGTAGACTGTTAGGATTAATAATCAGTAATAAAAATAATGGAAAATGTTAATCTTGCATTTGAGAAATTTCTAAATTCTATTTTAATTGAACTTTATCTTAAAGGAAATTTGCCAGATCCTGGTAAGGCTCAGGATTTCATGAAGAAATTCACACAGGTGTTGGAAGATGATGAGAAGATTAGGAAACAATTGGAAGTGCTCGTCAGTCCGACCTGCTCCTGCAGACAGGCTGAAGGCTGCGTGGTAAGGGAACAGCTGAAAGGGGCCGATGTCTGAAGAAGCCCCCACACCTGTTCTGGCCCCTTTTACAAAGTCCTGTGTATTCCTCATGTAAGATCCAGAAAAGCCACAAAAATAACAGTACAAATGTACCCTAATCCCCCGGTAGACTGTCACTGTTCTGTACACACACACACAGAGCTCTTCGCGCATCTCACATGTGTTCCTTAGTCTTCTGCAGTCCCGCACTGACAGCAGCAGCGTGGCGGCTGTCGCGTGGCGGGCGGTGCTTTGTCGAGCAGTCCACTCTTACACGTTTAGGTTGTCTCCCGTGTCTTTATGGTTAAATATGATTTTATACACTCTTGATTATTTCTTAAGGATAAATTTAGTATTGTCCAGTTTCATTTTTGGAAACAAAACTCATACAAAAACATAAGTTATTTTTATAGGATTTTTCTTTCTTGGTTGCTATTCATTTGACCCTTTTTTTCTCTCTGGGTGTATTAGCCATTCATATTCATTTGTGCATATTTCTTTTCTTTTTTTAATCTGTGCCTGTTTACCTGGAATGTTTGTCTTTGTCTTACTGATTTGTTAGTCTTTCGTGGTGGTGGGTAGTGATGGAGCCGCAAATAATCTTCTGTCCATCGTGGTTTGCCCTTTCATTTTATGATGTCCCTTATTTACTATAGTTTTTTAATCTAAATTTTATTTTTAAATTACATTTTGCATTCGTTTTTTTTTTAAATTTGTTTCAAGTATATAGTGTAGCCATAATTTTATTTTATTTTTATCTAGCTGAGTCTATCAGCATTTTCTTCAAGGATTTTGGCTTTGGTATCCTGCTTACAAAATTCCATTCTATATTACAAGTCAGTTGAATGTCAGTTTTTATTATTCTCTTGTTTCTGTATCTTCCAAGGGGCTTAAAAAAAAAGTTCTTGGCTCCGTCTCAAGTTGACAAAACGAAACCTTCACAGTGAGGTTCACAAATCCGGAGCTCAGTCAGTTCCCCTAGTAATTAATTTTGTCTGCTAAATTTAGTTTGCATGTCCCCCAACTCTCGGTTTTATTCTTCAGTATTTGTTGTTATTCTTTTAAAATACTTTTGGTGTAAGGTTTTTACTCTCACTCTGTTTTCATTCTAAATGTCTGTTCAGTTATTTCAATATACTATACTGAATAATCTAACTTTTCCCTACCTGAAATGTTACCTTTCTCATATGCTAAATTTAACCTCATCTCTTTTCTGGACTTGTTTGATTTCTGTTGCTTCATTTATTCCAGCACCAGTACTACATGGTATTAATTATGGTAGGTTCTTAACATTTTAATGTAATTATTTAAACAAACCTTTATAATATTTAAAAATCTACTTTACAGCGTGAAATCACTAAGAAGCTGGGCAACCCCAAGCAGCCTACAAACCCTTTCCTGGAAATGATCAAGTTCCTCTTGGAGAGGATAGCCCCTGTGCACATAGACACTGAGTCTATCAGGTATTTGTCTGCGTGACGCCGAGTCGTCATGTCTGTGTGTCATTCACGCTTCAGCCGGGCGGTCACTGCTGAGCGCCTCCTGTGCCAAGGAGGCTGCCTGTGTAGCCTGGTGTGTGTGCACACTCATCTGTATATCTTTATTTTATCTTAATTTTAAATACTGCTTTACTTTGTGTGAGAAATTGTCCATCCGAGCCTCGTTTTTGTCTCTCACCGGAGTAGCAGGAATTCCTGTTTGCGTTGGCTTGTTTGTGTTGGCTGATACAAACAAGCTGCAGGGTCTGCTCAGGAGGAAGAAACTGGGGGAACGTGCTGTAAAGAAACACGTGACGCCTTCTCACAGATACTTGGAAACTGAAGACGTTACTTTGAAAACAACCGTCCTTTAAAGTTTCAGCTTTGATATTACTGTGACATCTTGGAGAGCACTTTCTTTTTATTGTTCAGCTATTTCCTAAAATGTCTCAACTGGTTAAAAAATGAACGAATTATTATATATGTATGTGTAGGTGTGGCTGGCATCCTGATTTATTAGTCATCGGTAATATCTTTCAGAAGCACATTAGAACCTAGAATGAATAATACCAATGCCGTGCCCAGTGAAGCCCCTCCTGGGACCTCTGTTGGGCGTGAAGGGGGTAGGGTGCCGCCCTTGGCCTGCACTCCACTTGCCTGCCCCTCCCCGATGGAGGACGCAGGGAGGCCCAACTTTGGATATCTGTTGGTCAGTTTTTTAAAAATATATTTTATTGATTACGCTATTACAGTTGTCCCAGTCCCCCCTTCGTCCCCCTCCAACCTGCACACCCCCTCCCACTCACATTCCCCCCCTTTAGTTCATGTCCATGTGTCATACAGCATCATAACCCAGCGACTGGGTTGTCCCACACTGGCGAACGCCTAAGGCCCTGCCCTTCACTACGTGTAACAGGCACGACCAGACCACCCACCCCCTAAAAATGGCTCAAACTGAAGTACAAGATCAAAGCCCCAGAGCCAGTACATCTAAGTGACCAGGAGACAGCCAGCCTATTGGATGTTAGTCACTTCTGACTCCTCTTGTACCAGTTTTCATGTGAAGAAGGGGTTGTATAGTTGGGGAGAAACCGAACGAAGCAGAAAACTGTAACTGTCCTCATTAGTATGGGAGCAGTCTGAATCAGACTGGATTTCATTAATTAATTACATGCTTTCTCCCTTCAGGTCATTGCCTGTTAGGTATTGGCAGAGCATATTCCTACTTCCTGCTCTTTTCCTCAACCTTCTGTCTAGTAACTTAGAGTCTTAATGTTAAGAGTAACTTAACCATGAGTCTTAACCAGGAGACTGTGCCCCAGTTCCACACAGTTAGTGTGGTAGTGTCGGATGACTGAGAGGGGTCTTCTCGGGCAGCATTTGCATCTGCCCCCGAGAGGACACCGGGTGGGACTCTGTCTCTGCAGAGACGCACGCGAGCCTTCTAGGCGTGGAGAGTGGCACCGGCCAGGCTCTGGCTGGGCTGCAGAGGACAAGGTGTGGGTGTGCATGCCGTCTGTTCAAACTGCAGTGCAGAGAGGCAGTCGAGAGTCCTGAGATGGTCCTAAGCATCCCTGGGATTAGGTGCGGACGGCATTTACAACCTGACTTTGCAGCTTTGACCCAGTCCTTTGGTCTGTGAAGAAGCACGACGGAGGGTGGACGGAGGATGCATGGCAGGCGGGCGAGGGGCACCCACTGAGGCCTTGGCGTACTGTCTGTGGGTGAGGGTAGCGGGATGGAAAGGAAGGGGTCTTTTTCTTTTTTAAAAACAAAGGGTTTTTAAAGAGTGACCTAAAAAAATAGGTCATCTTACTGAAAATGGGGAATAAAGGTAAGGAAGAGTCTGAGGTACCAGAGCTCAGGCCCAAATGGTAAAGAGGATAGTAAAGCCTCGAAGAAAGTGAAGGGGACCGGTTGTCAAGGAGGTGAGCACGGCTGTGCTGCTTTCTTGGAGGCAGCGCCTCGTTGTTGTAAAACACCAGGGCACGTGGAGTTTGCTGTGGCGCTGACTCTGGGTTACCTCTCGGTGCCTAGAAGGAAGTGGGAGGGTCCGGAGACCATGGGCTGGACCCCACACCAGGAAAGCGTGAGAAGATCAGGGCACTGCAGCCGTTTTCAACCCTTTTTTATCTCGTAGCACACGTACACTAATTACAAAAGTTCTGCACACCAACAAAATATGATTTTTGCTGATCCAAAAAAAACAGGTATAGTTTTGATTCATTCACACTTGCTGCTATTGTTGTGTCGGCCGCTGTCATCTTTTTACCCGCCGGTCGGAGGGAAGAGAGGCCACACTCCTGGCTCCAGCGTCAGGAGCTGCGTGTTTCACGGATGCTCGCGTGTGCGCCTGCTGAGAGTCGCGCTTTTGCAGTGTTTTGAAAGTTAAGATGAAGGCAGTTTTCAGGAATAATTTATAATGGGTTTGTTGAACCTTATCCCACACCAAGTTGTATTCCCTTGAGGCATTTAGAGATTCAGTGAAAAATGTCTCTTGTATAATACTGCATTTCCATCTTAGGAAAATACTTGCCTTGATTAATTTGAATCTGTATGCAACCTTCATCTAATTTTAGAATTTATATACAGATTCTGTGCATTTAAAACTTTTTATACCTACTTACTTTATATATTTGACTTGTCATTTATAAGTACATTTTTTTCCTTCTGTATTTTAGGTGACTGGCTTACATAGAAAAACACTACTGATTATTTGAACTTAGTATTTTTGTCATAATTTTAGTTGATTTCTTTTGTTTTTTTTGGTCGGTACTTTTACTGACAGACTTGTACGTGTAGCTCTTATTCTTAGGTTTTTAGTTCAGTTGTACCTTTTCAGAAATATCTTGTCTAACTATTCTTGGTAAAAAAAGTTTACTTCTGGTGTTGGCTTTTTTCTAGTCCTTATTCCTTGATTATCTTATTATTTATTAGTTTTTCTTTTTGGCTTTTCTTCACTAGACTGAGAGCTTCATGCTCTTAAATAGTGCCTTTAAGTTTGGATATGTGATATTTTTCATTCCTGTATCATAACATCTAGGTAAGAAAACCTTGGGGCTGTTGAAAATAATGGGGATCGGATTCAGGCTGAAGGTTTTCATCTGGGGTAGTTAGAGCTATGAGAATTGATTCATTGGGGAAAATGGGTAGAAAAGGAGAGAAAATATCCTCAAAGGTACCAACTGTTAAGGAGACGGTAAATATAAAAGGTTCCTGCAGGGAGACAAACACATTAGACTGCTAGCTTGACCTTAAATTCTAGTGCATAGTATTTTTGTAGAAACACAGATCTAGTAAAGTTACTAGAGGCCATTGGATAATGAATTTTCCCATATTTTGATACATATTATGTCTTTAACCTGGTGTTTGTGTTTTTTTATAAAAAATACCAATGTGAATAATTATTTTAGATAATTGGTAATGCATTTACAGATGTTTGTTTTAAAGATAACATAAGCTTGTTTTTAGAAGAAAATGATGAAACATGGTTCTTTTTTAATCTGTCTCAATGTTCCCGTGAAACATTATCGTGTGTCCATGACCTGGGTCTTCCTGCACCTTTCAGCAGCAGCAGCAGCCGTCGTGTGCCTGCCTCTGACAGTGCGTCGGCCACACGGGTGCTTACGGGGTGGTCCCAAAGTGCCTCCTGTTGTCGTTTATCTTCCGTGTCAGCGCGTATTTTCTTTTCTCTGGAGAAGTTGTGAACTTGAGATGATTGGAAAACCTCTGTCTCTCATGTGTTTGGGCATAATCCTTTCATGGAAAATACAAGAATAAAAATATAGAGATTAATAAACAGCAAATGAAATGATATCTTGATTCATTTGAGTGGACAAAAGAAAATACTGGTTTTGAAAAGAAGCATCTCAAAATACAGTTTTTGTTTTGATTTCCTAAAGGAAATCAAATTTGTATATGGTTTGGATATGGGCTGTCTAGAAAATATTCAGGATTCTTTTAGGCGTTGCTAATAAGGTATAGTTAGAAACGACTCTTTAAATCTTTCTTTAGTGCTCTCATCAAGCAAGTGAACAAGTCGATCGATGGGACGGCAGATGATGAGGACGAGGGCGTTCCGACCGACCAGGCCATCAGGGCAGGCCTCGAACTGCTGAAGGTGAGCGCGCCCTTGGAGGTTACGGGGCCTGGAGGAGAATTTCCTCCGTCCTCTTCAGGGATTGGGGTGGCCAGAAAGTTTGGCTTTTCCGCAAAATGGGTCTAGTAACACTTAGTTGTCTTTAACTTCATTTGGAACAATTTTGTTAGATGGTATTATAATAGCTGCCATATCAGCATGCATTTTCAAAAAATTCTTATCAAAATTGATTTTTTGTGTAGTCATTTTTAAAATATTGAAGATGGAAGAAAATATTCAGCGTTTTCAGCATATAATGCTTTATTATTTTAAGAAAAGTAAAAAATGCAACTAAAACACACACAAAAGATGTGTACTGTATGGAGAAGGGGTTGCAACTGATGAAACGTGTCAAAGTGGTTGGCGAAGTTGTGTGCTGGAGATTTCTTGCTGGACGATGGTCATGGTTGGGTAGACCAGTTGAAGTAGGTAGATCAAATCGAGACATTAATTAAGAGCAGTCAACTCTATACCACATGGGAGACAGCTGACATACTCAAAATATATGTCAATAACATTATTCACAAAAATGAAAAATGTGTCTTTTATTTTATGCAAAAAAACATATGGACTTTTTGACCAACCCAATAATTTATTTGTAGGATTGTGTTTTGTTTTTTTAAGTTCTCACCTGAGGATGTGTTTATTTTTAATTTAATTTAATTTTTTATTTTTTTAAAGATTTTATTTATTTATCTTTAGAGGGGAAAAGAAGGAGAGAGGGAGAGAAATATCAATGTATGGTTGCCTCTAATGCGTCCCCTGCTGGGAACTGGCCTACAACCCAGGCATGTGCCCTGACTGGGAATTGAACCGAGATCTTTTGCTTCGTAGGCCTGAGTTAAATCCACTGAGCTACACCAGCCAGGGCGAGGATGTGTTTATTGATTTAAGAGAGAGAGAAACATAGATTGGTTGCCTCCCATTTTTGCCCTGACCAGGAATCAAACCCACAACCTTTTTGGTGTATAGGAACAGTATTCCAACTAACCTAGCCACCTGGCCAGGGCTAAATATTTTTAGTTTTAAATTGTATATTATAGCCTAGTATTAATTATGTTAAAATGGTAGATTGTAATTTGAAGGTTTCATTACTAATGAGCAAGGAAGGTGCTTGCTCTACCCTGGAAGGAGACAAATTCTTCCTCAAACTCCATTTTATTTTTTGTTAGCTAATGTACTGCTGCCTTATACTGATTATAAAAACATTGGTTAATTGTTGACAACTTAGTAAATGTGAAATTATGAAGAACAACATTCATAAATCATATATAAATATTAGTTTCTTTTATTCTTTTTAATCTTTAATTTTTACAGAGTTCAGGTCAGACTGAATGTACAATTTTATATCTTGACTATTTCTTATTAAAATATAAGCTTTTTTAGTGTTTTTTAAGACTTTTTAAGAATGTCAAAAAACATCTTATTTTTGGCCATCAGTCAGTAGGTGTGTGCTTCTGGGCTTCACCTTCGCGCCCTCGTCTGTGACGCGCAGTGATCGGAACAGGGCTCACCTCACTGACCACTCCATGAGGTGACACACATGGGTTTTTAGTAAAGCGTCTGGCTCATAGTGAAAACAGGAAATGTGTTTTGAAGTAGTGATTCTCTTTCGGAATGTCATAATGCTTCCATCTATTTCTCTATTGCTGGATATTTAGATATTTTAAATTTTATGCCTATTACCACTACTTAGGTAAATATTCCTGACATCTCTTACTAAGGTTCTTAAGAAATTTCCTAATCTTACAAGCAAAAATAAGCTTTTAACTTGCATAGTTATTGCAGAGGTGTACTAGCAAGGTATGGCTTTCCTTGTCAGTCGTTAGTGTTTTCCCTAGGGTGGATGCGTTATTTTTGTTCTTCATTTTCTGCTGACATCTCAATCTTTTGTTTATTTGTTTTTACCTGATTTAAGTGAGCTTTTTAGTGTCTCTTGCTGTTCCATCGGACATATTTGGTACACAAATGCGTTCTGTTTAAGTGTGAAGTAAGCGGTAGAGTGTGTTAATGGGAGGAGCACAGAGGGAAGGAGCCCGAAGGCTCAGGTGGAGCCCCTCGGGCGTCTCCCCACTCCCGCAGGTGCTTGTCCCGCAGGTGCTTGTCCCGCACTCTGCCTTTCTCCGCCTCTTTCTGGTTCTGCCACCCTGCCTACCTGTGCGTCTGCCGGCACATCTCCAAATGACTGCTTATTTTGACTTTCATACATATGTATTTGCTACTAGTCACTTGTTTTTACATTCCACATTTGAGTCCAGTTAAGCTTTAAAATAAATCCCATGATTTTCAAAGAATTTTATTTGTTTTTGTTTTTTAAATCCTGAAACATAACCTATCTGAAATTTATTTCAAAACTGTATGCTTTGGGGGGTGGTCCAATTTGACTTTCTCCAAATAACTACCCGGTTTTACCATAACTATTTATTAAAAATTCCATTTATTCTCATTTATCTTCTCTTGTTTTCTCTATAACTTATTATACTCTATATAATCTAAGTTTCTATATGTACTAGGCTCTATTTATTACTTTTCTGTTTTGTGTTTCTTCTAATGTTAGTACCATGCCGACTTGATTATCGTAACCGTGTAACACCTTTTACTAGCTGGTGTTCTACTTCCTTAGATTACTTTTCCCCCAAAACGTTAACTAGTTACTCTAATGACCTTTATTTAGAGGAATAGAGATATTTTGTTAAGTTCTTTTTTTGTCCTTTTTTATCCTACCCTCATTTCCCTTAAAAAAAAACCCCCATTAACTGAAATCCAAATTTTTTAAAGTAAAATTATATTAACAATTTAATTTTGAAATAATGAGTTCTTTGGATTATATAGTCTTAAACAAGAATATTGCTGTTACATATTTAAGCACATTTTAAATGTTAAAGTGCTCTCATTTACTTGTTAGCACAATTACTTTTGTACTTGATTTGTATTTCTACTACATAATAGTTTAGATTTATATTGTAGAGATGAAAAGGGTTTACAGATCATTTTTATGACTGATTTTTTAGGTGCTCTCATTTACACATCCCATCTCGTTTCATTCTGCTGAAACATTTGAATCTCTCCTGGCTTGTTTGAAAATGGACGATGAAAAAGTAGCAGAAGCTGCACTCCAAATTTTCAAAAACACAGGAAGCAAAATTGAAGAGGATTTCCCGCATATCAGATCGTGAGTCAAGTTTATTCTGATAAATATTCTGGAAAATAGAAAAGTTAATTCACTGTTTCTTGAATTATGTAATAGGAATACCTTATACTTCGAGGAAATAACGTCCAAGTTGTCTTAAGTTGATAATGTTTGCTTTAGATTCTCATTTTCTGGAATGAAGCACTTCTTGGTATTTTAGAAGATTCATGAAAATGTGGGGTGCACTGAAGCATTAATTTTACTTAACCGAACGAAATGGGACGGGTTGTCCTCCGTGTGTGTTTATGCTTGTGGAAGGAAAATGCATCTGCGTTCTGTTTTTAACATAGCTACTTACAAAGCAGAATGATACAGGATTAGAAGGGAGTCTGAGTAAGTAATGTAAGTACCTGGTGGAAGTCATGTTGATTTTTCTGATCTTTTGTTTTTCCCTCTTTTTTAGAGCTTTGCTTCCTGTTTTACATCACAAATCTAAGAAAGGACCCCCCCGTCAAGCCAAATATGCTATACATTGTATCCATGCCATATTTTCTAGTAAAGAGACCCAGTTTGCACAGATATTTGAGGTAAAGAGAAAAATGTTTTTTGTTTCATGTATTCTAGTTATAAAACAAGTTCTCCTGAATTTACAGAACGTTCTCATTTGGAGACATGTCATTTTATAGCGTACAGTACGGCCTCACTCAGCTTCGGTGATAGATTCTGAGAGTTTGAGTGGAATAACACCCAACAAAACACACGGGTTCAGTTCCTGTGGCATCTCCACAACATGACAGTGTGTGAAAACCTGCTGTGCTTTCAAAATTGAGTCATATAATTAATGCTGGCTGGTGGCTAAAATGTGCAAACATCTGACTATTCTGATGTTTGTGCTAACTCAAGATATCAAACAATTGTATAATTTTAGTATGTATATATTATATTTTATACACTGTATTCTGATGCATTTAGTATTAGGAAACAAGTGGTTACATATAAAATTATACTTATTGATAGGTAATAGATGATGATTTTGTCATTTTTCAGGTTTGAAAACTAGATTTCTATTTATGAGATACTAATGAGATGGGTTTTGTAAATCAGTGCTAATTGGAAATATAAAGTAAATAGGTTTTGCTTTAATGACCGACCTGATTTTATGTCATATTAAAGTATATCTTTTCAATATATGTTTTCTATTGTTCTAACTTATAATTTTAGTTCATGAGCCTTGAGTGAAATCAAAACAGTTTGGGAATGTGTTGAGGCTATCTCCATAAATACTTTGACTTGTCTTTGTCTTATAAACATTGACTCTAATGTTGTCATATGTGGTGTGTTAAAGAACTGAAGGAGGACGAGAAGTCGTATTCTTTAACAACATTATCTGTAATATGTTTTGTATGGGAGAGTGACTTCAGTGAACTCATGTTGATTTATAGAAATCTTTTGTTCGTCTTAACCTTCCCTTTCTAATGATGGGGAGGCGAGGACAGTGTTGATCATAACTTGAATTTTTAAGATTCTTTTATTTTCATTTTTACAAGAGCCTGGCCTGCAGTCCTAGGACAGGGCCAGCCGGCTTTCCGAGGAGAGGTCTCATAGACACGTCTCATCTTTACCTTGTCTTTCTGAAGGCGCTGTTGAGTTGCGGCTCTGGCCATTACTTTTGCTTTTTCAAGAGTGATTTTTATTATTTTATTGTGGATCTGAGGAGAGGTCTTATAGAGATGTCTCATCTTTATGAGGGTGCTGTTAGTCCTGGCTCTGGCCATTCATTACTTTTGCTTGTTCAAGAATGATTTATTATTTTATTGTGGAAAATTGTCACACTCACTGTGATAGACTAATTGAAGCTAATTTACATGATCATATTTTTGTTTATATTAAGAACAACAAACTGGAACTTAAATTTGCTATAGAAGTATTGAGGGAAGTCAGCAAGACGTTACCTTGTTTAAATGCACTTCTGACTGAATGAAGCTTTATATTGCCCTCACACACTGGGAAGGTGCAGCTCTGTATCACTTTTTCAGGCTCCAGTTTCTTGGTGCTCAGTTTGGGAGGCTAGAGCATCAGTTCAGTGAAATCGGTCATTAAAATTTTCAGTAACCAATATATTTACTTGCTTCACAATCAGAAGTTGCAAAACAAATATCCAAATAGTGGAAGAGTAATGAGTTTTGTTCTCCTCCCAACATATATGTATCCCCAGCCACCTTCTTCCCTTTCTCAGAGGCAGCCGATGTTGTCGGTTTGTAATGTGCTTTTCTGGAGAGGTTTCGTGATACACAAATACTGCAAATACAGACATACACAGCTTGTCCCCTTGCCCTTTGGCCCGTGATAGCCTATTATAGTCCCTTACTAATATTTGGTTTTAAGAATTTGACAGTACCTTTTAGGTATTCTGTATGTGAATATAGGGAACTCCATTCTTTGGTCATGGCAAAATGCGTATTATTGGTTGGGTTTCGTATCAATAATAATTTCATTAGTTACGGTATTTAATATGTGATGCTATAAAAATCCATAAGAAATGCATGTGACTGTATAATAAAAGCTTATTCCTTGCTCCTGAAAAAAGTCCAGAAGGGTGTTTGAACTTCATGCCTGTCTCACTGGCTTGGGCACGCATACTCTTTCTGACCAGCAGCTTCCTGGTGAGGTCCCCGGACCCGTGCATTCAGCCAGCGAGAGAGGAGCAGAACGTGCGTCTGTGTGGGCATGACGCACCTCGCTTTCTCTGTTGTCCTGCTCACCAAAACTGACCCAGTATCCTCACCTGACTGCCGAGGAAGCTGCACCTTGAGTCACCCTGTGCCCAGGAAGTTGAGCAAAAATGAGTGTTGGTGAACCCGCTCAGTCTCTAACGTGGTTCTCCATGCTGAGATGTTTCTTTACCTACTGCTAAATGTGACTGGAGCAAAACCAAAAATACTTGCTGGGATGCTTTCTAGACATGAAAACCTATGGAAATTTCAGTGTGAGCTTGAGTTATTAAAATTATGCCATGTACATGTGCAAGAACTTCTGTAGTTTGTTTAATTTGAAAATGAAATGTGTGAACAGTTTATTCGCATGTTTATAGGGTTGGATATATTTTCCTTGCCTCCTTTTCAGCCTCTGCATAAGAGCCTCGATCCGAGTAACCTGGAGCATCTCATTACCCCACTGGTCACTATTGGCCACATCGCCCTCCTCGCCCCTGACCAGTTTGCCGCTCCGCTGAAGTCCTTGGTGGCTACTTTCATCGTGAAAGACCTTCTCATGAACGATCGGGTAATTCGCACTTCTCTGCTAATGTTCTTGCTGGTGTTACCTTCTAAAATTTTGTACAGCAGAGACGTGAAATGACATAAACGACACTTCCATTTGGCTGCCCAGTTTAGGTTTCCCTGCGTTTTGAGCAGGCTGCTTCTCCCCTGCGAGTAAAACAGCGTTGGCACATCTCTGCAGCTCAGCCAGGGCACGTGCGCCGAAACGCCGTCCTTGGCGAACTCTGAGTACCCCCTGCTTCTGTCCTCCGCAGCCTCACAGGGTTTAACTTTTGTGATGACATCTTCCCTGCGGGAGGCCGACAGGCTTGCTCACAGTGTGGTTGTCAGGACAGTAGCAGTCCCTTCCCCGCACACACACGCCGGAGAATCGCTTCCGAGAGCCCAGGCCGGGGGGAGCGCCTGGGAAGAACGAGGGGTTGAGTCCATCCTTGGGTGGTGAGTGCAGCAGTCCCCCTCGTCCACAGCTGCGCCTTCTGTGCTCTCAGTCACCCACACTCGATTGCATTCTGAGAATACTGAGTGGAAAATTCCAGAAGTAAAGAGTTCCCCAGGTTTCGGTAGCTTGGCATTCTGGGTGGTGGGAGGAGACATGCTGCTGTCCTCTGTGCTGCCTGGGACGGGTGTCCCCACTCTGTCCAGCGTCTCCCTGCTACTGCTCCACACGCAGTTTCGAGAGATCCTAGGGAAGACTGAGACAGTGACTGTAATCACGCAACGCTCACCACAGTGTGTTACCATAGTTGGTCTGTTCTTATTAGTAATTAACATCTCACTCGGCTGTGTATTAAACTTCATCTTAGGTATGTACCTACAGAAAAAGTCTACACGCAGGCAAGAGTAGGTTTACATTTATGGCTCCATGAAATGGAGTTTATTCTTTCTTATTAATTACTGTATTGTTTTCCTTATGAACACCTGTAAACCTGCTTTTGCTCTACCCTCTTTATTAGCCACTAGAAAACACATACAGCTATTGAAATTTTAAATTGAAATCAAATGTAATTACAAACTTATTTACACATTTCATGTGCTCAGTAGCTGCCTGCTTCTAGTAGGGACAGCACAGGACTCAGTCCTGCCATCGCAGCTCTGCTGGACTCGGTCCAGCACGGGACTCAGTCCTGCCGTCGCAGCTCTGCTGGATGGTGTTGCTTGGAAGGTTCATTGTTTTAACTTCCCCACTGAACTTTGTGGTCTGCTTGGAGTTGACTTTTGTATACATTATGATAGGGACATCCCGAGTCATTCTTATTTCCATCTGACGCAGCACCATTTATCAAAGACTTTCTTCCCTAGTGCTGAAAAAACAGACATGAGATTGTGTTAACATAAAATGAACTATTGTGAAGTATACAATTCAAGTGGCATTTACTACATTCACAGCGTTGTACGACCACCATGTCGTCCTAGTTCCAGATCATTTTCGTGACATGGCCACCCCCCATCCCCCGTGATTTCCTCGCTCCGACAGCCACTGGTCTCCTGTCCGTCTCAGTGGCTGTACCTGTTCTTGACTCTTTCCTGTGGACCAAGTCGCGCAGTATGTGACCTTTGGGGCCCGGTGTCCTCCATGTGGTGTGTGTTTTTGAGGTCCGTCCTCTTTGTAGCGTGGGTCAGTGCTACGGTTCACTTTGTGGCCGAGTAGCGTCCTCTTTGTAGCGTGGGTCAGTGCTACGGTTCACTTTGTGGCCGAGTAGCGTTCCGTTGTGTGTATTTTTTCCACAGTTTGTTTATGTGTCCATTCGTTGTTGGGCATTTGGGTCGTTTCTGCCTTTTGAATTCACAGTTCACTATTGCAAATAGTGCTGCTGTGAGTTTTGTGTCTGTCTGTTTGCCTGTCTATTTTCAGTTCTGTGGGGTATTTTCCTAGGAGTAGATTTGCTCCTAGGAGCAAATTGTATGGTTGTATGGGAATTTAACTTTTGAGGAGCTGCCAAGCCATTTTTCCCAGTTTCTGCATCATTTTATCTTCCCACCAGCAACGTATGAAAATTCTGATTTCTTTCCATCCTTGCCAACTTGTCATTTTCTGTTAATCCGATTGTAGCCATCCTTGTGAATGGGAGGTGGTGTCTCGTGCTTTTGATGGTGTTCTCTAATGACTGATGAAGTTGGGCTTGTAATGTTCTTATTGCCTCTTTCTGTACCTTTTTTGAAGCAATGACTGTTCAGGTACCTTCTTTAATTTTTTTTGTCGAGTTGTGATAGATATATATACTAGATACAAGTCTCTTATCAGATCCATGGTTTACAAATATTTACTCTCATTCTGTAGGTTCTTTCCCTTTTTTAAAGTTCTTTAGTTTTTTAAATTGATATAATCGACATGTCATTATGCAAGTGTTAGGTGTACAACATAATGTTTCAGTGTTTGTGTGTATTGTGAAGTGATCAGCACCATGTGTCTAGTTAGTATCCATCACCACACGTAGGTATACATTTCTTTTTCTGTGGTGAGAACTTAGGAAATTACTCTGTTAGAAGTTTTCAAGTATACAGTGCACTATTACTAACTGTATTCACTATGCTGTGCATTATGTCCAGTGACTTACTTACATTGTAACTGGAAAGTTGTATCTTTCAACCCCGTCACCCACACCTCACCTCCTTCTCTTGGAACTGCCAGTCTGTTCTCTGTATCTGTGAGTTAGGCTTTTGTTGGTATTATTTGGGTTTTGTTTTGGTTTCTGGTTTTTAGATACGTTTAAAATGAAGAAAGAAAACACCTACCAGAGGTTTCTTCTGTTGGAGGAGGTTAAATGACGGTGACAGAGAGGCCGAGTCCAGTGAGAGCCTGGGGGTCCCATTTTCACTCACGGCTGACAATCGGAGGTTTGCAGAAACAGCTCAGGAACCAGAAATTAAATACCAGCTCAGCTGACCCTTTGGGAACAGGGCGGACATCCCAAACACATGCTGCTGAACGTTTATGGAAAGAGGGCTTCGAAAGCAGTTCAGTTGAGAAGTGCCCTCAAAGTCTAAAGTGGAAATAATGAAAGTGAAGTCACAACAGAAACATTCTGCTAAAACTTCTGAACTAAGTGTGTGAGAAAGATCCCAAAAGCTTCCATGGGGCAACCTACCAAAAAAAGTAGGAATCAGATTAACTTCAGATTTCTCAGCTACAAGTCTAGATTCCAAAAAACTGTTATAATTTTCTGCTGCCAAGTGACTTGAAACAGAAGATTCTAGTGATTCACGAATGAGGGGAAAGTACTTTCAGAAATCCAAGACCAAGTTTCCAAACTACATTGCTTCTTGAAAGAATTACTGCTCAAAAATACATTCCACTAAAATACATAATTTACCAAAAACAGTTCGGTCTGCATGAAAAATATGTATAGAAAATACATGTACAAATAGGAGGAGTGCATAGAGATAAAATATTAGAGGGTCAGAAAATAATGAAAATCGGCATGCTTCATACATTTGATTAAAAATAAAGAGTTTAGCAAGAAAGATGGTATAAGATCAAATCTATAAAATAGTTTCCCAACTTAGCCACAATCATAAAACCCACTTTTAACAACCAAAGTACCTACCAAGTTGTACAAGAGAAAACCTAAAACTTTCTTTACAGAGAAAATTAAACAGGTATGTGAAAGACACCTTGTGGATAAGCAGGCAGAGCAGCGGGAAGGAAGAGAGGCGGACGTGACCTGAGCAGTGGCCTCGCAGGAGACCGGGCACAGGAACTGGGCCGTCCTGCTGGGGCAGACGAGGGGAGGGGGCCTTGAGCCTCCGCCCACAAAGAAAACAGAGCAGTTCCAGATGGGTTCAGTTTTTGATGTGTGAAAAAAGCCTTAAAACTGTTAGAAGAACACATGGGAGACCATTTTTATGACATTAAAGTAGGAGCGGACTTCTTAAATAAGACACAAAAATATTAACTACAAAAGAATGATCAATTTAGCTACATTAAAATTAGTAGCTTTTGTTCAAAGGACACCGTAAAGGGAGGGAAAGACACACCAGAAATTAGATTTTACGTATTTCATTAAGATATTAAAATATGTAGCTGAAAAAAATAATGTGTATAAAGAATAACTCTGAAAAAAAGACAACATGGGAAAAAGGTGAAAGACATGAAAAGGGATTTTGGAAAGGAGATGACAAGAACGGTGGGGACTAGACATGTAAACCTCGTTAGTAACCAGGGAAGTGCAAAGGAAAGCTGTACGGGCACACTTTTATATTCATCAAGTGGGAAAAATTAAGAAATCGGTTAAGAATTGATGCTACACACTGCTGGTAGGAAAATAAGTTTTAACCATTTTGAAAAAGAATTTGACAAATTAAAAGTTAAATGCATGTTCACACTGACTTGTACTCATATGAATATAATGTAGGGAAATTCCTGTTAATATGTATCAGGATGCCTCTGTAATAACATTTATTGAGTTATTTTGCACAATGATAATACAGAGTAATAATGAATGAGCTACATTCATTAGTTCATTAGTCAGATTTAATACAAGGATTATTCTAAGAAACAAATGTGTAATGATAAAAGTGTCATCCAAGAGTATATATGGTATAAGACAACCTTCATAAACCTCAGGAACTAGCAAACTAATGCAGTGTAGAGAGAGAGATGTGGTAGGTGAGGCTCTGTCATAGGTGGGGAGTGATAAACCCAAAATTCAACGTGGGTTAGTAACCCAAGGCAGGAAAGGGGCAGGAAGGAAGCTTTGGCGAGTGACAGAACCAGGAGCTGATGGTTCCTGGGTGTCGGTTCTGTTGCTGTACAGCAAAGGATTCAAATGTTACGTATGTACGTACAGGGGTGGGCGAAAGTAGGTGTGCTCTTGTGAGTGTGTGAAAGCTTATTCTTGTGGTGTTTGTTGTGTGATTATTTGTATTACAGCTGTACTTTTGCCCACCCCTGTATGTTCCTTTGTACTTGGCGAACAGAACATAAAATGAGACACAAATCAATGGATTGGAAGAGGTGAAAGTGAGCCCTGTTTCCGACAAGAGCTGACCAGCCTGTCTTGAACCCGTGTTGCCACTGGGACAAATAGGAAGACTAGACACACTGGGTTTTAAAAGTCGGTGCGAGTGCAGCAGAGAGCCACTGGAGCAGTGAGCGTTGGCAGGGCGAAGGTGCCAAGGGGAGGGAAGCTGGCGTTGAGGTTGGCGCCCTTCCGAAAACACAGGGCGTTTGACTCCGAGCGTGAAGGAGGCACTGGTCGCTGTGACAGCGGAGAGGGGAAAATGGGACTCTGAGCCCTGTGAAGAGCAGAGCCTTGCCTTCTAGAGCTCGGCGCTGCCTGTCCTGCTGCCGGAGCGTCACCGTCACCGTCACCCAAGGGCTGCTTGGTCCCTGCTTTGGAGTCTGCCTCTGGAAATGGTCCACGTGAGCTGAGAGCTGCTGAGGCTGGGTTCAGCCTTTCTGTCACCCTGATTTAATTTCCTGGCTACACTGTAAACTCATATTCTGTTAGCTGCAGTTTATCATTTCAGGGTTGTTCTGTGATTGTGCTGATTAAAAAAAAAAACTCTGGGCAGGTGTGTTTCCTTTTTGCACTTGTATGGAGATAGGAGTCCTCCAGCTCTGTTGATGTTTTACTGTGTATCTGGAGTTTTTCAAGATTTCCCTGCGGTGTCCTGTTGGGCCCCTTTTGTTTTCTAGCCCTGTAGTTTTGTGTGTGTTTGTTGCCATTTTGGTGGGATTAGCTAGGAAAGTATTAATGCGTGTTTTTTGTTAACTTACCTTCAACTGCAAACCTGTTACCTTTCCCCTGCTTAAGGTTTGTGTGTACACCTTTCCCTTCATTTAAGAAGTACACTTTCTGGCTTCATTGACTTTTTTCCTTGACCCTGCCAGGCACCATAGAAAATTGAGTGAGTCTCAAAACATGTTATGGGAGTGTGTGTAGGAGGTTCAAATCGGTCCACCTCCGACCTAGGAAGACCCCTGGGTGAGGATAAGGACTGAACATTAGCGGCGGGGGACAAGCTTCCCCACCCTCTCGAGTGATAGGGATTGAGGAGGCTTTTCTTCTCGTTTGTAATAACCGTCACGTCAGAAGATACTGTTTCATTCATTCACTGAAAATTAAACGTACGCATTTATGTTCACATTTTAAAGGTCTTAATTTTTGTTTAGCTTCCAGGAAAGAAGACAACTAAGCTTTGGGTTCCAGATGAGGAAGTTTCTCCTGAGACAATGGTTAAAGTGAGTAATAGGCATAGATTTATTGATATCAGTATATTTGATGTATCCTTGATATAGGTGTTAGAATTTCTGTTCCTGTTATAGGGATGGCTGTTATGTCATTCACGCGTTTATATTTGTTCTGCAGCGTTGATCCAGGTACTGTGACAATATAAGACAGTGGTGAGAAGCCCCAGGGGCAGCCGCATGTAATCTGATCTGTGAAACAGACTTTCGAAAACCGCTCCCTGATGCTGCTTCTCAGACACCACCCTTTACGTGGCAGAAGGCAGTGCTGGTGTCCTTAGGTGCATTTTCCTGCTCAGTAAAGGGGATTGTGCAGGTTTGAGGACTATTTATCCCTTCCACAGGATTTGATAAAACCTAGTGTTTTGACTTTTTTCAAAAATTCAGCCTGGTTCTGTGACTAAGGAGTTCATCGTAAGTCACCAGTGTGGAGAGGGTTGGTTTGCTGAAACCATTGACAGTCTGTCATTTCAGACCTCACCTCCGTCCACTGCCCAGAGTGTGCCGGCAGGGAATGGATGGATGTGCACCGTGGTCTTCAAAGTTGTAATTGCTTACAGATAGTGGGGGTGGGGGGTTCACGTTATTAACTGCCTTCCGACGTTATTTTGGTTTTAGATTCCACTGTTTATGTAGATGGGGTTTGTGAAACCCTGTACAGCAGTCCTTCCTTTAACACTAAATGTTGCCTGACACTTCAGATTCTAGTGCGGACCTATTTCCTCAGCTCTGCTCAGAAGCAGCAGTTTTGTGTAGTCAGGCAGTTCTGGCTGGAAGGCAGGCCCCCTGCACAGAAGTCGATTCCAACTAAACGGCCCCAAAAGGGGATCTCCAGGGGACCTGACATAGGGGATCTGATTCCAACCAAACGGCCCCAGAGGGGCATCTCCAGGGGACCTGACACAGGGCCGCTGGCCAAGACCCACCAAGCCCTGTGCCTTAAGCTGTGAAAAGCTAAGCTAATAAATATGTGAAGAGAAGGTCATAGTAGTGCTCAGGTTCTTTGTTGTATAAAATGCAGTGTGACTGGGTGGTGTGTTGTGTCTCAGACACAAAGGGTTGAGTGCAGTTTGCAAGTTAACTCGCCTGCCAAGGGTAGTTAGCGTGATTTCACGGCAGGTGCTGAAGGGTAGAGTGCATGTCGGGGGAAATGTTTTGGAAAAGTAAGAAGAGCAGTCTTTCATTAAGTTATTCACCCCTGACCCGGGGGGTGAGGCATGGTCAATATAAAACATTCAGTTATCTTTCGACATACATAAAATAATAATTTTCCCTTTCCTCCTTTTTTAAAAGGCATCTGTTAAAAATGCCCTTTTCATTTTTTTAAGCTTGATACAGAATTTCTTTAAAAAGTAGCAATGTTTCATTTGTCAATTTGTCTGTTGAATAGATTCAGGCTATTAAAATGATGGTTCGGTGGCTGCTTGGGATGAAGAACAATCACAGTAAATCAGGAACCTCCACCCTGCGGCTGCTGACGACAATCCTGCACAGCGACGGGGACCTGACTGAGCAGGGCAGGATCAGGTGCGGCCATGCGTGCGGGCTGTTCCGGGGGGTTGGCCGGCGCGGCTCCTGTCCAGCAAATACGGGTCTCGCTTTGTAGGGACGCGTGCGTTTCTCCCAAAGCGCTCTGTGCGGTGGTTCCTTCATCCTGGGGGGCTGCTGCACGTTGTAGTTATTCTGAGCAGTGCCTGGCTGCTGCTTACTGTCTAATGCAAAGAAGGTGGTGTGCAAATAAGTAACTGATACTTTGTTTTCTTGTCAATTGATGTCTAAGGGATAAAGAACAGACTGCATAGGAAGCAACTTACTGAATCTGCTTCCAGAAGTATAAACACATACAAAAACTGTAAATGCACTTGATGTAAATCATTTAAAATATATCCGTTTTATTCGTTTTGAGTTGTTTAAAAGATGGAGTACAGCACAGAGGTTGGAAACGTAGCCCCCGGATCCCGGGTTCGAGTTTTACACCCTCCCTGACACAGGGGCCTATGCCAGTCCCTGTCCCTGCTCCGTCCCATGGTGTCCTTGCAGACAGTGACCGTAATGAAATAACAGTCACTCGTGTGTCTGAGGCACCTCGGCACCGCCTGGCACGTAGGCGTTGGAAGTGCCGACGATGGCAGTGGTCACTGTGTGGTCACTGTGTGGCAGCTCAGATTTAGACAGTCGTCTCCGGAAGACACAGGTGTCCCCGATGGACTCTCTGGTAATGAGCGCAGGAGGATAACCTCTCCCCTCCTGGTATGCCCAGCTTCCAGACTCCAGTGACAGAGGATGAACGCATGGCAGCTTTCCGCCTCCGTCGTCAGCCTTCCCAGGTGCTACTCGCGCTGCGCTTTTTGCGTAGACTGTTCGGAGCAGCACGTTGCCATCAGGCAAAGCAAATACAAATAAACCTGGCCAGGCGCTCCACACGCACAGCTCACTCATGCGGCCGCTTTCTGTCTAATGCGTTGTCCTCACCTCCCTCCTCTTACAATTTATATATGTCCATGTTCAGGATTTACCTAGTAATTAGGGAAATTTTCCTGAGAATTAATACATTTTTGTCTCTTAAATTTATCACGTTATTCATGTGCATATTTGGATCTGATCTCATCTGTTTGTATTCATGGTATTCCTTAACAAAATCAAATGTGTTCTCAAATTTTGCAGATGTATATGAATTACATTGGTTCTGCCATACCTGGTCTTCAAAACCTTAGCTGTAAAGTATTTAATTATAGTCAGTTACTGCTTTTTACACTAAATAAAACTGAAAGAGAAAAAGGCTTCCCTCCAGCAGGGTGGAGTGACTGACCTCAGAACAGCTCCCAGGCTGTTGCTGGAGGAGCTGAGAGGTGCCCCGGGACAGGGGACTTCAGAACCCTATTTGTCTTAGAAGTTCCTTTTTAAAAATAATTGTTTATGTTTCAGTTACAGTGGACATGCAATATTACATTAGTTTCGGGGTACAACTCAGTGCTCAGACCTTTGTATAACTTGTGAGGTTTTATTTTTCTGGGAGGACTGGCTGCGACCACCCACCCCCATGGAGGACCAGCTGCACAGGGGCCACCCTGCAGAGCAGGCCTGGCTTCAGCAGGGCTCTGGTGCCGCTGAGTCTGCCCCTTGGGTGTGTTGCTCCTGTCGGTGATTGTGTGGGTCTTTAGCTGGGTCGGACACTGTCCTCAGGGGTTGCTGACTCCAGGACTTGCAAGCCAAAGTCAGCCGCTGCTGCCCGTGCTCTGTCTGCCCCAGGCCAGGAGCTGGGGAGCGACCTGCAGATGGCTGCTTCTTGTGCTGGGCCTGCAGGTGCCCAGGAGAAGCCATGGTGCAGATCAAGACCAGTGGCATGGGGCCACTTACCAAGAATCACAGGGCCTACCAAGGCCAGATGCTGCTTGTCTGAGAGATTTTAGGAAAACAGGCAGCATGAGCTAAGACAGTCAGTTTGTACTGAAAAACCACTGGAAACGGCTTGGGTAGGCCTGCAAGTTGGGTGAGGCAGAGTCTTGGGGAATCACTGGGGCAAACAGCGTGAGCCACATTGAGGGAAACTGAGATAAGGCGCTGCCTACTGGCTGGGGGAGCAGGGGGGCTCAGCAAAGGAACACAGACCTCTGCTGGCACTTCTTTCTGGGAGAAGGCTGTCCCTCTAGCCCTTTCCCAGACACCAGATAATTAATTTCTTTTCCATATGTTCCCGGCACCTTCTAATCCGCTGCCCCAGTGCTGGAGCCCACAGTGAGTGAGTCTGAGTACGGCTGTGCTCTGGCCCTTTGAAAGGAATGTCTTGGACTCCAGAGTCCTTCATCTCACTCAGCCACCGGCCCCTGCTGGTTTTCACAGGCAGACATTACTGGGACTCCTCTTCCCAGCATTGAAATCCCGAGCTGGGGAGCCTGGTGTGGGGCTGGGACACCTCGGTCCTCGGGACTGTGGTGTGGGGGGGTGGCCATGCAGCTGGGCTCTCACTCCTGATTCTCAGCCACCACACGTTGGTGTGGGACCAGCCTGTTCCACATCTCCACCCTTCCTGTCTGTCTTGTGTGGCTCTTTATGTTCTTAGTCATAGGATAGCTGTTCAGCTGAACTTCAGGTGGTTCTTAATGGTGGTGGCTCTGTTGTCGAGTTGTAGTTTTGACCTGGTTGTGGGAGGAAGCTAGTACCTCCTCTCCCTACTCCGCCATCTTTACCAGGAGCCTTAGAACCTTACTAATGTTGTCTTGCATTCTGTCAGTATTTTTACGTTATCTTAGAGAAGTAAAAGAAGGGTCTTAAACCAACTGTATCATTAGATCTTGGAGGATTAAGTTAACAACTTTCCCCTCTCAGTTTAGTCCAAGATCTCTAATTCATCCAGCATATCCCTGTATTAGGAAGGGTTGTTTGGGTGTATTTACTAGTCAGGAATTTACTACTCTTTGAAATGTGTCCCATTTACCAGAAGCATTTTTTTCCTTAAACTTAAAAGGAGCCTCTTGGTAATGTTTGAAAAGTTGGAGTCTATTCAAAAATAGTAATGTTTTATCCACTGCCCTTGCTTTCATTTTACTTCTCTTGTACAACAACACAGTAGTTGTAGTTGACTGATGAGCATGTTAGGACATTTTTATGCCTAATTGTAAGTAAACACATATCCAAAATCATCCATAATGGAACACTGAAGACCTAACAACTAAACACACAAATACATTTTTTTCTAGGCTTGGCTACAACCTGGTTTTCTGGAATGAGAGAATTAAATGACTTTAGCCTAGACCAACAGTTTTCAACATTTTTCATCTCATGGCACACATAAACTGATTACTCAAATTCTGAGGCACACCAAAAAAAACCACATTTTTTGCCAGTGTGACCAAAAAAGTAGGCATAATTTTGATTCCTCCCCACTGGACATCTGTCGTTGCGTTGGCTGCTGTCATTTTTTATTTGACAGTCTAAGGGGGAAGAGGTCCATGCCCCTGGCTAAATAGTCAGGGGCTGCACGCTTGAAGGTTGCTGGCATAGACCAAGTTCAAGAGAACTAGTCTGAAGTATTGGATACCGTCTTAAATATCGTGCAGTGTTCAGTGTCACCAAACGGGTTACGATTTTCTTTTGGCTAGAAGTTTGGTAAAATTCGATCTACAAAGGACTGTTTTTGTACACACAGAAGTCTGACTGACATTCTTTCTTGCGTGTGTTGCAGTAAACCGGACATGTCCCGCCTGAGACTGGCTGCGGGGAGCGCCATTGTGAAGCTGGCCCAGGAGCCCTGCTACCACGAGATCATCACCCTGGAGCAGTATCAGCTCTGTGCACTGGCCATCAATGTAAGGAAGCTGGCTGTCGGGCGTGTGCATGGCTGCAGGTGGCTTTGACCTGAAAGTTCACTGTGCTGATAAAAATCTTGAGTGTTTGTGTCTCCTTTTGAAAAATTAATGCATGAGAAACATTTCAAGTTCTTAAACTATCATTAGAGTTTTAGGTTGCTAACATAGTACAGTTGATTCTTGTCATTTGCGGTAGTTCCAAAAAGTCATTCCAGGCACTGAATTAAGAATCACGAGCCATTGCTTGTGGGGGAGATACGGGGGTGGTCCTGCGAGTCTGCAGTCACACCTGTTACCAGTCAGTCAGTGCCGGCCCGGGTTTGCGTGTTTCTGTTGGAAACAGAACAGTTGTGCATTCACACCGAACTGGCGGCCTGCAGTGCTGTCGCTCGGGCCTGAAGGAAGCCCGGTGGACACACGCGTGTTTCCTCGAGGCGCAACCCAGCCTCCTTGCCGTAGGGAAGAGGAAACAGAATTTCATCACTGTGCTTGGAAGCCGATTTAAACAACAGAGTCACCAAAAAAGTACAGAAATAAAAATGTGGCACTAAATAGACCACCGCAGGACACGTGTTTATGGGAGCCAGCACCGGGAGGTGGAGCTGGGCCATGTTCAGCTACCACCAGAGGCGTGTGGGTAGCTCGCCTTTTTGCTGCTCAGCGCGTTAACTGGGAAAAGCATGGCAAGGTTGGTTTGGTTACAAATACATTTAGTGGATGGGTGAATTCACAAATGTGGAATGTGTGAATAATGAGGCTCGACTGTACTTAGTTTTTAAAAGGAAGAAAAAATACAGAAATTTGCAGTTTTATAAGGACATGGTCAAGGTTAATTTCAGGTCATAAGCATTCTGTATTAGTTAAAATTTCAAATTATTAAGAGTGATGTTAATGGATTTATGAGATGGGGTTCCAAAAAAAAGGAATTATGTTCTGGAGGGCAGGCCCCTTGTGGCACAGACTTTTCCCACTTGTTCAGTGTCCTAGGACCCCATGTGTATCAGTGGGCCAGCTGGTGCTCTGAGAGGCTGCGTTCTGGTTCAGTGACTGTTTTTGAGGACTTTCAGTGTATTTGCCCATTTCACGATGGGTGATTAACAGCACAGCTGCCCCCAGGGCGCTCAGTGTTCAGCAGTTTTGGCCAAAAAACAGCACAACCCCCATGCCCCACCCTCCCTATTCACCAGAGATCTTGCCCCCAGCAACCCGTTTTGTTTCCCCAAATGAAAAAAGTTCTCAAAGGGAAATGTTTTCCTTGTGGAAGAGGTGAAACAAAAAATGGCAGAGGCACTAAAGAGGCATCCAGATTGATTGGTTTAAAACTGTTCTGAGCAGTGGGAAAAACATCTGGGTAGGGGCGCTGCTTCAGATGGAGAGCACTTGGAAGGTGACTGAAGTTTCAGTGTTAGAATTAAAACACAATTCTTTATAAATAAATTCCAGGGTTTTTGGGGGTTCCCCCCCATGCATTCTTATGGATTCCATATTACAGTAACATAATATTTGAATGGTAATATACCACTAGAGAAGTTTTTGGCACCATTTGAGAAAGTTAAAGGAAAAGGACCTCCGTAACAGTAGGAATGATGTTCCAAGTTTTTCATCCATAATTTAGTTATTTTACACTTAGTTTTGCTGTTCCTTTTCAAACAGTCTTATCTATAAGAGTTTGGCATTTACTTCAGGAATTATTGTAATTATTTTTCACTTCCCCTTTTTCTATTGCTTATTTTTAAATCACAGCTTATGTTTTTAATTATCATTTCATCAGTCTCCGGTACTTCAGTCTGTAAGTTATTGCAGATCCTTTATAATTTGTTTTAGGTTTGGTGTCATTACTCAGATGTTAGACTAAACCAATGAGATTTTGAGAATCCCATAATTTTCTAATTTCGTCTTCCCAGTTTAATTTTAGAGATCATCTTGTTTTTCAAGAAAGTGAAAATTCTTTAGAAATATATGTTAAATTTCTTAGGAGGAAACAGATTTCTATAACTTTTTTAATTGGTAGTACTTGCAATTTGTTGATTTGTCAGGTTCTTGGTCTTATATTTCAGTATTGGAGTAGAAACAAATTTAAAAACCAAGAAATGATGGGAACGGGTTAAAAGAGAGACTATTCTGAGGATAATAAGTATGTGCACACCAGGTTAGCTGTCCACCGTGTGAGGAAGTCTTTCGTGCACATTAGCCTCCAGAGACCTTCTTCCCTAGCACAGTCTTTGACACACAGCACTGTGCCTCAGTCACAGGTTCCTGAGGTGGAAGTTCAGACTGCCCAAGTTACAAGTTTGCTCTGGAATTCTGTTGACTGTGGAGCATGTGTTAATGGTTAGATTTAATTATTAGTATATTGTAACAATTTACACACATTATGAGGTTACCTTACCTTCTAAACTAAACTTTTCCCTAACCCTCTGAACCACATGCCTCTCTTCCTTTTTAACTTCCAGACCTCGGAGAAAGAGGAATCTGCATCCTTGTGTCCCTTACCCGTTTATCACTACTCAGCTGCCTTCGGTGTTTTCCGGACTCTGCATTAGTCCCCAAATCCAGTGACATCAGTCGTCATTGTACGTCCTTCCTGCACCGTGTCACATAGCTTGCTCTCTTCATTCTTGAAGTTCCCTTTGGCTTCCACCTCCTGGTTCTCGTTGGACTGTATTTCCTTACGAACGACTCGGAACCTACTTTTGCCACCCCCGGTACATTCTCTTTGGGCCGTCTCATTTTCTAGGTCCATGATTCCTGTACTGCCACTTCCATGGCTAAACAGAATTTTCAAACTTCCATGTTCTGTGAATGTAAGACTGAGTTCATACTTTACTCAAGCCTATTCTTTTCCGACATGCAGAGTCTCGACAAACCTTAAATAAATCCGAATGGCTTTTCTTAGATCTGTAAGCATGATTCGTATTTGACTACTCACTTTTCTTTGTATCTCATAGTAAAAGTACAGGTAATTCTGTCCTGATCTCTATTGCGTCTTATTTATTCATACTTCTTAACCATTCTCATCGCTATAACCATCATTAGCTCTCACCTACATTATTGTGAGGCTCTCTATTACTGGTTAAATTCTCTGTCACAGTTTTTGATCACAATATTCCTCATTCACAAATATTTAGGGCCTTATATTCATAAAGAAAAAACTGCATATATTATACAAGCTGCCATTCAAGTTCTCATATTTGAACTCAAATATGCATTTAAAAATCTTGTTTAGCATACATTACCCTTCACCTACCCTCATTTCAGTGAGGTAGAGCATCTCTTTTTAATGTACCTATAATTTGCTGTCTCTGATTTTCTTTTCCCCTTTATTTCTACACATCCACATCACCTTGTCCTGCTCATCAAGAGTCAGACAGTCTCCTCCAGGAAGCCCTTCCTCACACTCACGGCTGCATTCCTGACCCTGGCAGTGTGACCTGCTGTCCTGGTCCTACCTGTCCGTTGCCATAGGCACCTGTGGTTTATTGCTCTTGCTTGCCTTGAACTTGCTTCGAGCTCCTTGGAGGCAGTACTTTATTTTGTTAACTTCTAGAGACTTCCTCCTAGCTCTCATATAGACCCTTGTTATGTAAGTCTGGAGGGGAAGGAGTCAATAATAAGAATCTTAACGTTTAATAATTACTAAGTTACTTTAGAATTTAGATGCTGTTTGTGAAAAATCTGCACTGCTGCTCTGTGCTGCGTGCCGTTGTAGGCGCTGTAAGTACAGACACGAGTCAGTCGCAGCTGCAGCCTCCAGACTAGGAACACGGGGAGTGCACTGTGTTCCCAGCACGGTGCAATGCATGGAGCAGTCGAACTGCTTACGAGGTGCTGGAGGGAGGTGTCGAGAGCAGTGTGCACTAGAAAAGGCCACTGAAAGCAAATGTACTCAACGTGCAGACTGCTTAAGGTTAAGACTTCATTCATAGCCTGTAGTGAATAAAAGGTTTGTATAGAACTTTCTGTTGGGGGAAATATATTTTGTGGTATTACACTATTTTTTAAAAATTTGAGTCAATTATTGGTTATAACCATAACTGTGAAGTATCAAGTAGTTGCTTTTTTGAGTGTTTTTGGTGAATTAAAGTTGTGTCATAGTATCCTTCACATTTAATTTATATGACAGTGAAGAGGATCTTTTCAAAAACCAGACATTGGAAGACCCCCTCAGTTCCCAGGAGCATGTCTTTAAATCTTCGTCCGGGTGGTTGAGTGTCTGCTGGTGTCCCTTCCGTGTTGTTATGTGCGTCAGAGTCCTCGGTGGTGGTGTCCGTTTCCTTGCAGGGGATTGACAGCTCTGCTCTAAGGTGGCTTCAGTGACTCTTTAGAGTCCCACTACGTTCGCCACGGGATCCCAAACCGACTTTGCCCTTCATTTGTGTTGGGTGGTTGGATTCCGAATGATCAGTGAGAGAGTGACTGAACCGCGGTCTTTCTGGGAGACGATGCATCGAAGTCGGGGGAGGGGTGTTTGGAGATTTTTGTAATTAGTGGTCTGTTCATTTGTGAATATATTTTGGTATGCTGATTTATACAAGTTGTAATTTGGTATTTTCATAATATGCATTTGATGGTGAAGGGTCCTTCCCCCTACAGGAGTGATACTGAGGAAGGAGTGCGTTCACTTTAACTTCGTTTCGTTGAGTGTGAGGGTACATGACAGTGTTTACGTGACAGCTAGACCACTTTTTTTAAAGTAGGTGTTAGCGTGAGAAACTAAAGGTTAAATGAAAGAAGATGCACAAGATAAAGATTTGAAGATAAGGGCAGAATGTTATGGCCTGTACCATGACAAAAGGAACTTTCTAGAAGAAGGGGTGTAGGTAAAGCTGCAAAACTAGGAAATACTCCATACCCTGTGTCGTTGGGTGGAAGGTAAGTTACAATTATAAAGGTCTCTGTGGGTCCCAGCAAGGACTCAAAAGTCATGTCAAGCTTTTTCCCTGACTAGAAAAAGTCGTCATAGTCTGGGTGTGGGATACTGTGCTCGGAGTCCACAAGGAACGGGCAGCGGGAGGTCAGGCCTGCGCAACGCCCCCCTCAGTGCTGTGTCCGGACTGCCACGCTGGGGGGGGGGGGGGGCGGACGAGGGGAGCGGTCCAGCGGTTCATTTCTAGAACAGCAGGAATCAGTGGTTCTGAAACTGAGTAGTCACTCTTGCATTGAGTGCGTTTTTCTGTTTTAAAGTGCATTCAGTGTTTTCTGGCCCTTGCTCCTGGCAGTTACCAATGGCGGGGCCACGCCGCGGCGGTGCGTGCGGCTGAAGTTGCGGCTCCGTGCCGCCACGCGGGGCCGCCACGTGGGGCCGCCACGTGGGTGGGTAACGTGCAGAACGCCCGTCTCCACAGGATGAATGCTACCAGGTCCGGCAGGTGTTCGCACAGAAACTCCACAAAGGCCTTTCCCGTTTGCGACTCCCGCTGGAGTACATGGCCATCTGTGCTCTTTGCGCGAAAGACCCCGTGAAGGAGCGGCGCGCGCACGCGCGGCAGTGCCTGGTGAAGAACATCAACGTGCGCCGCGAGTACCTGAAGCAGCACGCCGCCGTCAGCGGTGAGCGGGGCCCGGGGGCGGGGCTGGAGGCGCTGGTAAATGCGCCGGACCTTTCCGACAGTAGCTTCACCTTCCAGTGGTTCGTTTTTTAAGTGGAGATGCGTGGGTGTCTGAGTATCGGCCCGTCATATCTCCTATATCTCCTCGAGTGACAGATGAAAGGCCAAGGGAATAAACAGTGACTTGGGGGGGGGGGAGCGCCTCTCCTAGGACAGCAGAGCGCGTGCACCTGCGCGACATTCCCGGACGGCAGGGCCTCCCCTGCAGCTGGTCGCCCGTGCGCTGCACGTGTGCCGTCTCCGTCTGCGCGCTTCCTCCGACGGCGCCCCTGCATCCTGTGCCTCTCCAACTGCCAACTTGTTCTCGGGGTTAGATCTGCCCAGTTATCCAGGCTGGAAAGCACACACTCCTCACACCTTTTCTCCCCGCCCCTCGCTCACCAGACCCTCCGACGCCAATCCCCAGCGGTCCCGCACTGCTGTCTTTTCCTGGGATTAGCGTGACACTCCTAACTACCTCCCTGTAAACGTCCCCTCTAGCCCGCCTGCAGCTGGGCCACCCCACCGTCAGGATGACCTCTGTGGGACAGACTGGATCCTACCCTGCCTCGCTGGAAATCTGGGTCGATTGTTTTTGCTCACAGAATCAAGAAGAAACTCATTAACTGGCCCTGTAGAGTTTGCACTCAGCCTGAGTTCCAAGCTTTTTCTCTAGCTACTCTGTACTGTGACTCCTGTGCTCCTTGTACTCTGGATGTGTGAAATTTGCACAGCCATCTTTTTTCTCTGTTGTCAATACTGTGGGGAAGCTGCTTCCAGTCCAGCGGACAAGTGAAACCAAGGAGCATGGTGGGCCCTTTCCGAACCCTTCACACTGTGGATTTGGTGTCACTACATGTCACTGGGGTCCTCTCCCTCCCTCACCCTGGGGGAAGTGAGTGCTCTGCAGTCAGGTCCCACCTCTGGTGTGTGTGGGCACGGTACTTGAGCAATATGAGCCTTGATTTTCTTATTTGAAAAATTGGTGTAATTATACTAATTTCTTATGGTAATTACAAGTATTAAAATGTTTCGTATATAAAGCACTTGACGTAAGGCATGGTCCAAAGGGGCAGTCAGTAGTTACTAGCTATTTTTGGTGTAGGCTTTTTGCCACATTGAAGGATAGCTCTGTCTCTGTGCTTAGATTCTAGGGCTTTCTCTAGTCTCATTCATCTTTATATTTAAAATAGTAAGCCTGAAAAATTGTAAGTTCTCAATGAATGTTTGGTAAGAGTTTAATTCGACTTTCACCGAATTTTGAACCTTGATACTTTTTCTCCTCTACCAACTTTAACGTGAAGGATATTACACACAAACTATTCTCTTTGAATTCAGGAACAGAAGCAGAGCTTGGTGCCTGATTGGCACGTGCTATTCTCCAGGGTGAACGTCTGGCTTAAAGGAATTGTACAGAGTTTAAGTCCTAGTCTTTCTGAACAACCTTTATTAAACTAGTTATTGTTATAGTTCTGACCTTTAATGGCATAGTTGATCTCAGTTAAAATGCAGAAGTGTTTTAAAGAAAATGTTTCTTTGTTACTTAAAATGTCTTAGAAAGTTTTTATGTTTGTGTTTTATATCTGTTCTTCTGTTACAGATACTGTGGAACACTTGTACTTCATTTTGATACTATATGTAGTATCAGAACCCTGTGCTTTCTACTTTGTGTCATACTGATGCTCAAAGATTCACTACTTTTTCATTTTCTCAGCCACTCACAAAGGAGTATTGAACATATGGTTGCTCATGCTAACAAGAAAAATAGGTCCTATGTTTCCTAGTCTCATAGTTTGTGCGGGTTACTTTTTCCCATATGCATTTGAAAACTGAAATAATAGTCTTTGTAACCAGAGCACATGCACGATGCATTTAATAGCACTTTGATGTTGGGTTTGATGGATGAACCAATAAACTGGTTAATTTATGATGTACTTTAGCACTGCGTATTTCAGTATATTTTTCTTCTAGTTGTAATGCGGAACTGTTGGGATGTAGGAAACACAGACTCAGAGAGAAAGAAAAAGTAAGATTCAGTTTTCTAACTTGGATGTTTTTGTTTTGTTTCTTTTTTTCTTTTTCAGAAAAATTATTGTCTCTTCTACCAGAGTATGTTGTTCCATATACAATTCACCTTTTGGCACATGACCCAGATTATGTCAAAGTACAGGATATTGAACAACTTAAAGATGTTAAAGAGTAAGACTGTTTCCATCTCACTTTCATATTTTCCAAAGTTTTTGTTTTCTTTCCTGCTGATCATGGAACCTCAATTATGATTCGTTTATTAGATGTATTTTATTTTTTAGAAATTTAAGTTTTTTTCCTTTATTTGTTCTTTTATTTTCTTCTTTCATACTATTTCTTCATGTTTCATTTCTTACATAATTTTTTAAAATTTAATTTTGTGTAACTACTGTGCATTGCTCTGCTTCCCTACCATTTCTTTTTTATTGAAATGGTTTATTAAAAGTTTCCATTACAGTTCTTGTCTTTTCCTACTTCTAAAACACGGTAGATTTTCACATGGGGTATAGTCATACTCTTCCTTTCTCACACGGAACGCACCATTTTTTTTGCAGAAGCGCTTCCTCCAGGAGGAAGAGAAAGTGGTCTGATTGGCTAGCCTGACAGGCAGGGCTAGCCACTCACCGGGCCGGGGTTGGGGGGGGGGCGGTTCCGCAGCATCAGGGTGATGGCCACTGTGATTTCATCAAGGGCTGTGAGCCCGGGCAGGAAGCAGCAGGTCACAGTGGTCTTTCGAGAATCTATGTGGGACCAGAGTCCGGGTGGATTGCAATGGAACTTGGCAAGGGCAAGGCTGTTACCCTCTTTTTGCCAGTTTCTGGTTTTTTTTTAAATAAGCAATTCAGTTCTCCCCAAATGAGTCCTATGTAGAGTAATTATAGCTAATGAAAACTTCTAGCAATTCCTCTTTGTCAGAGAACATTGGCTTATGAAATAGATGAAATACAATTTTGGAATTTACTGTGTATTTTTGGCTATATCTCTAACTTGCCCCAGTCTACGAGAAAACCATGCCAAAAGAATGTATTCTGTACCTGAGGTCCTGGAGGGTTTTCCCCTTTATAACGCTCGCTGTCTTGCTTTGTCTGTCTCTCTCCTCTCTCCCCTCCTCAGTGCTGTGACTCTGTCCTGCTCTGTCCAGGCCACATGCAGAGACAAAGCACCTTTTTCCTTAAATAGAAGTTTTTGTAATTAACTTTAAAACTGAGCTAACTTTAAAAAGGAAGCTTTTTGAATTTTTTTCTCTTTAAGCAAAGACAGTGTGTGTGCTTGTGAGCCGTGACTTTTTTCTCTGTACATTAGAAGATTACTGAGCAAGGCAGCTGTGCTTTCCTGAAGATGTCTGTCGGGATGACAGCCAGTCTCGAGTGCCTCCGGTGTCCCACAGACCAGCTGCCCCCCAGGCAGCCCTTCCCTCCCGTCAGAGCTGACCCTGCTTCGCTCTTCTCCAGGGTGCTCTTCCCACCTGCCTCCCTGGGGAGGTCGGGTCAGTGGGGCTTGGGGAGGAGTCCTTGTGGATTCACCTTGTTCTGCTGATACAGTGTGGTGTGGATGTGTGGCGTCTTTCTTCTCTTGATTGTAATTGTTTTTAATTTTTTCCGCTCATGGTGTTCATTATATTTTTATTCAGAGTTATTGTATTTGCATCTAACAACCAATTCTGTTCTGTTTGTCTTGTTTTTTTAGATGTCTTTGGTTTGTTCTAGAAATATTAATGGCTAAAAATGAAAATAACAGTCACGCATTTATCAGAAAGATGGTAGAAAATATTAAACAAACAAAAGATGCCCAAGGACCAGATGACGCAAAAATGAATGAAGTATGTAATTATTTGTAAATAATTATGATTTTGTGTCTATGTAAGCATCAGAGTGTAGGATATGGGACTTGTGTAGTATTTGTAGAAATCAGTCTTTTCTATTAGTAAATAATCAGTATTTCGGTAATAGTAATGAGACTTGCAAATATAGTTACTAATATAAAATCAGGAGTAACACTGTTTCTAGTAAACTAACGAAAGCAAGTCTGTGTTTTGAATGTGCCATGTTGTATTGGAAACTGCGCACTGAATACATGTTGTTGAGCTGCTTCCAATTCAGACTTTAGGATGTCAGCTCAGACCCACTTTTTCCTGCCGTGGCAGAAACTATACACTGTCTGTGATGTCGCCATGAACATCATCATGTCCAAGAGTACCACATACAGCTTGGAGTCCCCCAAGGACCCCGTGTTGCCAGCCCGCTTTTTCACCCAGCCGGACAAGGTAGTTGTTGCAGAATCTGTTTGTGTAGAATGAACCAGTGTCTTCTCAGCACGAGGTGGTGGGGAGATCCAGAGGGGTCGGTGTCAAGAGCTGGCCTCCTGATGCTACAGAAAGGTCACTGTGAGTCTTTCTAATGGGCTTCAAGACCAGAATACGTGCCGCAGCAGAGGTCATTGAGAAGGTTCAGAGATTTGTTAGTTGGATCTAGAGTTTGCATTCAAGCTTGTTTGCCAGTCTAAGGACACAGGCAGAAAGGCCATCAAAGCATGTGCAAAGCATGTGGATCTGTGAGGCAGTGGCTGTTGATCCGCAGTGGGAAGGAGAAGGCGGGCAGAGATCTGGTCTGAAGTGCCAGCCCCTTGACTGAGATCTCACACTCGCCGTGGGGCAGTGAGTGGGAAACAGACACTGCCCTGGCTGAGACTCGGGCTGCTGCAAGCCTGTGCCCACCGTCCTAAAACTCAAGGGGTGTGGACAAGGAGGGAGGTGTGTCCTGGGGTAGTGGAGCACAGAAACCACCACTACCTTCTTTTTTCCTGAGCAAGTGCCAGTTGAAGTCGAGAGATTGACCCAGTAGCTAGGAGTGGCTGTCTGCTGTTAGCGCTCAGGGGTGGGGTAGCGACCGAGGCAGCCTCTCTGGCCTCTTTGGGGAGCGCTGGGGAAGCACGCGGGGCTCAGACAGGTTCGGTGCCCGTGGAGTCGGGGCGACGGTAGTGCAAGCATAGTGTTTCACATCAGGGACGGAGATCTTCCATGGCCGCCGGTCATTTAATTTTAATAGATGGAATTTTTATGTGCTTTAAAGCAACAGCTGCTCTTTGTTGGCGTTTGAGCCTCACAGATGCAGTGTTTCGATATTCACTGACTACATCTTTTTCCTTTCTTGTAGAACTTCAGTAACACCAAAAATTACCTGCCTCCAGAAATGAAATCGTTTTTTACTCCAGGAAAAGTACGTTTTGAGAATGGTTTTAATTCTTATGTGATGGTTTATTTTAGTGTGATTAGTGGCATAATTATGTTAGTTTGTATTTCTTTAAACATTGGTGTATTTTAAGTTAGGAAATGTAATTATTTTCCATTTACTAGAAGGAAATAATTGTATTTACTACATAGATTTAGGCTGAGATACATGAACGTATTTTGTAGCTTATAATAAAGCCCCTGGAGACTTGAATTTAAATGTCTGTCCTCTAATATCAAGGTAAAAATTTTAAAGTGAAAAGACACCCTCTTGTGTCTTCCTGTAGCAAGGGTTAGGGACCGTTTTCATTGTCGACTGTGCGTGCGACTTGTCCTCACTTCTGTGCAGCCCCCACGTGAGTAAGGAATGTGACTCTTATGATCTCTCTGGTTTTTTATTTGTTCAAGTAAGATTCAATTTATCGTCCTTATTGTGCTTAAGAATGGACATTTTTTTCATGATTGGTATGCAGATACTTTGACAGAAATGTCATACATAGTTCTTTAAATGTAAATTTCTTCTGGCTTTAATCAAATAGAAAGAGATGAATATTTTTCATTCCAGCCCAAAACGACCAACGTCCTGGGGGCTGTGAACAAGCCACTCTCCGCGGCGGGCAGGCCGTCTCAGAGCAAGTCGTCTCGCATGGAGACTGTCAGCAACGCCAGCAGCAGCTCAAACCCCAGCTCTCCTGGGAGAGTGAAAGGGAGGTGAGTGCTTCAAAAATGCCGTCTGAACCTTCAGACGGAAGGACTCCAGCAAGGCTGTGGGGCCTAAAACAGCATGGTGCAGCATGGTGAAGCCTAAAACAGCTTCTAGTGCCACTGAGCGGACACAAGGACAGGCTGTTGGGTCTGGGTGGCCGCTCCAGGTTCATGCGGCTTTGCTTGTTTGTTTACACGGGTCTTCCGCCTCTGCCTTGTGTACTCCGGCCCTGGGGGAATTTGTTTGTCTAGTGGTCATATGTCCATGTGGTAGAGTTCGCAGTCGCTAAAAATGGTGAGGCAGGAGCTAATGTGAAGAGTTTCCACAACATGTTATTGAGTGAAAAGGCAAAGAATAGAGCAGTATTACAGTATTTTTGAGTTTTTAAAAAGGATTTGTATTCACATTTGCTTTATATGCACAGAAGGTTTTTTGGCAGGAGGCATTGTATCTTAATAGTGTTTATGCAATCTAGTGTAGGAGGGAGATCATTTCATATTCTTTGGTATGGTTTAAATTTTTTTCAGCATGTACATGTATAAACTTTTTGTTTGAAGAAAGAAAAAAAGGGAACATTTCACACTTCCCTGATTTCATCACTTGCTAGCAGGAGAGCCTTGCACAGGGCCAAACTGCCGCTCTTTCTTTGTTCTGCTGAGGAACTAACTGTGCGAGACTGGATGCTGTTTCTGCATTGGTCACAGCCAGTTAGCAAAGGAGGGAGACGTTCTAAGGTATCTTACCAATTTCTTTCCCATGAAATGTTCAAATGATAAGTAGTACAATAAGAATGAAACAAAAATTATATCTGTAGCTCCTGTTTGTTCTAGATGCCTATATTAATGTATATTAGTTGCTTATACCTAAGTGACTGAAGTGGTACCCATATCATTTGGACATTTTCTAGTGAATATCCTCATTCTGAAAATGACCAAAACAGTTACAGCAAATAGTTTCTAAATTACTGGGTTTTTCTTCCTGAATTCCTGGTTATAAGCAAAGATGATCTGCCCTGGCTAGTGTGGCCCAGTAGTAGATTGAGTACCAGTCTACAAAACAAAGGGTCACTGGATTAATTCCCAGTCTAGGGCACATGCCTCGGTTGCAGGCCAGGTTCCCAGTGGGGGGTCCATGAGAAGCAACCACACATTGATGCTTCTCTTCCTCTCTCTAAAAAATAAATAAATAAATAGATATGATCTTAAAAAAAAAAAAAAAAAGATGATCTAATTCACCAAGTCATCTGGGCTAAAAGGCTCCAGATTAGACTGCCTTTGACTCTCCCTCCTGCTGCATGTTGCTAGGTGCGCTTCCCTGCAGTGCCACTCCCCTGCAGTGCCACTCCCCTGCAGTGCCGCTCCCCTGCAGTGCCGCTCCTCTGCAGTGCCGCTCCCCTGCAGTGTTGCAGGCTCCTCCTCTCGCTCTCAGCGTTCAGTTCGTTTTCTGTGATTGCTGTCTGTGGCGTTTCCCTTCCTTACTCTTCTAGCCCAGTAAACCTTACCACTGCTAGATAATCTTTCTTAAATGCTGCTGGGTCAAGGTTATTTCACTGCGCAGAAATCTTAATCTGTTCCCCTTGTTTGTTTTCAGGATAATTAAAATTTTACCTTGTCCTCAGCTCCTATTGTTATGTTACTGAAAATAAATGACTCCTAATTTTCCTATAATACCTTTTCAATGTACTTCAGTAAACTAACTTTCACCCTTTGACTAATCTTATTTTGCCATTTTTTCTACCTGAATCCCATCTGCTTACTAGGACTCTTCTAAGAGAAGGAGCTACAAGTGTGTTTTGTTGGAGAATAGGAATGAGAGCATAATAGGTCAGAGGTGAAGTTGAGAGGTAGCCAGATGAGGTTTGGACTTTGTGAATTTAAGTACAACTGGATGATACTCTTGTGGAGTTCGGTGATCTAATTTGTGACTTTAAAGATTGCCCTGATTATTTAGAGAACAGAGAAGCTAGAATGGAGTTGGAAGAACCAGTCAGGAGTCAGCTAATAGTATTTTAGGGAAGAGATACAGGGGAAGATAGTAGATAGTGAAATTTGGGATTTATTTTGATGGAAGATCAAAACGGTCCTGCTGGTGAATGAGTTGTGTACAGTTAGAGGATGTACCTTGGCTTTTTGCCTGAATCCCTGTGTAGACAATAGTATCATTAACTGAGATACCATACTGTGAGGAGGAGCAGGCTGTGTGTGTGAGTGCATGCATGCGTGCGTGTTTTGGGGAGGTAAGGAGAAAAGGTATCCAAGTAAGTTTTGGCTGTGGTAAGGTTGAGATGCCTTATTAGAAATTCAAGCGACTGGGCAACTGGACATGTGAGTTTATAACTCAGGCTAGTGTCTTAGCCTGAGATTGAAATTCGGGGTTCAGTAATGTTTAAATGGGTTTTAAAGCCCAACGCGGATGAGATCACCCAGGACAGAAGACTGAGCCTTCATACCAGTGTATGAAAGCGTGGAGCAGGTGCCTCCTTCGTGCTAGGCAGTGACCCATGTGCTTGAGTGCACGGTGGTAGGTAAACTGGCAGAACAGCCATGCGGACCTGCTGGCGCGGAGGGAGCAGTAATGAAGCCGGGAACTTCTGGTGTGTCGGAGGCTGTTGCGTGTGCGCAGAGCAAGTGTGCTCAGGGATGCGGGGCGCGGGGCAGAGGTGGGCCAGTCCAGCTTTCTAACAAGAGAAGTTTCAACGGACCTTATGTGCCTGCTCCACTATAGAATCTAGGTTTTAAAAAGAATTAGGGAAAAAGTAAATCTGTGGTTTTTTACTTTCCTTTTTTGTTAAATGTGCTTCTTCACTTGTTAATTTGGTGCTAAGTGTGATAGAATGAAACCAATACTTTTTGAATGGAATGAACCTTTTTTTTAAAAAAATAAAGCTACATTAGAGAACAGAAAAGGCTTCTAAGGTTATTCGATTGTAATAACAATTATAAATATCTGTATTAAAAGGCTTGATAGTTCTGAAATGGATCACAGTGAAAATGAAGATTATACAATGTCTTCACCTTTGCCGGGGAAAAAAAGTGACAAGAGAGACGACTCTGATCTTGTAAGGGTGAGCCGCTTGGTTTGATTTTGTAATGATGACGATTGTTGTTATTGTTACTTTATTGTAAATAACTTTTCATACTGAAACCAGTTAACATTATTCTCATATTTGACATAATCTTCTTTTAAAGGTTTTAATTAGAAATTTGAGTTTGTGATGATTATCCTCTACCATGTAATTTAAGTATATTGAATTCCTTGTGTTTTTGTCATCCTACTAAGTAATCTTTTTTTTAGGTCTTTGGACGCTAGCATAGCAGTTTCATACTCAGGCTGCTTGTTTTTTTTACTTTGTTTGCCTTTTTTTTTTTTTAAACATAGTAAGTTTAGACTTAGCCTTAGAGAAAGGAAGCCGAATGGGGGTCTTTAAAGGCTCCTGCATTTTAGTGATTTCTCGAGCCTTTAACCACTACATAAGCTTCTAGTAAAGGTAAGAAATGCTACAGTTCCCATATAGTCCTTGTTTAGTTTTTGAGTCTTCCCAGCAACGGTACCTCGTAAGACAGGTGCAGTTTGCACACATCATGTGAAGACAAGTTTGTGGTTTGGGTGCAGACATGGAACACAGCTGAGCATTTCCACCACGCGACGGCCGAGTCACTGGGCCCGTTCTGACTTGTGGGCTTTGCTCCACACGTTTCTGTGGTGCCTGGGTCGGGTCTCTGAGTCAGTTTCTTTTTCTGTTAAATGCGAACATCTACCCAGGAAGGGTTATCGGAGCGAATACCTACCCAGGGAGGTTTATCGGAGTAAATGATTAGCCCCTATGCATTGTTGTTATAAAGATTAGTATTGTTGACTAATGATTACTATGAGTTAATATGTTTGAATCTTCTGAATTAATAAAGGTGGAAGGTTATTAATAAAATACTGCTTTCTCTGAGATACATGGGGGGACAAAAGTAAGTTAACAGAATGATGCAATAATTAATCAATACTACAGGAATAACCTGTGTAAACCTACTTTTGCCTGCCCTGGCATTACTGCCTTCTTGTCTTCCACGGGCCCAGCATTGTATAACCAAGAAGTTCACATTCAGTTGTTTGATCCTTGAGTTGGAAAAGGTATTTATATCTTCTCATCATGACTCTCGCCTTGTACGACAGTTCTTTCATTATCACTTACGAGAATGGCTGCCCAGGCTTGACGCTGCCTTCCGAGCAGGGGCACCTGGGTTCCTCTCCTTCGCTGGGGCAGGAACTGGGCCACCCACATCCACTGCAGGCCCAGCCCCGCACATTTGGGAAATGGCGTTTGATTCTTAATATTTTTTATTCTATAAATTCTATAAAACATCTGTTTTACCTTATGAAGTAATGCAAAACAGTGTCTTTTTCTTAGAATAGTTTGAGTTTCTGAGCTTTGGAGACTTTTTGTCTATTTATAATGAAGGCCTTTGGCTGTCCCTTGTGTAACATTGCATTTGTTTCCAAAGTACTGGAGCCTATTGATTTAATTTCAACTGAAATTTTCTCAAAGAGGTCAGAGTTCTAAGACCCATGACTTATAGTGAAAGGGTACAGCCGCCTTTGCCTGCTTCCAGCTTCATATTGATATTTCACTGGAAAGGAATTCTCCATATACATTTATATTCAAATGATAGTTTTATAAGTAACATATTTTCCCCGTTTTCTGCTCCTAACCTCAGTTTTATATTCCTTCTGCTCTTAAAACAATGCAATGCAAAGCAAAAAAGAAATGAGAGAATGTAGTGCCCTCGTGCGGTGTTCTCAAACAAAGCAGGTTTCCTGTTTACCACTAACCTTTTCTGTAGCATAAAGGAATGAAACCATCCTTTCAGATCTTTGGACATCCAAATGAATCCCAGCATTTAAAATTGGAGGAAACACATTAAATTTAAAATTAATTGTTTTTACTGAGAGATGGGAAGATAAAAGAAATATTCAGTTTCAATTAAATATTTCTTTTATCTTCCCATCTCTCAGTAAAAACAATTAATTTTTAATTTATGTAAACTAAATAAATATGAACAAATTAAAACCAGTCTCAGGAAAATTTAACGGTAAAAAAAAAATTTCTTAATATAGGATATTGGTACACAAAATAAAATATTAAGAGAATCTCAGGTCATGCCAAGGACATAAATTTTCAAATACAAATTTTTAATAAACTATTACCAAAAGGATATATCTTTAAACATGCTAAAACTTGTATCTATTTAAATTAGTGGTGAATGATTTAGTTGAATAATTTTCCTAAAGGCGAAACACTCAAAGCGTCCCGTGAAAAACCAGGGACGAAGCAAGTGACCTCTCACCACTAGTGCTAGAAACGTGCCAGAACGTTTGCTCATTTCAAAAAGACGTGGGATGGGAGTCACAGGTATGACAGCGAATAAGAAGAGAAACTCATTTTTATTTTTATACTGTTAAAGAGGAGCGAAGTGGTTCAAAAACTGCGAGTGTGGCCTGGTAGCCGCATATCTGTACGTGTGTAACACAACGTTGGTGTAAGCAGCGTGACTCTGGCGGTTGTGCGTTATACTAGGTCTGCACTTGGGGAAAGGGGCCGACCTCGCCGCAGTGGCCACTACAGCCGCACAATGAGGTGGGCAGCAGGCAGGCGGATGTAAACATGACCTCGAAAAGAAGTGGTGAAAAGCAGTGTGGAGAAAATACAAAAACTGAGAAACAGACTTCGACGGAGAGAAGACGTACCGTGTTCTTTCAGGGATTTAGAGGACAACAGCTCTTTCTAAGTGAATATATAATGGTAAAATTCCAGTGCGATTTAAGTCCGTGTGGAAGATAGAAGTGAATACAGAAAAGAGAAAAAATAATGATAAGGTCGGCCCACAATAGTGTGCTGCTGTTACAATAGCCCCAAAACATTAATTTTTAAAACACAATAAAGAATAAAGGATGCCTGGGCTGGTGTAGTTCAGTGGATTGAGCACGGGCCTGTGAAGCAAAGGGTCGCTGGTTCGATTCCCAGTCAGGGCACATGCCTGCATTGTAGGCTGGGTCCCCAGTAGGCAACACATGAGAGGCAACCACACATTGATGTTTCTCTCTCCTCTCTCTAAAAATAAATAAATAAAATATTTTAAAAAAATAAAGGAAGCATTACAAATCAGTGATTTTTGGAATAACTTTCTCTTTGGGGGTGAGAGTAGTCAGAACAGTTTAGAACCTCATCTCACATTCGATTTTTAAAAACGAGATGAACTGATGTCCCATCTGCTCCGGCTGCTGTAGTAACAGGGTGACTGCAGGGCAACGCACACCACGGGAGTGAGTGCGTCCCGGGTCCGGAGGCTGGGGAGTGTCGGTCCCTCCTTGGTGGGAGGAAAGGCGGGGCGCCCTGCTGGCTCCTCCGAGGGCAGCCAGTGCCATCGCAAGGTCATTTTGTTGTCACAGACTTCTAAGAGTGTAAATTGCTACAGACTTTTGGAAGTCAACTTACTGTTACAAACATCTGTATTTATGTACATGTGTGTTATGTACGTGTGTGTATGGAGATCATTGTATATGTGCTCATGCATATTATTCTTTGTTTCTTTGTAGGATTTTTTCAGTTTCTGTGTGCTGCTAAATGTATACGTTCTCTGTAGACTAGGATTTTATTTCAAATGTGAAAGTCACTGATTTTTAAGTTGTTTTTATTGTTGATTAGTTGTACCTGTGTGAAGAAGCAGTATAGTGGATTCAGAAGTGTGTTTAAAACTTCTCATAAATAATACGTTCTATGTTTGTATTTTTACAACTTTCATTTATAAAACAACCCTTTTATGATGTTTAAAACATATGATAGCTGATATGTCTTCTTATAAACTGTGTGGTAGAATTATTCACAGTGAGTGTCCAGAGAGAACCCTTATACTTTAATATAATAACCCATTATTCAGGCATTGATTTAGAATGTTCTTTGTATGAAATAGCTCTTCACTAAAATTTATAACTTAATAAAATACTGTTCTGGAGAGGTTTCCATTTGAGGATCTCTAGCTTAAGTAAAAATAAATAAATTACCCTGGTACCCCAGATAATTTTTTTAATTAAAAAAATAATAGTAGCCCTAGCTGGTGTGGCTCACTGGATTGAGCACCATCCTGTGAACCCAAAGGTCCTCGATTAGATTCCCAGTCAGGGCACGTGCCTGGGTTGCAGGCCAGGTCCTCAGTCCGGGTCATGTGGGAGGCAACCGATTGATGTGTCTCTCACACAGTGATGTCTCTCTCCTCCTTTTCCCTGTCTCTGAAGATGGATACATGAAATTTAAAAAAAAAAAAAAACCTGATAATAAAAGCAAGTAAAGTTATGGCTCTGATATATTAAAGAGCCCTGCACTTTAATTACATTTTATGACAAAAGTTGGTAACAGCTTTTTTGCGTGGTATTCTTCACAATATGTTTACTAATGATTTCACACCTGACATTGTGATTTTTATTCCTAGTCTGAATTGGACAAACCCAGAAGCCGGAAAAAAGCTCCTGCCACCGACTCCGAGGAGAAACTAGGCCTGGACGACCTGACCAAGCCGGCACAGGAGCAGAGACCCAGAGGCGGCCAGCGCGGGCGGAAGAGAGGCCACACGGCCTCCGAGTCGGACGAGCAACCATGGCCGGAGGAAAAGAGGCTCAAAGAAGATCTGCTAGAAAATGAGGATGAGCAGAATAGTCCACCAAAGAAAGGGAAGAGAGGCCGACCACCAAAACCCCCTGGTGGGGGAGGTACAGCAAAAGAAGAGCCAACGGTGAAAGCTTCTAAAAAAGGAAGCAAAAAAAAATCTGGACCTTCGGTAGCAGAAGAAGAGGAAGAAGAGGAAAGACAAAGTGGAAACACAGAACTGAAGTCAAAAAGCAAACAGCACCGGCCGTCACGGAGGGCGCAGCAGAGGTGAGCATGTGCGGCGCTAACTGTGCGTACTCAGCTCTCTGTTGGGAGTGGTAACTTGGTGCTGCCCACATTCAGGTCCTCCCCAAAGCGGAGCAGAGTCTCCTAAAACTAGTGCAGGAGAGTCCACACAGTCCGTCCCACAGAGATGACAAGAAGACCATCAAAACCGCCATCACCATCACAACCCCCCAGATCGTGTGAGTTGTAAATAATGTTAAACCTCAAACCAATTTCAAATTCTTCTGCAAAAGCTCATAAATTCTTAAATGCACATAGAGCTACATTTAAATGCCATATACTTAGCCCCAATAGACTAGGTAAGACAAAATTTTTATAGACTTAACCTAGGTGATTGATAGCACAGTTGACCCTTTGGTAACTTCTGTACATTTTTACAGGTTTTAAACAAATCTTTACCTAATGAATGCCAAACAGTTTATTAGTTCCAATACAGACTTTATGGTACCCAAAGAGGTGATAAGGTATTTTGAAATAATCACAGCATATTGACCAGGTTTGCCTTATCATTCCATACTATAATTTTTCATGTCTTTTCTTGGTAACTTTGTAAAAAATAGCTTTTATACTTTTTGCTTTTATTTTTTTAACTATGTAGGAAAGTTACAGGCATTGTTTTTCTTAAATTGTATCCATAGAAATTATCACAAGATGCTGATCTGTTTATGGTTATCGATTTTTTTATTTTCTGATCAGATAAACACATCTATATCCACATACAGATAGGTGTGGGTGGTCACACAATCCCACGTTTCTATGGCACTTGTAATGGCACGGATCTCTGTCTACAATTTTAAAGTGACAGGAACATTTATGCTGTAATTTGTCCTTTTTTCACTCTTCCGTCTCACCTACGTAACTGGAAATAGGATGGCATGTCTGCGCGTAGGCAGAAAACCTGCCGTTTTCCTCAGCGTGGCCCCATCCCATAACTAACTACACGGTGGCGTCACTCCTCAGCGGGCCCAGCCACCTCTGTGAGACAGTCGTCTCAGGTTCCTCCTCCTCCTGCGCGTCGCACAGGAGGAGGGACAGTTGCCCGTGTGGCTGGCTGGCCCTTCGTGTTTTCCTCCGTTTGATCTTCCCTTCAGGTCAGAAGCGAAGGCGAGCGCGTTTTCTCGCAGCTCCAGTGTATTCGGGTTCAGGCCTGGAAAGTCGCTTGTTTAAACACTTTTTAAGGAATGTTAAATATCTTTCAGGCTTTTAATTTTAATTTGTTTATATATGAGCATCATAAAATTAAGGGCTTGATTACTATCATGTTCTCTCCTAAAATGACATGAGTTCTCACATTAAAGTTCTAAAACAAACAAATATTTTTTAAATCAGCGCAGAAATTCTGTGTCAGCAGCCTCTTGTCCCTTTTACCGTGAAGTTTTGTTTTGAGCTAGTAAAACAATAAGGTTACATTTGCCTATTTTTCTTCCTCTGTCTTCAGGGGATTTAAGAACCGTTGCGTTATTTTCTGTGTAATACCTGTATTTTCTTCTATTAATTGTGGGGGGAGATCCAAGATGACAGCGGAGTAGGTGGAAGGGGTAGAAGGTACACGCATCTCCTCCCAGGACCAAATTGGAGTCACAGCTGAAATACAGAACCATCACCTGAATAGCCGGCTGAAGACTAGCTCAGCAGAAACCTTACAGCCAAGCTTTCACAGAAGAAGTTGTGTTGAAGCTGGTAGTAGGAAGGGTGCAGAAGCAAAAGGGTTGACATCGTGCCCCGTGTGATGACTGAGACTCTGGAGGGATATCTCAGCTGCAAAAGGTCCCCCCTAAGGAGAGTGGGCTCTCAACCCCACCCCGGTGCCCCTGCTGAAAGCACCAGAGCCAGGAAGGAGGAGACCACCTAGGATCTGACTATGAAAACCAGTGGGGATTCTGTCTGCTAGGGAGAAACTGGGTTCTGCCAGGGACCCGGGGACCCTCTTAAAGGGCCAGCCACTCACCCCTGGCTCCAGCAGAGGCAGGGCAGTTCCTGTCTGACCGGGCGTGTGAGGAGACGGGGGGGGGGGGGGCTGTGTGGCTCCAGGGAGAGAGCCACGGGGACAACTGCCAGGGTCTCTCTGCTGAGTGCTTCTCCCACCCCCTGCACAGACACCATCTTTCTTGGGTGCAGCAGTACCTTCCCTGTAGCATCAGCCTGGGGGGTGCTCTGGCCCCACCCCCTCACACCCTCCAGAGGAGCCAGTAGTCTGGGCCACTGGTGTGGAGACCCCAGTGCCAGAGACCGAGTTGTGCACCTGCGGGCAGGGGCGACGCGCCACACCTGTCCTCCGGCCTGGGGCACGGAGCCCCCCACACGACTCACTGACACCCCACCCTGCACGGGGCAGGCTTTCCAGAAGGCCAGGGAAAATCTGGACAGACTGAGCTGTATGACCTCAGGACAGGGCGTCTTTCCCTCAGAAACCTAACTGGTGCAGAACCTGCCCTTCACAGGGCCAAGAGGTAGTAAGTATAAAAGAGCACATAGAAACAATAAAAAAGAACCGGTCAGAAATGAAGAAGACACTAGAAAGAGTAAATAGTAGGTTGGATGGAGCAGAGGATTGAATCAGTGATTTTTAAGACAAGGTAGCAGCAGACACCCAGAGTAACAAAAAGTAGAAAGAATTCTAAAATATAATAGTTTAAGGGCCCTTTGGGATGACATGAAGTATAAAACATCCACATCACAAGGTTACCAGAAGGAGAAGAGACAGAGCAAGGGATCGAGAACCTGTTTGAAGAAACAATGGCTGGAAACTTCCCTAAACGGGTGGGGGAAAGACACATCTAGGAAGCCAGAGGGTTCCATACAAAGAACCATAAAGAAAACCCCAAAGGTTCAGGACAAAAAGCCAGAGGCAGAAGACTATATGGAAGGCAAATGATAGTGGAAAAACTACAGTAACAAAAAAAGACAAAAAGAATTTTAAAAGCAGCAAGAAAAAGACAGTTACCTACAAGGGGTCTACCATAAGACTGTCAACTGATTTCTCAACAGAAACATTTCAGGCCAGAAGGGATTGTCATGAAATACTCAAAGCGATGAAAAGCAAGGACCTCCAACCAAGACTACTCTGTCCTGCAAGGCTATCATTTAAAATTGAAGGAGAAATAGTGAGCTTCCCAGACAGGAAAAAGCTGATGGAGTTCATTACCATCAAACTAGTATTACGAGAAATGTTTAAAGGGTCTCCTTTAAGAAGGAAGAAAAACAGGAATGTAGTTATAAAGAATAAGTAGCAGTAAATAAGTACCTATCACTAATCAATCTAAATGTAAATGGCTCAAATGGTCCAATCAAAAGACATAGGGTAGCCGATTAGATCAGAAAACAGAACTCATCTCTATGCTGTCTACAAGAGGCCCACCTCAGAATGAAAGATGCCCACAGACTAAGTAAAAGGATATAAAAAGACATTTTATGCAAATAGAAATTTTTAAAAGCTGGGGAAACAATACTTATGTTAGACAAAATAGACTCTAAAACGAAAGCCCTCATAAGGGGCAGAGGAAGACACTACGTAATGAAGAGGTTGGTCAGCACAGGAGCCCCTGAGTGTAAAGCATCTTGCTGGCCCTGGGGGGAGAAAGCACAGCAGTACAGTCACAGGAAGGGACCTTAACACCCACTGACATGAACTGGTGGGTCTTCCAGACAGGAAATCGTCAAGGAAACTGTGGCCTTCAGTGACACAGAAGACCAGGTGGATTTAATTGATATCTTCAGAGCATTTCACCCCAAAGCAGCAGAATAGACATTCTTTTCAAGGGCATATGAAACATTTTCTAGGTTAGGCCACCAAACAAGTCTCTTTGAATTTAAGATTAATATAATCTGAAGCATCTTCTCTGAATCAATGGAATGAGACTATAAATCAATTAGAAGGAAAAAACTGAAAAACACAGAACATGCAAGTTAAAATAACATGTTACTAGACAATGAATGTTTAGCAAGGAGGTCGAGGAAGAAATCAAAAGATGCCTTGAGCTGCCCTGGCTGATGTAGCTTATGGATTGAGCATGGACCTGCAAACCAAAAGGTCACAGGTTCAATTCCCAATCAGGACACATGCCAGCAGGCCAGGTCCCCACTGGGGGGCGCTGCAAGAGGAAACCATATACTAATGTTTCTCTTCATCTTTTTCTCCCTTCCCCTCTCTCAAATAAATAAATAAAATGTTTTTTTTAAGGATGCCTTGAAGCAAATGAAAATAAATACAGCAACCCAAAATCTGTGAGACACAGCAAAAGCAGTCCTAAGGGAAATTCACAGCATTATAGACCTACCTCAAAAACCAAGAAGTGCCTCACACTGACCTTTCCCTGAAAGGAACTAGAAAAAGCGTCAATGAACGATGCCTGAAGTGAGCAGAAGGGAGGAAGGAATAAAGATCACAGCAGAAATAGATGAAATGGAATTAAAAAACAAAACCAAAGATTGCCTCGGCCGGTGCGGCTCAGTTGGTTGGAGCGGTGTCCTGTGAACTGAAAGCTCATGGAAAGCTCACGGGTTCAATTCCCAGTCAGGGCATATGCCTGGGTGCAGGTTCAGTCCCCTGTCAGGAAAAATGTAGGCCACTGGAAGGATGTAATAATGGGAGAGCTGGGAAATTAGGGAAGTTTTCTGCTGGGAAAGTGACAAGTTGATTCCTTGAGAATCACAGGAATTCTGTAGTAGACTGATGGAGTGCAAGGAGAGGAACATTTCAGGTGGAGAGATGGATGTTTTTGGAGGTTATGAAGCAGGAACAGTCTTGGCAGGTTCAGAGAGCTGAAGGATGCAGGGGGCGCTGGACTGCAGGTATGGGGCACTGGGGCCCGAGCGCGGGGCCTGGTGGTCTGTGTGAAGAGATGTGCAGAACCCCTCTGAGTGCAGGGGGAGGGCGTTAGCTGTGTGTGCTCCTTTAAAAGATGACTTTGTTAAGAGAAAGACCGAGAGATGGAGAGGGCTTGAAAATGTCGTAGGGGCAGAGGCGGGGCCCAGCGGGTGGATTTGGGATTTCTCTGTACCCTGGACCCACACTGGGCTGGAGCGAGACTGGTGCACTATGAAGGACCGCTGGGTTGTCTGCCTCCAGCCGCTCAGGGGCTGCCGGTGCCTTTTATCCTTGGGAACGATGGAAGAGCAGAGTTGGAGTTACGGTTTTAATTCCTTGGTGCTGCTGGTCTCCGTCACACTTGTTCTTGTTACTTGCTTGACCTTTGTATGTGACATTTTAGGATTAAACACGTGTGCAGGATGTAGAATATTTCTTGTTTGATCAGGTAATTAAACATTAAAGTGGTAATCTGTGAATTCATGAAATATTTAAATTACTCCCTCTAATGAGCTATAACTCTACTTAAGATCAGAGTGTTCATTGTATTTTACTTGTGTGTTGCTCCAGCCGTGTAGGACGCTCCAAACAAGCAGCTGCTAAAGAGAATGACTCCAGTGAAGAAGTGGATGTGTTTCAGGGCAGCTCCCCTGCCACCGAGGACGTTCTGCCGGACGCAGCAGAAGAGGAGGAGGTTTCTCCAGTGAATGTGTGTGTTTATCGTGGCACCTGGTGGGATGGGGTGGGCAGTGTTTGGTCCACTTAGCACCCACTGTTACTTAGAATTCTAAGGATTGACAGGGTTTTCTTCCTTAATTGGTAGCATTGTTTTCTCTACCAGTTTGTATGACGGAGAATACATCTTTGGAAGCCTGACACTAAGTGAGATGGATGTAGCCTAGTGAAAGTGCAAACGTCAAGTCCAAGTCCAAACTCAGTGTAGAGAAGAAAAGAACCAGTACGGTGCTGGCGCTTCAGGCACTTCGTACCGTTATTTTAGAAACTGGTATCGTCTGTTTCATAATTTTGTATGAGTTTCACAGTAGAAAGTAGAAGTTGACTAAAATCATGTAGAAGAAATATCTTTAACTAAAGTCAGCCTTTGGAATTAATAAAATTGGTAATAGACACTTGTTTTACAAAGGTGCTTGTAGAATGCGGTGCTTCCTGAGATACTTTTTTAGTTATTTCAGTAGTGACTGCTTCCACATCTCAGATTCCACTCGGTGGAAGCACCGTGACTGAACATCTGAGTGAGAGTTTTTCTCCCGAGAGCGGGGATGAGCTGGGCCAGCCGTCCCGCTGGAGCTGTGTGTGCTCTGTGGCCGCGTCCCGGAGGGGACGAGTGCGCTGTGTTACGGCCTCAGATGAGCTGGGCTAGTTTCCCACAGGGTGTTCTGAGGATACAAAGAGAAGGTGGAATAGTCTCCAGTATCCTCATCAAAGGAAAATAACGAAACTAAAATCCTATTCTGTTTATATTCCTATTGTTAATACTGATCTTTTTTGAACTTAAGCTTTATGCTTTTGTTAGCTATTGCCAATTAATGGTAATACATCTGAATTTCAATTTACTTATATTTATTTAATAGTTATTAGGATCTAAACTCAGTAACTGTTTTCCCAGAAAGACAGCTATAAGCCTGTTTGTAAGTACCAAATGTTATCTTTTACACAGAAATATAACTACAAAGATATTTGTAATTGTTTTTACTTATTGTTGACATTCTGTTCATTTCTTTTGAAAATTATTAAATAGAAAAGTAATTTTCTCCTGCTATTCTGGGAAAAGCTATTTGTGAACATTCAAATACTGTATATGTCTACATAAGTGATGCTAAGGCAACAAGTTAAAATAGGAGAAGGGTTTCAAGGAAAGAAAGCAAAGAAAATCAGGAACAAGCAAGAATAATGATTGGTTTAAAATAATTAACTTTGCTATGTCTTGTAAATGTGTACCCATTTTAATTAAGCATGTGGTGATTTTTCTTTTAAGGTACGGCGGCGAAGTTCTAAAAGAGAAAGGCGATGAACAAATGTAATTAATAATTTCTATGCGAACGCTTTAAAAAGTCATGTTTTGTCAAGCTTGAGGCTGAGGAAAGCCTTTGATGCCCAGACTGGGACTGCTGGAGAGGGGACAGTCGGACCTCAGTGTGCTGGCCTCGCACGCTGTGGGCACCACCCTGGAGCCATACGGGTGGTGGTGACATTGACTATGGCGTGTCATGAAAGTGTAATTTGTGATGGCTGTGTAGAAATAAACTAAAGAAGAAACTTGTAAATATATTTTTCTTTTTTTAATGTTTCTGACTTCTAAAGTGCTTGTATAGCTTTTATCCGTGGCTTTAAATGGACAGAGCCCGACTGTTTATTGATCTGTGCATTCGAAGAGAGTTTGCTAGGACGGGTCTGAAGCAGGCTATCTGTCAGTCTTTGTATTTGTACACTCTGCAGTTTTACTGTGAAGAATTTTTTGTTCAACAAGGGGTGTCATTTCTTGATGGCACTGTTTGTTGGAGAGTTAAAATGGTCTCTGTCCCTTGTGTATCTCACCCAGTGCTTACTCCTGGGCGCCCCTGATCTCCAGAGGTGCTAACCCACCTGCATCACACCCACCAGACGCCCCTGAGGGGGGGCCCCCACCAAGCAGAGCAGGTTGAGCTGCCGTCCTGCCGCAGTGGAAGTGTCTGACACCGCGGTGTTGGTCCCAGAGTTTTCTGCCTTTTGTGGCAATGAAAATTTTAAGAGAGAGATTTAAAATATTTTAATTTTAAAGAATGTGTTATAAAATAATGTACTGAATTCTTTATTCCATTTTATCATCCCTTTTTGGTTTTTATTAATCTACTGTATCAATAAAATTCTGTAATTTGAATTAGTTTTTAATAGTCTAGAATGTTATTGTGTATAGATATTTCCTCTTGAACATGATGTTCAAAAAATGCAAATTATTACACTATAATATAAAATCTGATATGTACGCATTAGAAAAGTTCCAGTTCTTCATAAAACTGTAAAGGTAATCAGAAAAGAAGAAAAGTTTTATTGATGCAGTGTGTCTTTATAAAGCTGTTCTCGGAAGCACGTGTTTGCGTTTTATAGTGAGTTGCATGTTTATGAAAACGCCACAACTGGGATGTGCTCTTCCTGTAAATTCTTGTTTAGCCGTAGAATATGACGGATGCCCCCATACCATAGTTTTTCATCAAGAGTTTATTATTGTACTTTATTTTGGAGCCAAAAAGTTGTTTGGGGCAGGGGGAGGGTGGGCCAGGGTGGGAGTGTGCGTCCAGCCGCATGAGCTACTCTGGGTGTCACAGTTCACGGACTTCACGTGAAACCCCTCCTTGTCCTGACCAGGGGAAGTGGGTCTGCTTGCATTTTGAGAAGATCTGTTTTTTCCCTTCATTGTAATCTGCAAAATTACTAAAACAAATTACTTAAGGCAGTATCCTTTTACAGTTTTATAAACTGTATTTTGAACCAAAACTTATACATTATTACTACTTAATATAATATTTAGCTAAATTCATTTTAGTGTTTCGGGTGCTGTTCTTTTTTCATAGTTAATATTAGAAAAGAAAATCATATTCTAAATTATTAAATTTATCACATTGAATAATGGAACATTTTCACACAATACACTGTTATGTTTAAGGTATAGTTCCAAGATTGATTATAATAGATGGGGGATATAATAAAGAAGCTATTTTGGGAAATGACATTTTACTATTTTCCAATGTATATCACAATTGATGTGATTATTTTTTTTAGAGATTTCTTCATGTTTATGAAACTGCCTTTTATTTTTGAAAAACATTTTGACTCCAGTCCTACTCTCTCACTGGTTTACTCGTTTACGACAGTGGTGGTGTCAGCGGTCGCGGGAGGCTGCCACGCACCCCGGCAGCTCGTGTCGGACCAGACACAGCGGCTCGTGCGCATGTCATCAGCTCAGCTCCCGAACATGCTGTTTCTGTTGGAGCAGTACAGAGGCATGTTTATAAATCTATACAGTAAAGAATAAGGGATAGCTTTGTATTTTCATCGTTGCCTAAATTGCACCGGAAATGTTTATGGAAATATATCTTTAGGATCCTTTTATAAAACAACAAAAAATGATTGTGGAGGATTTTTATTTGCATGATTGTAGTAAAGCAAATTTTATTGTACATTAATCCTGTACATCAGTTCACAAAAATGTTCATTGTAAATTCTGTTCAATGCCAATGAGTCTGTGATTTTCTAATGCGTCTGTTCCCTTTCTGGGGAGGATTATGATGTAAATTTTCCATTTTTCTGTAGGAAACTAGGTGCAATAATGATCAAAGTTTTGATGTCCTGAGTCTTCATTTTAGGGGATTATCTTATGTTTAAACTTAACATTTCCTGTACTGACACTTGGAGAGCCACATACTATAACTAAAGTGAAGTCTATAGAAAACATTGACTGCTAACAGTGCTTAGCAAGCTCTTCAGTGATGATGTTCATTTTGAAAACGTGTATTGTGTAAACGTTAGAAAACACGTAGCTCACTGTACCAAGTTCCGTGACGAAATCTGCGATCTTCAGTGAGGCCGCCCTGCCGCCGGAAGCTCACTCGGCGACCTCCACCGTGTGTGCGCGCAGCTGTAAAACCCACTCCGTGTATTAAAGGTCACATCACTCTGTATCTTCTCATTCCCACTTGTAAGTACGGCTTCTCAGATTTCCTGTTTGCCCACTTGAAAAATGTCAGAAATTGAAGAATTTGTTTAACTTAGGCATATTTCCCTTACCATATAGTATTATGTCACCATAATGAACAATTGGTATTTAGATAAATAACTTACTTTCCGACACATTTTTGGATTTTCTCTGAAGTTGAATAAACATGAAAGCTACTATAAATTGTATCATTTCATTTATGTGAAGCTGTATTTTTATACTTAAATATGCTTGCTTAATGGAGCAGAACGAATTTTGATGATGTTTAATGTCATGAAGAGAACATAGTATTTCCTAGTAACTTTTTTTTCAAAGTTTTTGATTAAACCCTAGCAAAATCTTGGCTGACGGGTTTCCTAAGTACTATTTAAGCTAAAGGATTGCACAACTGAAGACTATAAATGTATAATACAGACTTAAAGTAACCACCAGGAAGGTGAGTGGCTGGTGGCACTTCTATTAATTCAGTGAATATTTGCCGAGTGCCCGCCCTGTGCGGGGCTGGTGAAGGAGGGTGAAGCTCGCTGTTCCCCACAGGTGTTCAGGGCGCGGTAAGAAAATGGTGATTAAATACACAGTGTCAGCGTGTGAAGAGTCGTAGGGGGCTAAGACGATTGGAGAGGCTATTTTATATACTTTGAAGCTATATTATTTGGTACGTACAATCGAAGACTATCTTTCATGAAGTGACACTTTTATACTTTTAAAATGTCACTTGGTGTCTGCATGAGTGTGTCATGCCTACTTTGATGTTAATATAGCCATACCAATTTTGGTTTAGGGATTGTTTGCATGACAGAACTTCGTTCTTTTACTTTCAACAAATGTTTGATCTTACATTTAAAGTGTGTGTTTTATAAACAGTTTATACTTTGATCTTGTTCTTTTATCCAATCTTAAAATTTTTGTTCTTTAATCAGATAGTTTAAAGTATTTTTTGGTGTAATTTCTGATATTGTAGGTTTTAAGTCTACCTACCATCTTGGGTATTTATTTTCTTTTTACCAATCTTTTTATTTTTCATACATTTTTCTCCTTTTCCTACTTTCTTTTGGCTCATTACAGTGTGTCTTATTGTTCCGTCTCTTCTGTTAGCTTGCTTGTTCAAAGATGCCTGATTGTGTTTATTTTTTTTAGTGGTTCAGCTACAGATCAGTTGGTTACGTTTGGCTTAGATAGTCCATGCTACGTTAATGCGTTGCCGCCTCTACAGTCTTTGTGCCATAGTCACACGTTTTGTAGTTATAAATGCCACTATATTGCTTTAGATAGTGTTCTTTCTCTTTGTGCTTTTTTAAAAATACAGTTTTGTGCTTCCGTCTTAATTAATATTTTCTAGCATGAACAACTCTTTTAGTATTAGTTAGAGTGCAGGTCCCGGGGCATTTAATTCTGATACTGCTGGGAAGGAAGGTCTTTATCACTCCTTCATTTTTAAAGGCTATTTTCATTGGCTACAAAATTCTAAATTGGCCATTTCGTTTATTGGGCAGCTTAAAAGTTGGCCTTCCATTTTTCTTTGGTTTTTCATATGTTCTGTTGTGAAGCAAGCCCAAAACCTTTTTGCCATTTTGTAGATAATGCGATTCTTGCTGCTTTTAGGATTCCCTCTTTATCTTTCAGTGGTCTGACCGTGATGAACCTAGTTACTGCTCATACCATTTTACTTATCCTACTTGGGGTTTACTGTGCTCTTGAATCTGTGGGTTGATGTTACATCAGTTTTGAAAAACTCTTAGGCCTTGGCTAGAGTGTCCTGATACGTCAGGGTTGTAGGTTCAGTCCCCAGTCAGGGCACATACAAGAAACAGCCGATTGATGCACAAATAAGTGGAACAACAAATTGATGATTCTCTCTCCTTCCCCCTACCTCTCCCCTCTTTCCCCCCTTTTCTCTAAAATCAAAAAGAAAAGAAAAGAAAGCCCTAGCTGGTGCGGCCCAGCTGGTCGGAGTGCCATCCGGCCCTGAAGGGGCCTGTGGAGACACTATGCCCACTTCCGGGCGAGGTGGAGGTGCCATCAGCGTGTTTGCGATATTACGGGGGTGTCTGCGGCTGGGGCGCCCCCGATGGGCTCACTTGGCGGCTGAGACCAGCGTGGCTGAGAGTGCGTCCCGGGCCGCAGTTGAGTTGCAGGGAGATGTCCTTGCAAACGCAGTTCAGGAGAACAGTGTGTGGGGCTCTGGGGTCCTGGGCCAGCTCAGGGCACCGTGGACAAGACAATGAGACAGAATTGTTACCACAGCGGACTTAAAAAAATGAAAAGGAGATAAACAACCACAGACTTTGAAGAAAGTACGAAAATAATCCCTGAGTTCACTACATCAGGATTTTAGTGTGGGTCACTTCCTCACTTACATACACCTGTGTATCTTCTTACGTGAGTGGGATCACACTCTACCCCACTACACTTTCTCCTCTAAATACTCCTACGTGGCTCTCGGCACGTGGGAGTGTGTGTCGCCCTTTTAACAGCTGCGTAACACGCACCGGGTGGGCATGCTGTGGTTTGATACATTGCTGTTCTGTGGATGGGCATCCGGGTCATTTCCATTATTAGCTTCCACGGATGGTGCGGGAAATGACCAGTCCTGCCTCGGCCTGCGCCGAAGTGCAGGGTGGGACGCGGCCTCCTGCGCAGACAGCTGTGGCGGTTACGTAATTCTGTGTTCTGCCCTGCTGCCTTCCCAGAAGGGCACCAGTTATACTGTTCTTAGTTTTTCTCAGTCCAGTAGACACTAATCACTTTGTTTTCATTTGCATTTCTTCAGTTCCGAGTGAAACAGCATCACTGCATGTTACCGTTTCATCAGCTATTTCTGGTCTGAATTGTTTGTTCCTATTTGCCCATTTTTCTCTTTGGTTTATCTTTTTATTGCTGTTTTTTATCTCGGGGTTAGAAGGGATGGTTTAAGGGCTTAAGCACACTTAATTTTATTTCTCACAAAAAGGCACTGCAGTTTCGGCTAGCGTATGTGCTGCAAGTGGATTTGTCATCTTTCTGCAAGCTTCTCACGGAATCTCATATTTTCTTAATTTTTATTGTTCAGTCACAGTTCTCCCCATTTCCCCCCATTACTCCCCCCCACCCTACTCACCCCCACCCCCCATGCTCAGTTCTCCCACCCCCATTGTCTTTGTCCATGGCTCCTTTATTCATGCATTTTTAATTCACTTTTTGAATTTATTGATTTTAGAGAGGGGGAGGGAGTGACAGAGAGGAAAACATCAGTTTGCTGATCCTCTTATTGTGCATTCCTTGGTTGCTTCTTTTATGTGCCCTGACCCGGGACTGAACCGCAGCCCTGGTCTACCGGGTGGCACTCCAGCCCACGGGGCTGCCTGGGTTACGCATCGTCATCTTCTCAGTGTGGGCAGTGCTCTCCCGGCAGTTCTGTGAGATGGTCTCCGTCCTTCAGAAGGGTCTCCTCTCTGTAAGCTTGCGTCTGTCCCTGTGTTTCATTATGGGTTCTGGGTTTTATGCTTGC